ACCGCTGAGCTGATAACAGCCACAACAGAGCAGCAGACAGATTTCCTTGATGCCACGTCACACTGATGCAAAAGGAGCCCCAAACAAAGAACAGAGAACACAAATGACCAAATTTTCCAGAAGGTTGACATTTATAATTATAGATTGCTTTTTTTTGATTGGTACTTTGTCAACCACATGAGTGAAACACTTAACAGCATTTAGAGAGTTATAAAGGAGAGGAAGAAATTGCTTTAACAAGCAGAAACCTCAAGAAGGATCAGACTGATGTTAGACAGTCATCTGCTGAAACTGAGCTGGGTTTAGAGAGGGGAGAGAGAGGGAGATGGAAAAAGAGAGATATGGACAGAGGAGAGACTGATGCACAGAAGAAAGCTCTACCACCCAGACCACTTTTTGAGACTTCAGGTTGGATGAGCAGGTCTGCATATTATCTGACAGAGAATAATTTCAGGGGCTCTCCTGAAAGAAGGCTGACAGCACTGATGAGCATGGTTACATGTTCACACGCAAAAACAGTTTGAAATCTCAGTTATAAATAAAAAGTAACACCCTTCCTCCGGATGATTTTACAACACAAACACAAACTGATCTCTCTGCTTCTTTGATGTTTTAATCTGGCAGTTTTGGTACCACAGTGCCACTCTGTTCAGGTTTAAACTTTGACTTTATACATAGTAAAGTTTAAAGAAAGATTGTATTTGATCCTAAGACAAAAAGTCCTTCTTTACTTTGACACGAGTCATGAACAGTGGTCTCTTGTACTGCAGGAGGACAGAGCCTCCATTGCAGGAACCATGACGACAAAGTTACGGCAGCAGAGATGAGCCAATCACTGGAGAGAAGAGAAGGGTGATGGAAGTTTATTGGACAAAAAGCAGAAGGGGTTATCTATAGCACTTAAAAACAATGGTTGCAAATTAGGAATATGAAAATGGAGATATTTAGGATGAGGTTGTTTAAGTGGGTTAAAGTAGATCTGAAAGTAAAAAAAATGGAGATGGAGAGCAGCCAGCCACCTGAACACAGTTCATCTTGTTCTGACTCATTAATCGCAGTTCGGGTCCTATGTTTGGTGTCAATATTTAAGATAAAAGACACTTTATTGGACAAGTCTTACACTAAACTTGATGAGCCTTTTCTTTTAGTGGAAATAAGACAAAAAAACTGCTAAGATTTTAGTCTTTACAGCGCACTCTACAACTGAGGATGAAACACTGATGCCAGGATGTGCATGGGCGCTGCTTTTCTTCAAAGTAGACAGACTCTCTCACAATGTCAGATCAGAATCCTGATTCTTATGAGTATTTGCTTATTTATGAACCTGTTGATCCAGACACCTTGTTTTGGTGCAGGTGGCTGGCTACTTTTCTAATCTCCTTCAAAATAAAATATGGGAAAACCATAGACTGTATATACTATGGACAACTTGGTTCCGCCTAGTGCCCGTATATGGATGTGAAGCCAAAAAGCATTTCAGTATTTCCAGGATTTTTCTTCATTTCCTGAAACAAGCGCTGCGCAGTAGCGTGCGCGCATTCTGCCACGCAGTTGCTGAGAGTCACTGTGAGGACGCTCGGCTCAAACAGCGTTTCCCCCGGGAGAGCTATGTAATCCCTGAACGCCCGTAGGCTGTATCAGGTGTCAATCATAGCAAACATGAACCCCCTAATAACTTTTAAAAACTGAGCTTTACAGAAAAAAGAGGACTTGAGCACAAACCAGTCTTACTGTAACTACATGTCAACATCACAAGCAGGGGGGAGAAAAATTTATGTTCTGTGTTATAAATTTCTAAAGTTTGTCCACAGCTCCATAAGCTTTGCTGGCGGAGGCGGGATTTATGGCCTATACTGCAGCCCATCAACAGAGGGTGCTGTTCTCGGAGTGGCTTCACCCAGTGAGGAGGCAGACTCTGTCCATTCTATAAACAGTCTATGGGGAAGACCTACAACTGGGACTTTCTCTTTCATAAATTTAAGACATCAGCCTTATAAATGTAGCACTTTACTCCAATAACATCAAACCTTTCTTCTCTAATCCTCTGTAAATAGATGCTTTAAAAAAACATGGGAGAAGGACTATAAAACACAGCTCCTTGAAATGTCAGCAGTGGTGCTTTTAGTCACTGATTTGTATCCAATTGGGAGTAAATTGTGAAAAGACAGAGCAGGGTCTCTAACAGTTGAAGTTATTGTTTCAATGTTTGAGTAAGATTAAAATCTAAATCCCAAGTGAAGTCTGCACATGCAACACCTGGCATATTTCCGGGTTCAACAAGGAAGCTGTGATGAAAGTCTCAGTTACAAAAGAACATTTCTTCCATCTTTAGTCTTCCTCTTGTTAATGTTAATATTATTCATAAAACATTTTTCTCTGTAAATCCTAAAAAGTAGTGTTATAGTGTTTCTGAATGAGTCCAGTCCCTTTTTAGCAGATCTGCATGTTTAACTCTCCAGCTAGGATACACTTCATGTGACCAGAGTGCTGCTTGCGTGTTGGCACAAGAGATAAAGGACACAAAGAAGCTTTGTGCACATGTGTCTAAATACATGCATATTGTTGTTTCCTGCATGCCTCAGAATACATTTTTCCCTTTGCACCAACATGAATGACTTATTTGTTAGCTCACAGTGTGTGTGACCCCACTTCAAATATGATCCACTGTCAACTGCATGGCAGCTGTGGTCTTCAGAGGAAATAACATGCACACCCAGTTGCAGCATTGCAGCTGCACAGTTATGCATGCATTCAGTTACACTGAGTCCACACGAGCAGACACCCCTAAATATTCTAGGTATTCTCTGCAAACTTTGCTGAAGGTGTTACATGTGATTTTCACTCCGTGATTTCCTTCATCATTGCAGATACCGTTTATAGTTAAAGACAGTGTTTCCGTCACTCAGAGAGGCTTTGTTGTTCTCTGACCCGGAAAACAATTCAAGCAATGAGGATGCAATAGAGTTTCTCATACTGGTGACAGTTTCCTCCTTTGGGTGACATAAAAGAGCAACAGTTGGAAGGAAACCGATGAAGAGACACCTGACTCAACATTTTTGCAATTGAAAACCAATGAACGATGAAAAATAAAACATATGGAAAAATGTTACACATATATCCACACACTAAAACTAATATTGTATGAGACTGTCTTTATTTGACAGTTCAGCAACCATTCCTGCACCATACATTCACCACTGAGGGGTCAGAACAGGTCTCAAACATGGAGTAGTTTTATTTTGAAGGAGCCTTGTCATTTTCTCAAACAGCCGGACTGCAGGTAGTGGAGTTTTAATCAGACTTGGATATAAGCATGCTTTTATGGAGTGCTCTAAATGTGATATTTTTTTGTATGTGTGTGTGTTTGCATGAGCTGATTGGTTCAGTTTTAATGTGATTTGCAGTATGATATTGATTGTGCTGAGAAAAGTACACATTTTTTTGGACTTGATAAAAGTTTGTATCAAGAAACAACGATTTTGATCTGGGCATAGAATTTTCCACATCTTTTGTCCTGACTCAAAAATCATTAACAGGAAAAGTTTTGTTCGCATCTGAGACACTTCAAATCTTTTGAATTAGTGACAATCATTTTACTCTCCCACTAGTCCAATCAACACATCAGTATGAGACATTTTGACAACTTCTTAATTCATAAGGTTTGGGTTTTGTGCAGACAGAACTAATCCAGCTGACATGACAAAGCAGCTGACATGGTGATTTGAGCTAAACCTTGCAACATGATCAGCTGTTTTCTGTAAATATCTATAATATCTGACTCCCACTGAACAATCGTTGTGGTTCAGGGTGTTGTTGTCATCCTTGACCACCAGAGCATATGATTAGGTATCACTCTTTTCTGCATAAAGATGTTGCAACCCACAGATAAGACAAATAGCAAAATTCAAAATTAATTTTATTCAAAGAACATGAAACCATTATTTGATTTTAAAAGTTGTTAATGACAAGTTGACATGTTACAATAAAAGTCCATCAGCTGTTTTTATATTGTGTTTTTAAAAATATTTTGAGAACCAGGACTCATAACCACACCCGAGGCTCACAGGTTTTATCACTGAGCACTAATAAGTCCAAAGCAATTAACAGGAATAAATAGCAGTTAAATGTGCTAAAGTGATATGTCATTGATCATTCACATTGAACCTGAAATGAAATCATTTTAGGGTATGGCAATAAAATGGTCTCCATGCTGGAACCTGATAAAATATCTTCCTTTACTCTGATAAACATTTCAAACCTGATATGACTCAAAGCATCTGATGACAAAGCAGAAATCAGCGAATCCAGAGCCTGTGAGTCTCTGTTTCTGTCCAGCTCACTTCAGTGAGAAGATTCTGACCTTCATGAAATGGATTGAAACTCATACTGATGCCTTTGTTACGATAAACAAAAGCAACACAACCACTGGCGACAACACTGACGGCTGTTACATTTTAATTTGTTCAACAAGTTTGAGGGGCTGAGAGTCAACCCAGCAGCTGGAGAAACAGCCCTGATTTTTACAATGTTTACAATACCTGACACATTTGACTGATTAAAGTTAGCAGGATGAGGTTATTCAATAGAAGAAACTACCTAGAGATGTGGATTTGCAAACGCTGCTTCTTTGTTTTTTAACTGGATAAAAGCTTTCATAAATGTGAAAAACCTGAGCTCTACTAAAGTCAAAGAAACAGTTTCTTAAATTGTCTGTTGCATGCTTGCATTGTGTCATCTAACAACAATGGTCATCCTGATTAACTGTTTGATTTATTGTGAATATTTTATACAGAAGTTGTGAAAAATTCTTTTGTGTTTGCACCGATGAGACCTACTCCCTCATACCAGTTTAAGGAATTAAAATGACAATGTAAGAACTGTCAGTCTTTTTGCTAAGGGTCTTTTTTTGCCTTTGTATATCATAATAAAAAATGCATTAATATAAATTTCTGCCTGTTTTATAAGAGTCAAAAACTCCTTACAGACGCTTTAAAAATGAGCAGCAACTCAGCTCACAGCCCCCTCAAGCCAACACAAACTTGAATGGGAAGTTACTTTGTTCATCATTTTTATTACTTTTTATTTTAGAGGGCAGGAAAGCTCTGTGAGGTATTTGGGACCCTGTAAAAGAAGACCACCAAAGGAAAACTGACGGGTCATGACTCAGTTCATGCCCCCCTCTTACTGACCAGCTTTGTCCGAAACAGCTTCAAGCAAACTCAAGTCTTTGTGTTGTAGCCACATGATAAAATCTTGCATCTTAACTTTGTGGAGGATACTTTTGATCCTGTTAGTAACTGTCTGGTTTCTTGAGGCTTCTATCAATATCAGGAAAGAGAAAAAAGTGAAAAGGCTGCCACATACTGACTCCTCGTCGAACCGTAGCTGAACAGGTATGTGGTGTTTTGTTGTACAACAGACAAACACTTTATACTTTCCCAACAGTGGAATAAAAAATTTAAAAAAACATTTCTGCCACTCTTTCTTTGTGTGAATTGTTTTAGCAGTGTGCCTCAAATATTTTCCTTTGTTCACCAACTACACTCCTCTTGTCTTTTTCCATCTCTCCAGCACTTTTCCATCCTCTCACCCTGCTGCTGCCGTCTGTCTTTGTCATTCACCCCTCCTCTGGCTGCCTGACTGACTCTGTGATATATGAGACTGCAGAGGGGTTTGTTTGTGTCCTGTGTTGTTCCACCCTAGTGTGAGACTACAAAAGTACACAGCAATAAAACCCAAACAGTGTAAAATCCCGACTGTACATGTTTATTTATAAGGATGCAAAGGGGACAAGAATTTACATTGGATGTAAAGTGCTTTGCAAAGTTTGTTTAGACTTATTTGAATATCTTTTTACCTGAGACTCAACATTCCTCCTACAAGAGCAGAAGTACAGAGAGTAAGAGGAATACAGTTCATATTTGAGGTTTTTGTTTGATAGAAGCTCTAAAAATCATGCTTCACTATCTGTTTTTTGCATTGGCTGAATGATTAATTCATCCACTGTTGGTCTAGCACCACCTAGTGGATATAAAGCTAATTTCAGTCAATGAGAGTGGAAAAAATTGTCGTTTTGAACATAAAATAAAGACCAAATTTTGCAGAAATTCAACATTGTTGTCTGTTTATATATATGTTGATTGTTGAGTATAAATAAAACCAAACAGGGAAACATAAACTGCAATATAATTACACAATTGATTTCTAAAAATTAAAGTTGATGCCGGCAAAAGCTTTCAGAGTGGTGTATTTAGGTTGACTAAAAGCAGTTAGTACCACAATTATATTTCAAGAGATGCAGCCATTAGCTTCTTGCTTTATAAGGGCCTGTGTCCACTATCAGCATATTTTGCCTTACTTCGCCAAAAACAGTTTTTCTCTCTTTTCACTTGCTGATAGGTTATGTCACTTGTCTTAAAGCACTTCAACTGAAAATTAAATGCATTTTATGGACACAGGCCCAAAAATGTTATGTTGGATGAATGGATGAAATAAAAGGTGCAGAGATGTTAAAAAAGTTGCATTGCAAAGAATCAACATTCAGTCTTTTGTAAATTTTCTCCCTTACTTAAAAGTACCTCCATCACTCTTTTTAGTCTGTTAATGAATAAATCTTCTATTTTCAATGTGATAACGAATAGAGATGTTTTTAAAAGGTAGAATTCAATAGGTAGAAAATGGAAAAAACAAACATTTGTACAAGGGTAACAAAGCTGATCAGGTCAGGCACATTATAATTGCACGCAACATTGGCTTATTAGCATACTTTATACACTATATTTTCTAAAAATATCCACTTACGACAGTAGCAGGAGAGATGGCAGTTTATGTCACTGGTAAGCTATCTCCTTCTCCTGCCACACAGCAGCATCGACAGTTTTTGCTTAACTCTACTGACCCATAATGTTTAGAACTTGATAAGTTTTGCAAAAGATTTCATAGGAAAAATATTTACAATTTTAACAAACTGTCTCCAAAATCATACAATCAACCTTTAATTCTAAGTGTGACACACAAAAAGATTCTATTCTCACTGACTATGAGCAGATGGATAAGACAGCGTTAGCAACACACTGTGCAGCAGTGAAACCAACAGGACAGCATTCATTTGTTAGTAAACTTGGTTCTAAAGGTTAGAGTTTGACTGTTGGTTGGTGCTTACTTAAAGTTAGAGAAACATGTGCGGTATGAGATGCAATGTGTGAAATTACTCTTGAATGTAAGATTATAAAATGTGTAAAAAAAATCACAACATTGTCCTCAATGTATTTGGGGTCAGCATATTAGAAGTTTGAGCTTCTTCTAACTGCATGAAAAAGGTGCGTGAGCATGACCATGATATTCACGCCACCATTCAGCAACTAAAACGTTAATATGCTGAACGGGGGAGCACTGCCTGTTGACAGTCTTTGTTTACCATGCTAAATTTTGAGTTTCACAATCTGTGTATTTTGAAAGCTCATATCCGGACTGTGATAAGCTTGTTATTAATTTTGCAGACAAAAATGATAAGGGGCTCTATTTTCGTGTCCACCAGTGTGGTGGTGGAGGGTGGCGGACCCCGCACAGTTGTATTTTCGTCTGGCGGAGCGCAGCGTACAGCCAGTTTGGTATTTTCGTGGACTGAGGCGCACCAAGATCCGCCATGCTGGGCGTGGTGGCGTGGCAGGGGGAGGTGTCGACAGAATCAGAGGGCGCATTGACATTTTCGTGCTCGCCACCGGCGTATAAAGAGCGCTGAAAGCTCGCCGATTCAAACCTGATCAGCTTTCAGCGCAGGCGGAGCGCAGCTGGTCTAGTGGTATTTTGGTAGACTGGCGGTGTATCGGCATACGTCACCAATGCCTCACCGGCAGGTTTCCACAGTTTCAGGCACATTTCAGTGCAATAAATAATCAACAACAACTAATAATCTGAGTCAGCACATACATTTCGATCTATATAGATATATTCTGATCTATATCTGACCTGATGAGCGCGTTTGGCACGCGTTTGGACACTCAACCTGACTAAATTAACACAGCTGAAACCGCATTAAATTCAATTAAATATCTAGTAAATAGACACACATGATGAAGTTAACAAGATATGTATTTGTCTCCCTCCTTTTCTTTCTTCCTCTTCCTCTTATTTCTCGCACAGCTCGACCTGGACATGTCTCCGTGTCCTCTCCCCGTCCTGCTGCAGCTGCAGCGGCTGAACAGATGATTTATTTTAGTGATCAGATAAGTTATTTACTTTAAGCCAACATACGGATATTATAATATTCAGTTTTGTGAGCCAAATTTATTTTATATGCCAACATCTATGAAAGAAAGAGCCAGGCCACAGAGCGCGATGCGTCATTACGCACAGATGGTTCAGATTTTAATGCCATTATTGGAGTTTATGTTGTGATCTGTGCACACAACCCACCTTTGCCCCGTGAGGTCTAAATATATGCAACTTTGTGTGAGTGTCTTTATTTGTGTAAAAGGGTGTTTGTCTTACTAGTGGCTCCAACCTTACACACACCAAATCCATCTGTGCTCATATGAGAGAGTGTGAAGGACGCCCTCTGCAGCGCTTACAGTGACACCTATTGAGGAGCTGCCTTCTGTCGCCATCGTGTGTCATTGCTGTCTTCAGCCATCTCTTGATCTCTTTGACTACTTCACAAAAATTGTAATACACCTCGCCGGTGGCGGATTTAAAGGCGAGGAGAGGAGCTTATGTGATTGGTCAATACAGGTCTCGGCTGTGTTAAACCCACTCCACGCCCTCTCTCCTCCCTCGCTACGACTTACGCCGCTGGGAGGAGCTTAGGGAGGGGGGATACGTACGCCGGGCTGCACCGCTCACCAAAATACCAAATTGTGCTTGGGAACGCCTTGTCGGCACCGCTGACCTGACTTACGCTGTGCCTGCGCCACATCCGTGGCGAAGCACGAAAATAGAGCCCATAGTGTTATCTGAAACACTTCAATCCAAGCTGTTTGCACAAGTAGCCACATCTTCAAGCATGCTCTGTCTTCAGCCTATTTTAGTTCAAATATGACCAAATTGATTATGTAGTTTTTTAGGAACTATTAAAACTAACAGCAACACCATAAGTTTATTAGTAAAATGTTGTCTCAGGTATTAAACTGAGCAAAAGCGCTTCTTTTTTTCTCATAGACTTCAAACAGACCATGAGGATTGCACCCTAAAAGACTGCAAGTTTGTGGCACTTATTCTGAATAAAAATCCTGATAGATTTTTTACATGAACCAGGTTTATGTTCAAAATTACAGACAATAGTTTGGGAACAAAGTGCCTACAAGCATCCAGGCAATGTATGCTGCCAAATAACCAGACTCAACAAAAATGAGTCGCCATTAAAGGGGCAGCTTCAGGGAGAGGGCGATGAAAAGGCATGGCCGTTATGTAACTTCTATCTTATGTTTACTTATGTTACTGAACATATAATTTTGTAGTTCGCTAAGTTATCGGAGTCTTCTTTATCTTATCCTCCTCCTCCACCTGAGTCTCCAGAGTCTCTGGGTTTTCCTCCTCCACGCTTCCAGATTCTTCCTCTGGCGTCTCTCTGGTCCACCACTGTTTGAAGTGGTTGTTGAGCCGCTCCAGGATGTCCATCGAGTGGTTGATAACCAAGGCGAGCCAGGCGAGGCCGAAGAAGATCCAACTGGCCATGAGGACGCTGTACCACTCAGGGTAAACTTTGTCTGGATTACTGTCTAAAGACAAAACAGACAAGATCATGGTTGACAGAATTGTTAACTGGGTGTTAATGATTTGATGCTGTGAGCAGCTCAGCTAGCAGCTTCTCACTGTTGATGATCTTCTCTGAAGATCAGAAGAGAAAACTTTTGTGTCTGCTGAGGGTGTTTTGAGATTTTACCTGCCACGTAGTCTCCAAAGCCAATGGTGCTGAGGGTAATGAAGCAGTAGTAGATGGCCTGAGAGAAGGTCCAGCCCTCATGCTGCTGGAACACGATCATCGGAACAACAAAGAAGAGAAGTGTTCCCGACATGTAAGACACCAGGTGGACGAAGAAGCGAGTACACTTCTGCAGGTAAAGAAAAAGAAGTCATGCATAATTTGCCACATAAAAGTACAAGATAACCCCTTAGACTAGCTCATCTCCTCACCCTACGACCCGTCTTCCCCTCCAGGAAGTCAGAGATCTTCCTCTCGATGGCGAGCATATACTTCCCCACCCTGTTGAGAACCACCAAGTTGAGCGGGATCCCAAACAGGGCAAAGAAAATGCAAAAGATCCGGCCAGCAGTGGAGGTGGGGCTTATGTTTCCGTAGCCTGTACAGACAGAGGCAGAGGCAGAGGACAGACTTAAAGATGGATTTGGATCAAGTTCTTCCACCTAGAAGAGCTGCATAAATATACAAAATCCCTGAGATGAAAAAAAAAAAAAACTGTTTTCAAAGTTTGATCTAAACTTACTGTCTGTATGGAAAAAGGTGAGGAAACGGCTACTAGAAGCAGCCATGTATAATTGCTAGTGTAATCATTCAAGTTGTTATGGGACATGATAAAGCATAAAGTCTGACCTATAGTTGTGACCACAGTGGCAGCAAATACAGCAGAGCTGGTGAACTTCCAGAAGCCATCTGAGGTGTAGTTTCCTTTCAAACTCAGGCCCACCTTTGACGCATCCTGAACGACCTGAAACATGAAAGAAAATGAGAAATCAGTGTCCAGACTCAGCTGGTTGTGTTTCTCAGGTCAGACTTCAGACTTCAACATGCATTGATCCAAAACCCATTGAACGTCTTGAGGCCTGTAAGGTCAACATCTCTCCCAGCAGAGTGTGAGGTTGAGCAGATATGTTGACTCAGTGTGTTACATAAAAGTCTTTACTCCATCACCAGTGTGGGAAATGACTCCCAAAGAAACACACCCCAGTCTGAGACCTGCTTATCTAAGTGTCTCCAATATGATGCAATCATTTCACACAGATGTGTTGCTGAAATACTGCCCTACTTTAGAAACAGATGGAAAATGAAAATATGATCTGAATCTGACTTTAAATCGTCAGGTTTTCCTGTTTAACAACATTGCAAACTCAGTGTACTAGCACACTCAGCAATCTATTATTTTCCTATATTTACATTTTTCAATTCTGAATTTTGTTGCCTCTTTGTCATGTAAAAACAGGACAAGATGATTATTTGTATTATTCTGATTCATATCATTGATTTCAACATTACTAATGTCTTTTTGGATATAAGGCTGGTTGGAAATCAGTGTATTTTTTGCTGCCAGTGTCCAGGGGCTTATTTTAAAGCGCTTCTCAACCAATTGACTGCTGCTACGTTACAACAATTCTGATCATTAGGTTTGTCTTGGAATGCTCTATTTGCTTCATATGTACTTTCATTCAATTGCATTTTACAAAGAAAAATTTAAAACAGCTGACACAAATCATTCTTGGCAGACCTCTGCCATTGTTATTAGAAGAAGAAGAAGAATGTTATCACCATAGACTGTATATAAAATGGACAGAGTCTGCCTCCTTGCTGGGTGAAGCCACTCTGAGAACAGCACCCTCTATTGATGGACTGCAGTATAGGTCATAAATCCCGCCTCCGCCAGCAAAGCTTATGGGGCTGTGGACAAACTTTAGATATTAATTACACAGAACATAATTTTTTCTCCCCCCTACTTGTGATGTTGACATGTTATTTTAAGACTGGTTTGTGCTCAAGTCCTCTTTTTTTCTGTGAAGCTCTGTTTTTAACAGTTATTAGGGGGTTCATGTGATTGACACCTGATACAGCCTATGGGCGTTCAGGGATTGCATAGCTCTCCCGGGGGATACGCTGTTTGAGCCAAGCGTCACAGCGACTGTCGGTGACTGTGGAGCGCTGGTTTCAAGAAATGAAAAAAAATCTTGTAAATACCGAGAGCTAGATAGTATATACAGGCTGTGTCTCATTTCAGCGACCGCACCATCAAACGGCGCATTTGAAGTGTGCGTGATGTCATCATGCAGCGCAAACAGTGCCCCATTTGGCTCGAAACACTGAGCGCGCTTCAAATTCGGTCTCAAAACCACACTACCCCCACCCCTTTTTTCAAGCGTGCATTTATGCACATTTTTCGTGGCCCTGGTATCCCAGAATTCTTTGCGTGCCGCTGCACAGCTGCGCATTTCAGGTGAGAGGCCAGACCCGCGTGGAGACGCAGGGCGTCATCACAGAATATACAAGAAATCCAAAAACACAAGACAGTCAGCTCAGGCTGCACGAGCGCATGATTGCTGAACTCACTAAAATCTGCAGCTGCAAACCAAACATTATACTCTTTAGAAAAGAACTGATCCACTCTGCTACCACAATCAAAAACATTAGAAATAAGAAAGCTGACAAAACTACATCGGAGTATCAGGGCCACATTGACTTTTTTTTTTAAAGACTTAGAGATTAAAGTTGTTAACTTAGAAGAATAAAGTCATAAAGTAAATAAAGTCATAAAGCTGCTTTTGTGGAGGAGGAAATGGGTGGAGCTAGTCCACTGCAGGGTTATCTGTGAATGTATCAGCGGGTCATTCAGAGAGTTCTTGTGGTTTCTGAAGAAACAATCCAACTTATGATCAACATTTGTGATCCAGAGGGAGTCGAGCTCCGACGAGCACCACGTCTCTGCAACCACACCTGCAGAGACACCAACACCTTGTTATGGCATATGGATTCATATCATAAACTGAAGCTCAATGCCATTCACTGCTATTTACAGCTACATTGACAGATTTATCCTCAGCCTATCCGTATCTGCCTCCACAAAAGCAGCAAAATCCTCCAAGTCCAACTGTTTATTTTGTTGAGATGTATTTCTCATATGTTCTTTTTTAAGTCTTTATACTTGTGACAATGTGATGCTGATGTGCCAAAGGATGAAGTGTCTCCTTGTTTGTGAAACCTATACTGAAGCACAGTTCCTTTAAATGCTTCATGGCCCTAATTTAAACAACTCTCCTTTGAAATAACAGGTAACCTTATAACTTTATTCTCATAAATTAATGACTTTATTCTTGTAAATTCACGACTTTAATCTCGAAGTCTTTAAAAAAATTCTCAATATGGCCCTCATACTTCTTCCTACAAAACATGCAATCTTTGGATGAATTTTGTGGGGATGGTCTGTGCTTGTATGTATCTATTGTTTTGTGTCTGTAAAAGGTCACACAATTAAAAAATAACTGCTGCGCTCCGTAGCTTTTCTTCAAGTCTGTCGTGACGCAAGTCTGAGGGTGGGGACATTTGGCGACTCAACCAGGAAATCCTCCGAAGGGTAGTCTGTCCCATTTCACAAAAACCGGACCATCTCACCCAGGGTACTCAAGTCCACATAACGGCAGTGCGCTCAGCTAAGCGCACTTGAGCGCGCTCAGCCTGATGCGGTCTCTGAAATGAGACACAGCTACAGTCTATGGCTATCACAAGTCCCACCACTTCTTGATTCCAATTGGTCAGTGGTCAAGAAGTGGCATTGATGAGCATGGCAGTTCTGTAAAAGTTATGCTAGGTTCAACCCAGCATGAAAATGCTGGGCCACATGAAACGTACTCTAACTATTATATTATTGCTTGAATATAAGTCATTGCTTTAACATATTTAAAATAAATGAATAATTTAACAATAATTTTTAAAAAAGCCAAGTAAGTTATAATTTTGGACAAAATGCTAAACATAGGCATAGTTTTAGATTGTGATGTTCTGAAAAGCTCATTTAAAAAGTCTCTGGAGATTTGCTGAATTTGTGACATCATCAGTTGGTGAATCCTCTAAAAGAACACAATAAACGCAACCCATACCAAGTGGCCTGCTGTGTACTATTTCCAAATTTTATTGCAATTCTATTTTACAATATTTCAGAATTTGTCGTATAAATGGTTAACTCAATGATGGCAACTATGAAGCATGGCAACAGTGGTGGTCGCTTCCAGGGAGCTGGCCAATCAGAGGAAAGTGGACTTAAAAAGACAGTAACGAAATTTCGATTTCAGACAGAATCTGAAATGGGTTTTCAAATAAGATAAAAATAAAGATAAAGAGAGAGTTTGTGGAGCCGTAATTTTAGCGACCAAATAAGTATAAAAGGAACAATAAAAAGCCTAAATCTAAGTGTTATAGCTTCTTTTGTAGCAGAGAAAGAGAGACTGGAGTCCTTGAAAGAACAAGCAGAGTTATGAAGACAAAAAAAAAAAAAAGAAAAGAAAAGAATGTAAAAGCCATCTCCTCATAAAATGTTTAAAATCAATCTGACTTACAACATGAAGATAACCCAATAATATTGTGCCTTTTCCTTAATTAAGTTTATTATCAAATGTACTAATGTTGGTTTAAGTTAATGAGTGGGCCATACTGCCACCTACTGTACTGGAATGTACAACATCAGGGCTCTGGTTACATGTTCATTACAGATATTATGTAACTCCAATACCCAGTTTTCTGAGCAATCATTAGCTGTGTTAAATAATTCATCATGAATAATTAAAATCTCATAACAATGGCTATCAGTTCTGAGGAGTGAAAGCAACACTAGCACCAACCTGATCATGCTTGTTACATATAACTGATCTGTGGTAGAAGTTATTGTCTGGATGTGTATCTAGTGGCTTATGATTTCACCTCTTCTTGTTGACAGTGTCACTGATTGCTTTTGCTTGCCACAGAAAGTACCAGGGGCTGTTGTCTCACACTGTTATCATCAATATCCTGCTTATCCAGTGGACATGATTAAATTCAGTTCATCTTAGCTGCTTTCGCTTCTCTGCACTTTTCTCTGCCTTCCTCTAACAGTCACAAAAAGGGAATAGGTGGGTAAAGTTGCTGTTTTCTTTTTTCCACACTACAGAGGTCAGACCAAAACACTGAAGCTATGAATAAAGTACACCTTGCATACCTGCATGTGAGGAGTTAAAATCAAGATTTGAATATGAGAACTTTGTGATCATCTGCTAAAGGTTCATTTGTTTTTTTTGTCTGGTTCAAAAATTACCCATAATGTTTTTCTAATTCAGGTTCATGCTTTTTATTCAAAAATTTGTGTTTGGCGCACTGTTTTCATTTAATAATCAAGTTTTGCAGTTACTGATTTTACATTTCCTTATTGTGGCACTACTTCCTTATCTTCTTGTCCTTGTCAGATAAGTTGTTAATAAAAATTACTGGAATTGGTATTAAAATTATGTGGAGTTATTTGCAAAATCAGTGGAAAACTCAATCATTACGTTAGGCTGAGTATTTTTCTCCATTTGGAAATATGAAAATGCAAAAGGTGTAGGGCTGTGGCCCAAATGTAAATTCAGCGATGTCACTGTAAAACCAACATGTCAATACTCACACTAAACAACTGTGCAGATAAAGCAGGAATTAAACTCAGAGCTTTTTTTTTACATTTCCCCCTAAAAAAAAAGGACTTTAAAGCTGTTCAAACCTATTCTCAGTTCCCTGTCTGTCTGAGAAAGACTTCCTTGTGACTTTGATTAAATACATATGCTGTCTATGTTTCTGATTTCTCACCTGAGCGACTGCTTCCAGGCCATCTTGATCCAAACAGGTGTACTTTAAAAGCAGTTTTTTCTTGTTCGACAACAGAAGACCAATGTCCTTCTGTCCTAGTTCTCCCTCCAGCTCCCAGAAAATCACCCCACCGATCAGCACGTAGACCACATAGAGCAACCCCAGCAGCAAGATGGAGGGCACCCTCACCAGACTGAGCATTTCCTTTAGCCCCATCTCGGCTCTCTGCTGAAATTTTGGGATACAAAGACAACTCAGAGATTTGAACCTCTACAACTGGAGAGAGTCAGGAGTGAGAGTTTGCCTGCTTGGCTTCTCGTCTTTCCCTGTATTGCAGGCAAATGAAGCTCCATACACATCAGCGTTTCAGTCACTGCAGTGGCCTGGCATGCAAATTTAGAGGAACAAAATAAGAAGAGGAGATACTGGCTGAGATTAAGCTGGGAAGAAGACGATAAAGAGACTCAAAGTGAAGCTTTTGGTAATTGAGTCTGAGGCCATGGAGTTAATTCAAGTGCAGTTACAATAAGGTGAGAAGTGTTCACATACGAGACTTAATATAAGTTTATTCATGTTTTTCGAAGTCCTATCTTTAAGATCACAGTTCTCCTACAGGCTGATTTGAGACAGACAGTGACAGTTCATGCTCAGCCAAGACTCCTGGTCATTATTGGCAAACATTTTAAAGAATGACAGACAGGAACCACCCTCCTCCTGTATCTCAGCTGCTTCTGTAATCAGTCCGTGTGCTTCCAGGTCACCTCACACCATCCTGATTAATGAGTTTGTTTAAGATAGAACTCCATGCTCAACTCACCACAGTTTACCATCAGTACACAAACACAGATGTGGTCTCACATGAGCACATGTGTAAATGTACACATTCAGAGATTACCATAACTATTAGTGTGCACCAGGGATATCCCATAAAACAAACATGTAGCAGTAAATGACAAACTGTTGATAACTGTGCCCTAAAGAATACCTCTATCGCCGCAATGTACTTGAGGTCTTCTGCATTTTCTTGTTGTTTTAAAGACCCACTCTAATGTAAATCATGTTTTTCTTGTTGTCTACACACTCAGGAAAGTAGAGAGGACGATTGCGGAACAATTGTGTGCATTAGCGGATTGAAATGCTTCTAAGAAAATGAATTATGGTATTAACTTTTACCATGTCCCCAAAAACATTAGTGTCTGAGAGCTGAATAGCTTCTATGTTACATGCCACTTGCCATATTACATCAATAATGATAGGCTACAAGCTAATGTGAAGAGGAGTGTGCTGAGCAGCGCTGTCTCCGCCCATGATTCAGAGTAAAATTGCTAATGAGTGCGCTGCACAAGAAAAGTCCTTGAAAATCCCAATGGTAACATGATTTTGTCTAAAACTTCATAATCACAATTTAAAGACCACTGAGAACACTTTCAGTAGTAAAAAAAAAACAATCAGAGTAGGACTTTAAGCAAGGGTTACAAATTAACATTTCTGAACTTTAAAAAGAAGGTAGTAATTCATATCATTAGAGACCAACACGCATAAGTTTTGAGGAGTGGCCAATCAGCAACCTTCTGTGTTGTAAATGCAGCTAATGAGGAAATTGCCAAAATCTGCAGTTCCTAAACTGTCCACTTGGGGCTGGCTGCAAAAGCTGTGGAAACGCAATCCAGGCCAATGTTAATATGTTACACAGTGGATTTATTTATGTTTACTGTCTGGTGCAGAAACATAGTTGGTCTGGATTATGTTAAGGTGAATACTTGTGGGAAATTACTGTAGGTGTTATAATAGAGGTAGCTGTTTGTAAGATGGCAAGCCTTGGCCTCCAGTCTAACTCCAGGTTTCTAGATCTGCTGACTGGAGTCTATGGTTATAACCTTACCACTGCTGCACTAGTCCTATTCCAGGTGAGTTCTGCTCTCTTAATGCTGATCTATCTAACTGATTCTTGGGCCTCAACAGAAAGAAAAATATATTTTTTTTTCTAGACCATTATTTCCGAATAAACCAGTTCTTTACAAGGTGTGAATAATTTGAAGTTCCCCATTCAAATAAGACAGAGGATGGCATGGTTCAGCAAAAACATCTGATTTCTTGTTGTCATCTCAATCACAGTATTTACATGCTTATGTTACATGTTGAAAGTCTCATTATAGTCCAGTGTCAGACCAGAAGCCATGGTGAGTCAGACCGATCACATGCTCCATTATCCTGGCTCCCATGTTGAGGATCAGAGCGAGTCAAGCCAAGGCGAAGATGATCCATATACCAGCCAGGCTCCTGTACAGAGAGATGCACTGCCTATCTGGGTCAGTCCCTAGAAATAGTGACGATACTGGTTAGTACATGCAAATTTTACTCATATTTTTTTGTTCAGCAGCACGTGTTTGAGAGGAGGAGGCATTTCTATCCAACAGGTGTGTGACGGCTGTGGTCTTTCCACCCCATTACTGATTGTTTGCTTTCTCTACTCACCCACCACATAATCTCCAAAACCAATTGTGCTGAGGGTAATGAAGGCAAAGTAGAAACCCTTTCCGAACATCCAGCCTTTCACGTAACTGAACAGCAGAGGAGGGATGACCACAAACACCAGACTGCCTGATATGAAGAACAGGCTCACAGCTCGAGACTCCACTGTTTGCTACCAAACAAACAGCAAAAGGAGATTTTGTTTAAATATGGTGGTTGGTGCTTGGAAATGGACAACAGTCAGTACCTTATGAGGAAAAACGGAGACCATTCCCCTCTCCAGTCGGCCCAGGTGGATGGTGAGACATTTCCCCAGCTGTTTGAGGAAGGCCAGGTTCAGTGGGATCCCACACAGCAAATAAAATACACAGAATACTTGACCAGAAACTGTGCTGGGGGACAGGTTTCCATAGCCTGTGGATCAAATCATTGGATTCATTTCAAACATCAGTCACCGATTGTTGTTTCAATCAAACAATCTGTATTTATATAGCGCCAATCAAGAAGAGACCACAGTCTTCATCATATTTACAAAAACCCAACATCAAGATGGGATAAGATCGAGACCTGTCCTGAGAGTGCAGGCTCACTCTGATCCAGTCTTTATCTACCATGAGTGAAACACTTTGCAGTATTTATCAAGTTACAGTGAAGAGGATGAACTTCCTCTGACAGGCAGAAACCTCGAGTAGAATCAGACTTATGTTAGACAGTCATCTGCTGAGGCTGAGCTTGGTTTAGAGAGGAGAAAGAGGGAGATAAAGAGACGTTCTTTTCTTTTGTGCAGATCTTAAGTTTCAGCCACTAAACTTCAAATACTTATACACACATTGATGTCATTTCACTTTAGATATCTTTTTCATCAGTTATCAAGGAAACTGTTGCATTATTAACAAATATAGCTCAGACAGTTGGTCTCATGACCTCTGGCTGCCTGTTACATGTCCAGAGCTCTCAACCTCCCTTGCAGAGCAAAACCATGTCAGGCTTCTGTAGATGCCCCAGTGAAATCCTTCATACTCATCATCTTACAATGTCAGGACAAATATGCAAAATTTGCCTCCCTGACCTGCATAGCCTTAAGATGAATGGTCAAAGGGCTTTCAAGGCCATGACACATGATATCAGGAATTCACTCTTTGCAGTATGCTGACAGACTGGTGACCTCATTATTTAGTATATTCTGTCATTTTTTACTGTTTGATTTTCAATCTTATCTTTTTATGTCTAAGGCAAAAGTGATGTGAATTAATTAGAATTACTTAAAATCTGCAGTTAAAAATGTGTGAAATGCAAAGATGCTCACCTATAGTTGTGACGACTGTGCCTGCAAAAAGAAAGAACTGCAGAAATCCCAGTTACTAGGGTTTGTTGAGTTTCCCGAAGGATTCACTCCTTTTTTCCCAGGCATCTAAAATCATATGTAAACATACAAAAACATGGTTACTTAACGGCTACACTAAAAAGGAGGATTGACTTGAGTCCATTAAGTAGTTGGGTCATAACACACTTGAGGATTTGAGAGCTAAATTGTATTTTTATTGTTATAAATTTAAGAGTTTTGAAGTCAATCGTTTTATTTTTGATCCCAAGAAGCCATGGTTCGGAATTCATAAGAGCTTGATTCAGTTTATTTCATCAGCTGTTTCTCTTTACCAACTCTCTCCATCTGGAATTCATCGAAGAAGACAATGAAGATAAACCTTTACAAACTTCTCCAGCCCTGGTCCATCCAAGCAGGTATAATTGGCCAAGAAATGAAGCTTCTCCAGTTGGAAGTGGTCTCGGTTGTTGCTCTCAGCCTCTCGCTCCAGTATTCGGACGATGGTGGCCCCCACCAGCAGGTATGTAAAGTGGGCTAGAGTCAGAAGTACAGTCCAACTAACTGTGACCTCCATTAATTTGAACCTTGCCATCAAACTCCTTTGGTACTGCAACACTGAGGCTTCAACTCAGATCAATGGTTAACCCACGATTAAAGAGTAGCAGAAATTTGCAGATCTCATGAGTAATTCCCTCACATTGGCGTCCATTAGTGCAGATTGTGGCATTTCTTATCAAAGAGGTTGTAAAAATGGCTTCATAATCCTGTTTTCAAAGCAAAGCAACATCAAGAAACGCTTATATTTTTGTGAATGCGCATCCCTGAGGTGACAGTTAGAAGTAAATACTTTCCCAAACATCTCCACTTGCTGCTCTGACTCTGATTGGCCAGACGACCTCAGATGTTGGTTGTTTGATTTATGGGTTGCCTGGGTACCAATCAAACCCCTCCTCTCCATTAGAGCGACATCTGGGCACACACATTTACTTTCAGCTGTTTCCACTAATAAGGAAGCTGCAGCAGCTTTTTGTCAGCAGAACAAAGGTTAATATTTTACCTCAGTGCAGTTGGTTCTTTAGGCACTGATAGAAAGTTTCAACAGGACCTCGTACTGTGGGGACTGACATAATAGAAATGTAATATCCAAACTACAAATTGGTGCTGGATTCCTGACTCTGCACACTCACTCTGAAATTACAGTTGAATTGAAAGTGTTTGGTGAAACAGATAGGATGGAAACCAAAGGAAGACGTTCAATCAATCAATCAATCAAATTTTATTTATATAGCGCCAATTCACAACAGTCGTCATCTCAAGACGCTTTTCAAGGAACAAGAGCAGGTCTGGACTCATTGTTTGATGATCAAGAACCAACCTTCTGTGAAGTCTGCAAGTTAGTGACACCTGAATGGATGTTGGAAAAGCAGCAGGTGTGATTATAAGGGGTTTTCAGTCCTGCTCAGATGGGTCAGACTAAGGGGGGTTTCAGCACCATTATCAACAACTGTATAAATACCTGATTCTGATTGGTCAAAACCCTTGACAAAGTTGTTAAGGAATATTTCAGTATCTTTAATCACAGTAGATGCCTGCCATCTTTAATGAAAAATTAACAGCATGCAAGATAGGCTTCCTGACTCTAGCCAGTTTTGAGAAAGTCTGACCCAGTCATTCATGTTTAAACAAATGCTCTGCTGGGAAATTTTCCAGCACTTAACTTCACCATGACAAGGTCTTCTTGTTTTGGCACTGTTTCTGGAAGCAACACACAGAGGTGCTCTTGTGCATATAGTTTACTGATCTGTTCAGGTCAACAGGCTTTAAAGAGAGAAAAACTAACTGAGTCACTCTGATATTGTACTCAAACAAGACCACTTAAAATGCGCTAAAATATCCCTTTAATGAAAGACCAGTTGAATGAAAACAGATAAATGAAGACTGGAGGTGAAATGAAATGAAATGCACAGAAATTAATATTTCAAATTGAAAATGAATATTGAAACATTTGAGGCTGAGTGAAGTCATTAACCAGAGCGAAGAAAACACAAAGAAGAAGAAGAAGCAACCCCAAACTAAAAAACAGTAGGCCTATGGGCTTTGGAGAAAATATACAGGACCGGTTGAGAGGAAAAAAAACCCAGAGACCACATGAGAAGCTGCTGTTATTTGCTGCACTTTTTAAAAATGTAAACATTACCATAAATGTTCAATTTTATATGATCTGTAACAGTTCAGCTGGATTATGATCAAACTGTAAGAGCAATGATTTCTTTAATTTTAATTTGACCTGCAAGTTGGCTGCCAAAGCTGGAGAACTTGTTTCTTCCATTTATTGATTAAGAATTTTAACAACAACAACAAAAACCTCCTTAAGCTAGAGACATTTGCATAATCTTTGCAGAAAGTACACTGAAATGCTGATAATAGATTACAAAACACTGCTGAAAAACTATGAGGTGACTGTTTAAGAGCTGCAGCTGTACAAGTAAAACATTAAAGTGTTAATGTTGCATATTTATAAATGCAATAACAAGTTTGAGGTAAAAATAGATGCTGTACATGTGGGTTATGGACTTTTTAAAACAATAACAACTCTAGCTGAACTTCAGAAACACAAAGTTAAGGGTCTCATTTGAAAAATCATGATGAAGTTTGCATACAGGATCTGAAAATATTGAGTGTTGTATTATTTATTGTTTGAAAATGTTCTCAGTTGCAAAACAAAACTAGCTCAGCTTGTAAAAACAGATTTCATGGATATTGAAATGCTTTCTTTCTATTACTGTTACATGTTTTTACCTACCATTTCTTCAGTTAAAGATTTTTTTAAACACTAAGGCTATGAGGGGAGGAAATAACAGATACTTGGAAGTGACCAAAAGTAGACTTATCTTCTTCAAGGAGACTCTGCCTGGATGCAAATCGTGCTGCTGCATGTCTTCTGCCAAACAAATGAAGGCAAAGCCATGCAAACAGGCTGATCTTAAGTTCACAGCTCTTCTTCTGTTTGTGGAGACAGGTGACTAGATTGATGGGATTACTGTCTGATATCCTGAGTGACGGCAGTGCTAAAGACATTCAGTGAGATCATGTGTTCATAATGTGATAAGGTAGTAAACGTAGGACTGAGTCTTTCTGAGTCAAGGTTTTGGAGGTCACTCTAAAAACTGACCAGTCTAATGTAATATATAATTTCTCTGGCATTATCCACCCTGAATGTTAACGCAACAGTAAGACTCCATATGTAATATTTCAAATAATATATTTTAAATTGATGGTTTATCAGCAGAGCTCACCAACAGCTGCTCATAAGCCTATTTGAATTTCAAATATTGTGCTTAAGGAGCCCAGACAGCTGACTGACTGACTGCAGTGTGGCTGTAAAGTTAGCGATTTTACTGGTATATCATCAGTAAAGTGGAGCAGATCCTAAAAGACACCAAACGAACAAAGCAGAGTATGACTTTAATTCAGGGTTACTTGACAACTAATGGACCTTTGATATTTAATAATGCGCCAGAAGCCTTGCCAGATGGGGTTTCTGAATCGCTTTAGGAAGTGAATTTTCCCTGGGTCATTTTCTGGTTGAATTCACAGGAAAATGAACTTCTATGAGATCATAGCATGGCTATTTGCAAGAGATTAACTGTAAGGGAAGACACACAAGAAAGAGTCAACGTCATTGATAAAGATAAAAAGTCATCAGCAGTAAGTAGAGCTGAGTGAGAGTTCATCATTCACCCTGAAGTGTTCCTGTTTGGATTTCAGCTGGTAAAGTTTGACATTAAGTATTGTACCCACTGATGATGGAGCAGGAATAGACAATTAAGATGATTTTTTCTATCAGTTGTCGGTTGTGTTGTCCACGCTTCCTGTCAAATGAAGCAACAACCTAAACCAAACAAATAAAACTAAACTAAGTCAGGATAATCAAGTCAGTAGGAAAATGTTGCCTGAGGCTTTAAATCAAGCAAATGTGGGATCATCCTTATTATCTGCTTTCACCCGTCAGATCGTCTCCCTGTCAAATAGAAAAAAATTGAATTAAACCTGTTTTCACAACAGGTGACTTCAGACAAGACTCATTAGAAAGGGCAGTGAGGGTTTTTTTGACACTTATGAAAATAGACTGCAATTCATATTGAAGATTTTTATGATATACAAACAACACCACCAGCAACAATATCTGAGGTTTTATTTTTCAGCTTTTAATGCCTGAAACCAGAGTGAGCAGAAAGGTGTCAGCTAAGCATTAGGGGAACAGGTGTTTTAGAATCAATGAGACATCTGACTGTTTGGAGTCAGCAGAATAAGGTTTTGGCATGTAGAAAACAAAATAACCAAAGACTGCTTTGTCTACAGGGGGCGCCACAACCAACACAAACAGAAAGTTCCTCACAGGAGCTTTGATTGACGACACTTTATGCTCTTTCAAAAAATTAAGTGATCTTTATTTTTCAGCATGTGTTAAATCATCAGACAGTCATATGTGCACATTTTACATACAGTATTATATTTACAACATAAGAAACAAACCTGCATTATGATACAAAACTCATCTAACAATGGTCATAAAATAAAATAATACAGCAATGTCAAATTCACTGTGCGGCATCTTTTACAACTGTTACTGGAGCCAGTCTGTTTCCTTCAACCTTTAATATATTGAGATAACATTTGTTTGGATCAAATGGGGCAGACTGTGATTTAAAGTACTGCCCAGTATGTCATACAGGTGTGTGTATCTGTACAAATCAGGCAGGATATGTGGTTTGTGATTGTCTGCGAGTCTGTGATGAGAATTCTCTTTATGATTATTCAGTCCAGTGTCCAACACCAGGTTTTATCACCTGTCAGATGCGGAGGTTGTTCAGGAGGTCTGATGCCAACAGTTTAGGACTCACAGGCTCTCATCACTTGGTTTTTCTACTGAGGTGGGCCTGGAAAAAGGATAAAAGCACCACAAGGTGAGAAAATCCCTTAACACTGATGACAGCTTTGCACTTCGGGTTGTAGGTTTCACACATTTCCCAGCCTACCAGTATGAATCAAAAGCTGATTTGGTGCAAAAAAAAAGCATGATACCGGGGTCACCAACCAGGGCTATCCTGTCAAAACACAGTCCCTTTCCAGCTCAGCAGTGCCAAGGTAAAGAGGCGTGAAATGACTTTGCCTTGAGAGTGAGGAAAGAAAAGACAGACGGGCAAACAGCTGTTTTTTACGTCAGGTCTTCCTGCTCATGTGGCCTCTGTCGTGTCTGTTCACATGACCTCAGCCTCTCTGGATATCTAGTGGCAAACCTCAAAAAATCCAAGTTCATTTTGCCGCCTGCCAAAGTAAGCAGCCACACAAGGGTCAAAGGAGGAGAGAGGGACCGCAGAGGAGAAAGAGATGAGTATTTGTGGAGCTAGAAGAAGCTCCAAAAAAACATCCCACGTCGAGACGAGTACATTGAAATCCAAATTACAGTCAGCTCATTCATGGCGACTTATCAAGTGTTTGAGTCAGTCACAGTCACTTAAATACAACCCTCAAAAGTTACAAAACAGGATTTTTGTGTGTGGAGGTGAGGTGCTGTTGATCATATCACCACCAGAGGGCAGCGTTGGATGAAAAATGCACCGACTGTAAAGGTTTTGACTGTAAAAGTGTGTTTTACCTGCTCTGTCCAGGAGGTTTTGCCGTGCCCTGACGAAAGCCAGGATGTCAGCGTCTGCCTGGTGGTCTCCAGTGAGAGGGATGGAGGAGGACGAGAGTTTGGTGGCAGAAAGAGCTCTGAGGAGCACATGTGTTGTGTTTAATAACAGCATAAATTGCCCTCAGTTTCTTTAACACTAAACAGACTTTTTATGGCACTTGTACTCCCAGCAAATCCTACCTAACAGCTAACAGCTCCACATATCATCACATACAGTCAAGCCTCTGTGTGAACAATAGGATCTCTGTAGGACGAGTGGTCCTGCAGACGGACAAAGGCATGTATGTTATGCATTTGGTGTTTTACTGCAGTTGTAAAAAGGTGGTTTCAGCCGCAGCGTTCAGGCGAGACCTCAGGTCTTTGATTTGTTAATACAGTTTGGAGACATTACTTCACAACGGCATAAAAATTTATGACCTATTTTTATAAGTAGAAAGAAAACACGATCGAGCTGTAAAATCTACACGTCCTGACTGTATGTATTTAAGAGTTACTGCAAACGTGGGGGAGGTGGCCGTATTGTCTGCGTTTGGATATACTGTTAAGAATGCACACATACTAAACACACAGTTTATACACTTAATTGGATTCAAGTGGTACATTAATTTTAGTTATTTCACGACTATTTGTGAGGACAAATGGGACACTAAATCAGTTTTTAAGACTCCCTGGTTTCAGGGGCCAGACATTTTGACAGGAGACTGGAAAAACTCTTTTTGTCCTCCTGAGACATTTCCTCAAGTGTGTTGGATGCGCACACATGGCACATGTTTGAGCTTTGTTTACCTCCACTCAGATGAAGGAGTGAAACCAGTCATCTGCCCATCCAGGGACTTTTCATGCCACGCTGAGACCGGATGAACTCTTTTAGAGTCTCTGAAGTCTCTGAAATTCACAAATATGCCATTCTATTTTGGTGAGAGGGTATGGAGTTACAGACAAGAACTTTATAGGAGATAAATCAGAAGTTAGGTGGAGAAATGCTGACCTGAGGTCTTGATCAGAGGCAGTGAAAGAGTCTGGACTTGGGTCTGAGCCTCCCTCAGGGTCTCCCACAGTACTGGATGCACAGCAAAAAAAGTCAGGGCAGCATTTCTAAACATTAACCCGCAGACTTTCTGAGTCTTGTACCATCAGTACTTCATCTCACTCGACCTTAGGAGACTCTCATGGTGGGTGTAGAGTCGGTACAGAGTCGTGCTTAACCACCAGAGGGAGCTAGAGTGCAAACATTTCTTTCATATTATTCTGCAGGGAGCAACATGCAGATATATAACACCTAATCAGATCAATTTAATATGTTTTATAATGAGTTTGATGAAATATTAGCAAAATGATGAAACCATGATGGCAACAGAAGAACAGAAGAAACTGAAGAAGCAATCGAAAAAGTTCTGTATGTAAAAGATTAAGATGACAGTGATGAGATAGATTTGGAGTCTTTGTTGAAGTCACTAGCATTTGCTTTACGTCTGGTGAAGCTGTGTGAACAAATCAGAATAAAAAAGGTCCTTAACAACGATCTGCAGTCATCAAAATCCACAGACAACACTGAAGACTGAATGACTTCATTTTAAGATTTTGAAGGACCTTCTTCACTCACTTTGTACCTTTTGAAAACTGAAAATAGTTATCCATCAGGACTTTTCAAATAAAAGTTTTCTAAAAAAGGCCAATATGAACACTCAAGGAAGAAGGTTAAGAGTTGGAAAGATACATGTTACTATGCCCTTTCTTTCCTCATGAAAACAGGTGAGTAGGGGGAGGTAGAGCTTGCAGCCAAACCCAGGAGTAAATACACTCTCCCCACCGGTCCTCTCCTGAACCACTGTTGTCCTCTTTCGCTTTGTATATGGGTGTGACAGCTGCATGAAGCGGGGTGGAGCTAACTGCTAAACCACCCTAAGATGTTCTGGGCCTCACTTGACAAAGCCAAGTTTCATTAATGGGGCAGTTGAGGGGCCAGTAGAGGCTGTGTAATGAGGTGGGTTTAATCAGTGTTGTCATAATCAGGGGTTTGCTGACGCTGGTGATGCTATTCTGGCAATTGTGTCTCCTGAGGGTCTTTTGGTGGTTCTGTATATTGATGGTAAATATTTTGCTGACATAACAGAAAAAGGTGTCTCACCGAAATCCTGGAGTATGAGGTGAAGATGGCTGCAAGGTTGACACAGGGTGACATCTGGCAGCAGCCTCTGACTCAGCCTCCTGGTCAAAGATATTCACACTTTTCAGCAAAAACACCATTCCAGCCTGATGATGCTGATGTCAAACGTTAAACACACTGAGACCATATGTAACTAACAATCATCGTTAATCATTTTGTGCTGTTTTTCAAAAACAAAACTATAAATAGTTGAATAAATCTTTAGGATTTTAATGTGTTGGCAGGAGAATATGTCCTGTTTCCTGCGTGGACAACCAAGACTACAGATGTAAGGCCTGTCTGTCTGACTTCCTCGTCTTTCCATTTGTTATTCAGCGATAAAATCCCAAAGCTTGATCAGATGTGAGTGAGATACTGTTCTCCTTTTGTAGGATCAAAAACACAGAGCAGAAGCCAGATGTGTCTGCTGCTCAGATGTTCTGCTGAACATCGTCTTTGTGGTTGTTTTTTAAAATGTGTGCAGCAGAGTTTGACACCAGAGACTCAGTTCGCTGGAAGTTTGTGTTATTCAATCAGGAAATATCTATATTTAAAACTAGCCACTTTTTATTGAGGCTTTTTCGGGTTATGAATTGAGCACAGCATCAGTCAAGTCAAGTCCAGTCTATATCAGCTGATCTTGATGCTCTGACTGATAACTGATACAAATTGGGACATGATATGGCATCACTTCATGAAATGTTTACAATGAAAACACAAGCCAAATGAATTATAATCAATATTTCTGAATAATTTCCACCAAAAGAGTATATGTTGGTGGGTTGTGTAGCCCTAGTTGGTTTCCAAAAATTAAATTAGTATAACATTGAGCGAGTTTCTTTAATCGCTCTTCGGAAGGATGGGCTTTTCAAGATCCGGCTTCCTTCAAAGAGACAGAAATCTCATCTCTGCTCATCTAAGTCACTTCTTGAAACTCACTTTTATGGCAGAGCTTTTCCTGATTTTACTTAACCTGAAATATCCTGATTTTATCTTCAAATATGGAATTGGTTTTCGGATCTGAGTAGATTGATCCCTTTGAGTGGATGCAATTAACAGTATGTATGAGCTCACCAACATGAAATCTGTGAACTTAGTTTTATATGATAAGCTGCAAAGATTTAAATCAGTCTAATGATTTGACCCCAAATAAGTGAAAATCACGGAGCCAGTTTGAAGAAATCTTCAGAATAGTCCTTTAAGCTTCAAACTGCTGAAACTTGTACTGATGCTGTTTCAGTCTTGTCTCTAAACTTTTTCTCCTGGCTCTCGTTCAGGTCACATGGACTTCTGTTAACTGTGTTTCCATGTACTGGCCTCCTACATATCTTCCCACATCCCTTCAGCATGATGCAGAGCAGAGGCTGCAAGGGTCACACTGGTGCCGTAAAAGCCTCCGAAGTCAGAGAGAGACACATGCATATCAACTTACACGTAGACGAACACGCCCGTCGAGGCCAATAATCAGAAACCACAGAAAAGAAAACAACCATAAACATAGAGACAAAAACCAACACACGGTCTAATGCCATAAATACATCTCTGACACACGGGCCTCACACACTGTCACGCTTACAGGAGCTTTATGTGCAGTAGTTACTAAGATGAGCACGGAGGATTAGAGGACGGTACCTGCACACTTGAGACCTCCTGACTCCACCACCTCTGAAAGTCCCTCTGCAGCTTGACCTTTGCCCTCCCCAACAGCAGCTGCATGTGCTCGATCTCTGTCCTCAGTGCTTTTAAATGACCGATAGTGCTCTTGTAACTGACAGGAGATATTAGCAGCACAAAATTCATCTTCAAGCTGCATCATGGAGCATCTGCTGTGTCTAATCAATATCACAGAGGCCTCGAGAAAAGTACGAAACATCAGTCATGGCTGCAGTTTTTCCACACTCACGCCTTTTTCTCTTGCTCAATGTCTTTGAGTAAGTTTTCTTCCACAGGGTTGACCTCCTCCTCTGCTCCTGAATGGTTCTCCATTACACCTGTGGTAGCGGGGGACAGGTAAGACAAAAAGCATAGGAGTTAAAAAAAGGGGGAGAACACGTTAAAACACTGGAGAAAAAGCAAAAATTACAGTCAGAATGATTGCTCGGGTTAACAAGGTTTTATATACATGGTGTCAGAGAGAAACAAAATGAACACATTGATCAGTGTTTGGGGTCTCCGGCATGGCTGGTGTGATGAGAAGATGCTGGTTTTTAATGTGTGAGGTTATAAAAGAGTGAATTTAACTTTCCCAGTACAACTCTCTAGAGAGACTTTTTTATCTTATTGTGGATGAGTGTTGAGGACGCATATCCTCCAGGGATCTTCCTATGGTCAGTTCTTGGTCCAGTATTTTGGAAACCCTGGTATAGCCTGAAGATGATTTTCTTCACTTCAAGATTTTTTAATATATATTTCAATCTCATTTTAAAGGCTGAGCTGTCAACAGCAGAGAAAATCAGACAACAGCAGCCAGGGATGTAATACAAATAAGGAGCTGAGTGAAAGAGATGTTGATCAAATTGAAGAGGGCAGATGTTGGACTTATTCTCGGCATCAGCTTCTAGAAAAATGTTTTTTTTTTAAGACTTAACCGTGAATAAAAGTGTTATGATAAAGCTTCTAAGAGAGGGACTTTAAGTTTTTGTGCCCTCCGGTGGGTGAAGCAGTCTTTGTGTACGTTGTCTCTTACATACCTTAACTGTGTCTCCTGATATTAAAATCTCATCCTCCTGACTTTAGAGAGTCACGTATCATTTATTGAGAAAATACCATAAGTGCAATGTAAAATGGGTGTCGACTGACTCCTACCCCTTTGTTATAAAAAAAAATTACAACATAAAAATCATCTGCTTTGTTGCTGGTGGTCTTGCTTGCTTTTGCGCATAATAGAAAAGTAGTACTATGAGTTGTACTGAGTTTTTTTCATACATGTTAAAAAACTCCTTACTAGAGCTTTAATCAGACACTCATAAAGGCTAATGACACTGCTTTAGTTTGGCACAGCCAGGTCACTGTGAACAACAACAAAATCTTCTGGTGCCTGAATTGGGGGGGGGGGGCTCCTCTGGTTCTATGCCCAGGCTCTGGTCACTAATCTGTCAGTATGAGGGGCCTACTGCGAGAGCTTTGAAGTGGGCACTGCTGCATGTACAGAACAAGAGCACCCACAGTGTGTTCACTGTGTTTACCTCCTCCATTCAGAGAAGATGCTACTGTCTGGGGCAGCTTTCTTTCACCTCTCAGTTATGTTTTACAAACCAGTTTCGGTTTGCTTGAGTTCAATCCTGAAAGCCTTGAAGAAAGGTGCTGTTTGTGGAGGTGTCCGTCACATGCGTGTAATTGCTCTGTGTATTGTTTTGCAGTGGGTGTGGGTAGATAACACATGGTTTGAGTTGTGTTGCGAGGATGGCTATTGTCAGTTTGATCTTACTGTAAGCTGCCCTTCGTCTCCTCTGCTTCTCCAACTGCTTCTTCAGTTCATCTGAGAAACACAGAGAGGAAAAAATTCACACACAGTATTTCAACATTCATAAACCTTTATATTAATCTTCTAACGCATATACAAGATACATCTCTGTGTAAGGCTGTTAAATCAGGCTTTATGTTTACTGCCTATACCATTACAAACCTCACTACACATTATGAGTGCTTATTATCGCTTATAAGGAAATATGGGGCCCTATAAATGTGCTTGTGATGCATTATTAGAAGTGTTTCCAAAGGCTCCTCAAGTAAAGCTGACTTTATATGTAATTCAATTGATCAGATGCATCATAATTTGGGATGATTTAGTAAGACTACCACTGAATTGCTGCGACAAAATATGAACATTTAAACCTCAGAGCCTGTTATTAAGTTAAAAATATCTGATGTTAGAATAGGACACACTGCTGAGCTCCACATAACCAGTTAAATGATGATAATTAGGCAGACTGAAAGCTGACAGAGACGTTGAATGGCAGTATCTGCTGTGGTCAGTTTCCATTACCATCCCTCAGGTCTTATAAACATGTAGACGGTGCTGCGCTGGAGCTTGCGCTGTAATATGAGCCTGTCGCCAATCTAAAAGCCGAGGACCCAGTTCCAAAAATGAGAAATCCAGATGAAGTATTGTTCTGCAAAAAAACCTTCCAGGAGAAAAGTGGGTGGGGGGAGCCACCTATTCATTCAACATCTGTTATGGCGCCATAAAACGTTGGATTTGAAGAGTAGTTTTGTAGATGAAGATGTCTCCGTTTAGCTGAAATGACCTGATTATTACAGTGTATGATTTTATGAAAGACTTTTGGCTGAATTCAGTAACTCTTCAGGAAAATTCCCTGATAAATGCTTTCAAACTTTACATTCAGACAGGGTTCTCTTTAAAATTCGACAAACACATTTAAAATGCAGACTGCTATTATGGGTGTCAGGAGATGTGGAGACGTAAATGGATGATGTGAATGTTATAAATGAATAACAGGGACGCGCTCTGCCCATGATGACACTGTTTTTCCCAGATTTCTATGGAGCACGAGCCAGAGTTTGGGAACCCCTCTCCAAACATATGTTTTCATATGTCAGTGGTTAGTGGAGCTGATATTGTAAATGAACTGAAATGCCCTTGTGGCTTTTCATTGTGGTCAGGTGGGCAGACCTGATTCTTCTTACAGACACGACTTTCCCAAACATGACCGTCAGCTAATGGACATATAGCCTGCTGCTTTCACAATAACATAAAAGGATTAGGCAATAAGCACAGAAAAAGGGCTAATGCCACCTGTGTGGCTTACATCAGTCATGGCTGAGGGGCGATCCCTGAGGTTTATAAATGGAGTCAACATGAATGTGTTAAACTGCAGCACCCTGAGTGTCCAACTGAAGCTAGCTAAGGAAACCCATAATAAGAAGCCCACTTATACAGCAGAACTGGACATGTTTATAGCCAGATACAAACATGGTTTGGTCTTTAGACCAGAGGAGAACAGGAGAACCTGTTTTGTTCAGCATATGATCACATCAAAATGAAGCGTTCCAAGAACTAAGGCCTAGCTACACATGAAAACTTGATTCATACTTGTGTGACACTTTGGAGCAAATCTGGGACTTTGATGCAGAGAAAAAATCCAGGACGCAAAATACTTGGTACCTTACTCAAGCTTGGCAAGACCGTCTGTGAAGGCAGGAAGTTTAAAAAATCTAATCAATGTTCCAAAACTGCAAGGTAACACAAAAAAAGATGGCTAGGTGGAATCACCTGGGTTATATTTAAGTCAGACTTACAACTAAGAAGACTCAGGTGTGTGAGTAAAAAAGGCGGGAAACTGAACAATGACAGGAAGTAAGACTAGAAACAATACAAAAACATCATGGATTACAAAATAAAACAGGAAATAAACACAACACATACTTAAATACTTGACAATGTATTACAACTCAATAGTGTTGCAATGCAAAAATCAGCGACCACCTGACCAATACTTCATACAATGCAAAATAAGAAATCGATTGATCCCTAAATTGAAATCTCTTTGTCTGGAGTCTCATGTCTCATGTAATTAAAGAATAGAGTCTTATTTACAAAATATGATAAACCAAAACCATATGATTTTGTCTTGATTCTAGTAAAATGTATTTCAGGTTTAATTTAAGCAACTTTCACCCCACAAGTCCAGAAAATGTTTTGTTTGAAGATTTAACACCCAAAATTAAGAACTAAAGTGCTCATTTTGAATAAAAGTATCTGCCAATAGGATAAGATAAATTAAATTTCCAAGCTTCTTAGAATAAGCATTATTTTTCTTCGTGAGGCAAAGCTTAAATTAAAAAACTTGAGAATTAAAAAAAAATATTATTCTGTTGATTTCTGTTGAGGGTTGAGTTCCCTAGACGAAATAGTTTGAAGACAAGTTGGCGTTTACTGTCCATATTGATGAGCTCCTAGAAAACCCAGAGACGTGCTACTTTGAGTTATATCTGGCTCTCAGTACTGGATTAAATTAGATTAGATTGAATCAAATAAAAACAAAAGTTTTTGCAAATGTTGTACAGCATCTTCAGTTATGTTCTGAACCAAATCAAATCAAGTAAAATCAAAACAAATTGTTCTATATTTCAATCATCCTTTAAGTGGATGATGGCCATCAGGATTCAAATTTGATCAGATCCTCTTGAAAGGGAACAGAGCACCACACTAAAAAGAGGAACAGAGCACCACACTAAAAAGAATAACAAAAAACACATCAAGTACACTATGTAGAGGTTTTTTTGGTGCAATATAGGCAAAAATGTACAATAAGAATGTGGAACTGGGATCTTTATGTATTAATAAGAGCCTGTGTCCACTGACTGCTTTTTTTGCATTGGTTGCACCTACACAAAATCAAAGCCTTTTTTTTTTTTTTTTTAAAGTTTTTAGCCCTCATGATGTTCACAGCTAAAAATAGTTCAACTTTTGGAACATAGTTGTGCTCATGAATGCCTCATCCCTCTCACCAACCAATCAAAATCAAGAAAGGCGGGGCTTCTTAATCCAACTTCATTGCCTACAGGGCTGCTTTTGTGTTTCTGTCTTTGTAAAATTTTGGCTGATTTATTGAAACAGTAGATACAGAGAGCATAGAAGGTAGAGCATATTGGCTGAACACCAATAACCGTGACTCAGTTTTCTAAAGGTGACATGTCTATATATGCTCTTACACACAGATATCCACTGATGGAGTTGAATAAAATGCTGAGTCTCATCTGTTCACATGATCCTCTCTGGCCCCAGATTCCCATTAGAGTTCTGTCTTCTTATTTTACTGGTACAATTTTTGTAGTTGATGTATCTCTGTGATGAAATGTGAGTCTGTTTTTTTTTGTTTTTTTTTCATCTAAAGCTTCATTGTTTCAATTTTTGCTGCCTCAGTTGACCATGACTCACTGACACAGAGATATTGTATCTCTAACTGGAGCTCAGTGTCATAAAAAAAAAAAATAAAACAGCCTAAAAATGTAGAAATAAATTCTGGTGATTTTGGCTCGAAAAAATACAATAATCTCAGTGATGACTGAAGAGTCAAACACTACAGATTATTTTGTCAGGACAAATCACCAAAGCAGAAAAACTGACAGCGACTTCAACAGTATTTCTGACTGTCAAAGACAAGAAAAATTCCTCAAAGATTAGCTTTCAGACGTGTCGAGTATCAGCGGTGTGCGGTGTGCTTACTGCAATACTTCATTAAACTTGAGTTCTCCTACTGCTTTCCAGGACAAGACTGCGGCCTCAACACAACAGCCTCTTCCAAACCGTGCAGGGTTTCCCCCCATATCGTCAGGAGACATGCTGTCGTTCTTAAAGACGGGTTTCAAGCTACAAGCCTCAATAAATATTTGGTGATTTTTGTGGGTCGGGGGTTAAATGTGATATGCCACACAAATACCACAGTGAGCACCAGATCCAAGGAGTTTGCAAACTTTTCCTGCTTCTCAATATCAGGGTGTAAGCTGATTCAATGTACAGGGTTTTAAGCCCTATCCCTTAGTGAATCAACTTAACATTGTCAGAAAGACCAAACTCAGAAAGTTACTTTTGTATTTCTTTCTAATAATTCTTTCAGAGAAGTCTTCTTCCTGTTGACATACATTTTAGACTCAACTTGACATTCCTTACTAAAGGGTTTTTCCTACATTAGAAGTCCTTGGAAGAAAAATAAACAGTAGTTCAGCTGGACAGTTTCTGAACACGAGACACAGCTCACTGCCCATCTCTCACAGAACCCTATATCAGTTCATGTCTCCTAAGATTGATGGCTTTGACTCTCACAGCCATCCTTATGGTACTGAACTTGGCCAAACTCCAGGGGGACCAGTGTCAGGGATAGATAATGTATGTCTCCCCAGACAACATAAAGGATTCGCTGTCTGCTCTCAGATATTTGCTTGAGTGACGGGGGGATAATAAATGTGACTAATGGTGACTAAGGATGCAAAGTTCCCGGTAGAGTCTTGTGACTGATTATTTTTTTGAGTTTTTACTCAATGAAAATAAACAAATTTGGAAACCTTGATTATTTTCATGAATAGATAATCCTTCCTGAGATGGGAACCTGCAAAAAGTTGTCTGCAATAATACTGTTCAGTCGTATTAATGTAACTGGGGTTTTAAAAACAGTTGAGGACCAAGAGTAGAGCCCTGTGGAACTCCATTACCAACACAAGAAAGGTTTTGATTCTGCAGCATTTTATTGTCATCACACAACATCCTTTGAGAACAGCTGCCAACACTTAGTAAACTACGATGTACCCACAAAACTCCCTCCAACAGTATTGGGTTTTTTGGCCAATCCATGCAGTTGATTCCAGAATAAGTCAGCCAATGGCCATCATATTATGCCGATATTGCATTATTGTATATTTTTTGCATTGGATATGATTGTAACAATTGAATAATAGTAAAAGTCAGTACTTCCGGCATTTTACAATCTAATATAAAAGGTAATCTTTGCCAAAAACATGTTCCATATGGATTTTGAGCAACAGGCATGTTAGATTTCATTGATGCTTGTTGCAACTGAATTCCAAACCTCTCATGAAAGAAAACTGGGTCATATTGTGAACATCTAAAAGTATTATTATATAAGACCTTCAAATTCCACAAGATGGAGCTCCAATAAATAACCAGCTCCAGATTTCATCACTCCGTCCATGCCAGAACACAGGGGCCACTTCAGCAAAGGTGAGCAGAAGAGAAAAGTGGGATACCTGAGTCTCATGATCCATCAAGCACTATACCGCACAAATCCCCCCACATCTGGCAGAGATATCAAGAGATGCTGCTCATTTCCAGCTGACCTAAACCTTTCATGCTGTGGAAGATGTGCATCGCTGATCTCTCTGAATGAATATACAGTATATCTTGCACTTTTTGCTCCTAAGGGTTTGGAACGTACAGTCCTCCAGTGGGTTGAATTCCAGAGCCGTACAATGTGGCCAAAAACAATACCCTAAATCTGAGGAATATTTAGAGAATAATGTCTCCACAGGCCTCTCTCTTTTGCTTACTGACCCGCATGCTGGGTACATCCATCAGAAAAAGCAGCACCAAGCCTTTGTCTATATTATGCTAAATGTTTCCATGTTCTGCATCAACCACAAGACACAGGTAGTGTAAAATTTCCAAGCAGGGCTTCCAAGATGGCAAGGAAACACATGGCTTAATGTTATGGTACTACTTTCCATCCAGAAGAGGCAACCACGTTCCACTAAAAACATTCTGCCTCATCTCGGAAGAATGCAGCTCCATGCAACTAACAAGGTAATAATATCTGACAGCAAGATGGTTTCTGGATGTATTTCCAAATTGGAGGACGGTGAAGAATTTGAACATTAAATCGTAAACCTATATTAATGTAACAACCCAGTTTCTCCGTGGTGTTTGATTTCAGTGTGAGGAATGACACATCTGAGTCAGCACACTTGCTGACTGATTGCTGCAAAAGAAAACTCTGAGGATGATTAGCGTCCACTGGCATGTGTAAGGGTAACAGCTGAATGCTACCAAACCACCAAGCGTGATCTGAGGCGGCAGCCACGCCAGGCACTGGTGTGAGGAAAACGTATCCATTTCATTGGCATGTGAAATGAGCCTCAAACACACACAGTGAAGGGAAATTCATAAATGAAGCCTGCATTAGAAAATCCAAACCAGATCAGATCAGGCCCTAAAAACACATTTGTAGCTGCTTTGAGTTTACTGGAAATTCAGGCGAGGAGCAGATACGTCATTTGAACTTATTCTTAATGCTGACAGGCTGCGTGGACTCTGCCATTATAGCTTGTTCTTATCATGCTGATTTATATCTGAGAGTCCAGCTTTCAAAGAAGTTTCATTTCAATTTAGTTTTTTATCTTTAAAAAGATGACTGATTGTGACAAATGTAAATTCTATCTGTACAGGATTAGCAGAGTAGAGGAAACATTGTGACCACCAGCACCACAGTCATTGAACTTTATGTAACTGAGAGTATCTGCGTTAAATCAACACAAGAATCTGTTCTACTTTTAACTGTGCTCACCTGAGGGATCTTTACCTGAAAGTTCAAACAGTTGTGTCTGCACTTGCCTTGGCTTCATCAGCCCAGTACATCACAGCTGATTGAGCCAGTTTTTTGCCCCCTACACCTCAAAATACAGCCTATGGGTGTAAGAAGGTTGCATAGCTCACCCGAGTGATACGCTGTTTGAGCCAGGCATCATCACAGCGACCCTTGGCGACTCTCCCAACTAATGCGTACAATGCTACTGCGCAAATGGTGGAGTGTGTTCAATGCTACTGCGCAAGTAGTGGTTCCAGGAAGTGGAGAAAATTCCTGAAATACCGAGAGAAATACGGCTTCAAATTTGTATAATGAAGGCGGAGCCAAGTTGTCCATAGTACATACAGTCTATGGGTAAGACCAAAGCAGTTTGCTGACACAGTTTGGCAGCTGTTGGGTATGTTGTTGGAAACTTGTTTACCCACAAAGGAAAAAGACACTGTTGCTCAAACCCAGTCCAAGGTGTCTGCTGTAACTATGACGACAGATGCTGTGTTATGTATGTTTTCCTTAGGTTGATCACAGTTAGTCAGATGCCAAAGCCATCACACACATCTCGAATGCAATAACAGAAGATTATAGCCATCCACTACACCAGTTCTTCATATTACTGCCCTCTAGATGCAGATACAGGGCACTCAGATACAACAGAGCACGCCTTAAAAAGAGTCTCATACCCACCACCATCACAGCACTAAACCAACAGTCTTCATGTGTTTTTGTGTTTGACGTTCTTGCACCATTACAACCCTATTCACCTCTTCACCATACATCCCCTTAGCCACTTGCTAACACATTTGCTACTTGTTGTGGTTCAAGCTAGAGACGACCCAGTTGTAACAGGCTTGAAGAAGGCCTGATGCCACTTTCTATAAGGACGTGGACAGTAGATCAAATCACCTGACTGAACTATTATTGTAGCTTGACTCAACTGTGCATGTAAACATACTAGCTGTCGAGTTTATGCATTTGATTTTTAACATTAATTTTTTTACAACAATCTCTAAGATCTTGGTTTATTTCTCTTGGACAGCACCAGCTGCATGGATTGCAGGACAACACATCACTCAGCAGGGGTTCAAACAACATTTTAACTCCCTTTTTTGAGTGTTAACTTCTTAGTTTTTAATCTGTTTCTCCTCCTTTATATCTGCATTTATTTTGGAGTAGCCATTTTTAATCAAATCAAGTAGAAAATAGGAAAACAGGAGATTTACAGAGAATGAAAACTGTTATAATTTCCTTTTGTTTGTGTTTGAGTTGTGCTCTCAGTCCCTTTAATAAACTTCTACTGTGTGTTAAACACTGGCAGACAGACGTACACTTGTGTCACTTTTTTTCACAGCAGACAAGTCAATGAATTTCTTTCTTGTAGGTAATCTTTATAATCGCTCAAGATTGACTGAAGCTGGGTTTATTCCAGGCCTCATTTTGGCAAAGTACGGCTACCTGTCAAGGACGTTGCCCAGAGGAACACATGGGTGCGCTTACAGAGTCGTCGTAAAACAGCCTGAGCCGGGCTTGTAAAAGCACAGGTTGGAAGACTCGGCGTGTGGAAATCAGAACACGTCTCCATCCTGGAAAAGTTCAGGAATGTGCTGAACGACATTTCTTCGCTCCAGGGAAGCGACTCCCCGACAGTGATGTGTTCATTAAGGTTTTCCAGGCAGGTAGGCTGCAGTCTCCGGGGACTCAGACAACATTAACAGAAATAATCAGCGTTCTTTAGGCCTCGAACTGCAGCTTTTGTTTGCCAGAGCAGAGTTTAACATTTTCACAGCTCTTAAATGTAACAGGATCTCTGGAGGGCGAGTTCAACCTGTGAGTAACTTACTGATTGTGTTTCTGGTTTCATTCAGCTGCTCTCCAAGTTTTCTGGCCTCAGCTGACCTGTTGAAAAGGATGCAGTTGTAAGTGAGCAATTCAGAGATAGAGGAAGATTAAATGGTGTGTTTGGTGAAAATAATCATCACGCATAATGTCATTTTAGCTCAAATCCCAAAGCACAAACAACTAATTCCCAGCATGGGGTAATAGTAGTTTAATGATTTAGAAGAACCTTTATGATTTAAAACAATATCTCTATGGAGACTGCCTGTGTCTGCAGACACTTTGGTCCAAATTTAAACTAAAAACAGCATGAAGAAGGTGCTTTACTGTGGCAAAAGGTATGAAAGTTTAGTCAACTTAATGAACTAATCTGCACCAGAATCCCTTAATTTAACAAATTATCAATATTCCTATTATTATAGGATCACAAACTTGAAAGGTCTGTGAAAACATCTTTATAATGTCAAGAACAAGGATTAAGTTTTATTATGATCTAGACCAGAGGCCCCCAACCACCGGCCCTGGACCGGTACCAGTCTGTGGATCAATTAGTACCGGATGGCAAAAAAAAGAATAACAATGATTACATTTATTTTTTCTTTTCATCCGTCCTCACAGTATCTTGTTTTGAAAGACCACCACTTCCGCCATTGCCTCGCTTTCTTGCTTGACACTTAGGCATGTCATTTTCCTGCATCAGCAACACAAGCTAGCCCTTGCAAAAACGAGCCAGAAACAGAAATCACTTGAGAGAGAAAGGGCTTGTACTGCATTATGGTGAGTTGATGTTAAAGTGTAATGAAAAGTACCTAATATAAAATGTAATTGTTCTTTACAGATTACATACTATGTACTGATTAAGGTTTTTGTTATTGGAACCTCCATGCCTGTACCCGGTCCTTGGAAAAAGTTTCCTGCATGAAACTGGTCCCTGGTACAAAAAAGGTTGGGGACCACTGATCTAGACTGATTTCTTTGTTAAGCCGAATACTAGCAAACACTTGTTCATGCTCATGATCACTGCAGCCTCTTTGATGTTGTGCTTGTGCCGTCCCTTGGCTTTTCAGACACTATGTAACACACCTGCCTCCTCCTGTTCCCCTCCCTGTTCTCCTCATCCTGCTCCTCTCCCTGCTCTCCTCCTCCTCCCCATGATCTCATATCTCCTTCTCCTGCTCCTCTACCTGCTTTCCTGTCTCATTCTCCTGCTCCTCTCCCTGCTCTCCTCTCCTCTCTCTTCTCCTCCTGCTCCTATCCCTGTTTGTCGCTCTCCACACTTGTGATGACATGATAATATGGACCACTGCAGCTCATCATGTTAAAGGGCACATTGGCCCATAAATAAATACCAAACTTCTTTACCCTCCGAAACCTTGCTGCACATCAATCTGAGCTGTTAACGATAAAGTGAAAGAGAGAGATGTTCAAAGGGAGGAGCAGAGCACTGACTAATATAGGAAAATAGATAATTTTACCTCTGTTTTAGTAGGTTCTTGTTGTCCTCAATGGTCAGACGGTCCTCATTGTCCCTGATGAAGGTCTCAAAGGCTTCTTGTTTTCCCATAGACAGCTGTGGACCTGAGAGATACAACACAAGACTTCAGCTTTTAATAATGATCAGAAACCGAAGTTCACATCACCGTGTCCATGCTGTAAACACTTCTTATAAACCAGCAGCAGTAAAAACCACCTGACAAGACTTCATGGTTGTCACGTTATCTGAGTAAACCCGTTAACTTTGGGAGTCTGAGCTGGAACCTGCTGTGAGACCTGATATGAGCACGTTCCCACATCCACAGGTACACAGCTCCAATCTGGCAGCCAGATGTCTGCTGGAGCCTAACTCATACTGCTGACCTCCCACCCATTGCTGATTAGAGAACTGAGAGCCTATTAGACCTCCAGTCACTTCACCTCTGTTCACATAAACACAAATATAAACAGCAAGATTTTACGTCTCAGCACTTTATGGCCGAGGACCCCCGTCGGACTTTGGCAGCTCGCCACTGGAACTATAAAAGTTTGGACACAACATCCTGCTGAAAATTGCTGAATTTTATGGGCTTGTAATAATAGTAATAATTTAATGGGAATTTTTTAAGTCTCAAACATCAACTTCTAAACCTTTTCCCCTTCAACCTCCCAGTTACACGCAGCGCTCTGTTTTTGTTAACCTGTGAAGGTCTGATTTTATTCCAAATGGAAGAATAATGTCAGACAATTGCTGTATATTCACAGAGTGAAAAAAGAGGGAACAAATGAAAAGAGTTCAGCACTTTGAATGTGAAAAAAAAAACAACAACAAAAAAAACATTCCTCTTGGCTAACATAACCATCTATGGTAACAATCAATTTCATTTAAACTTTATATACACCTGAGGGAAATACTGAATCCTGATTGGTCAATACTTAGGGTACATATTGGACCCTATATTTACTGTTGATGAAGTTAGGTGCTGTTCTGAGCATTATTTGTGGCTATAGAGTAACTTTTTGGTTGAGGTTTGCACGTGGAGATGTAGACCGCTGTGTATTGCTATGGTGCAGTCGTTACTAAAATTGGTATAACTAGAAAAGTTAGCGGGCTGCAAAATTCATCTCTCAGGGGGTGGGGGTGTGTCTAACTCGTTGTTACGGTGTGTTTGACCATGGCTTAAACTTACGCCGGAATATCCCTTTGATGGCGAAGCTGTGTGTTTCATGCTTCTGTGTTATCAGACACTAAGGCATGAATAGTGTGCAATTTCAGAGAACAATGTTTTAGTACAATGGCGGAAATCTGTTCTAGACAAGCAGTGTTCAGGATGTCTCTTGCACACCTGGTCACCTTTGTCCATAATGTCAACGCTAAACCAGTGAGCTAAACCAGAGCCCTGACAGTACGAGTATTTTAAAGTTTAGTGTATGGAGCTTTAAAGAATCGACAAAGACAGTTGCAATATAACTCAGGAGAAATATTTGTCTTGCTGTTTTGCAGGGCTACTCAGCTCTGGGCCTCAGGAGGTAACGGTCCAGAGAGTCAGACTGGGATCAGTTCAAAGTTTGTTCATCCTATTTTCTGAACCAAAGAAAAAGCAACCTCAGATACATTCTACACTTAAAACCAGATTTACAGAAAAATAGGTTTTGTGTTCTCAACGAAACAATGTTTTTGTTTCACGGGAGATGACGGCAGATTGTGCGTGACCCAATAACATAAATAGATTAAAGCCCGCCGTTATTTTGTAAGATTTCCATGGAAAACCAGACCTTAACGACGGCATCTAATAAATTCCACCCCGGATCTTTGAGACAAAGCTGCTCTAAACTAAAGACACACACAGGACAGTAACTCATGTGAGATTAATTGTAGGACAGCTTGGAATTTTGTTTCTGTATTTTCGGAAAGCTCTGATTAAAACCAGCCGCGTCTCACAGACATGCAGCATGTTGTAAGAGCCAACCCCAACAAATCAGCTACGGGGGTTTCTTGAGGGGAAATGCACTCCGTTTGACTCCGAATAAAAGCAGCATTCCAGGAATATCTCTAAGTGATATGACATCATGTGATGTTGTTCTAACATCATTTGTGGTAATGAGATCACACGGACGTCAGGCCAACTTTCCTAATTCTCCTTTTCCGTGCTTCGAGTGCTGACAAACTGCGGCGGTTTTACAGGGGGGGGATGTGTCGTGACTATTGTTGCTGTTTCAACAAATTTAAGAAATGAAATACCAGCGCAGTGAAGCATGACTGTACTTTTCCATCAATTTATAAAAACGCAAAGTGTCTGACACTGACTATTAACTGTCTGCAGCAAAGGTACACACTGAGTGGAAATGTTGCATAATTTTTGGTGCCTCAAATGTTTCTGCTTTGGCTTTCCACAGAACACGGTACTTTGGATGCACTCAAGGTTTTACTTTTTGTCTCAGGCCTCCAGCTCACTAAGAAATGCATAGAGGGCCTGGTGAATACATCAGCATCTTATTATGTGCAAGCAGGATCTACAGTAAGATCTGACCCTCCCTATAACTCCCAAGTGCCCCCCACTTTCTGTGAGCTTAAAACAAGTCATTACCAGCCTGAATTACAGCAGGAACACCTTGTCTATCCATTACCCTTTGGTGCTGAAGAGGGGAACGCTGTACCAGGGCAGCCCCTAAAAACCTGACCAAACTATGACTCAGTGAGAGGGGCTCAAGTTTGAGAAACCAGAGGTCAAAATGAACAGCGAAGAATGAGCCATTTATCAATTAAAATTTAGTTAAAGGCACTTTGAGGAGTTTTCTTATAGCACCAGTGACTCCACAGACTGTATTTCTCATGAGCACCTTCATCATTACCCAAACGATGCAAATAAAGGCAAATTTATGAAATGCAGAACTTGTACTGGAAATACTTTTCTATGTTTCAGACATTTTTTTGCAGGATGCGGAGCAATGAGGTAAAATATTGATTTGTCGCCCACAAGATGTCAATATAAGAATGTTATGTAAGAACTAGAAAATGTTGCAAACTCTGATTCATTACCATTATCTATCCCTGGTGTCATGATGCATGTTTCCGGAGTATGAATAAATATCATAAAACTTTTAACAGATGGTCTGTTCTAGCAGGATTCAGCTGTACGTTGTGATGAGCACAGGTCTTGAGCGATCAGGCAATCTACACCATGAAGTGCCTGATTTTGCTCACTTTCAACGCAACACGACACAGTTACTGATCGCTACATTGGCATAGCGAAATCAGGTGAACCTGCGTCAGGCAGTCAAGTTTGCGCAACTAAAGAAGCAGGAGATAGCCTGCTGTTTGATCCAGCAGAGGATCCTCCTCATTGTGACCTGGGGAATCCATGACCTCTTGATTTTGAAACACTAATATAATAATATTTTTCCACAAAAATGGAGACCATCCCCAGTATTTTGGTATCTACACTGTATATAGAATATAAAAGACAAAGATAGGGCTGTATGTCTACCTATAAACAGCTGTTTAACTCATTTACAACTAATGTGGGCTCGCCTGCTAGCTTTCCATCCAGGTGAAGCGGTGGCAGAGAAAGGAGGCACGACAAGTGGCATAATGGCAACCCTGTATGACTCTTTCATGGAACGCACTTTGTCAGAGGCTTGAAAAAAAGGCCATCACTGTGAGACTAAAAAATTCAAACATATTCAAACATTTGCACGACATGTTTGTTGATATTTTGACAGCCCTTCCAGGTTATTACTCATAGAGATCCAGATCTGACCTGGTCTGTTAGCCAGCACCTTATGCCTTAATAAATACTTTATGATCAAGAGACAGATTACATGCAAAATTAAGCTCAAAAATACACCAACAGTCTCATGTTGGTCATTTCAGTACAGCTTCATTGAAAGCTTTCAGGACTCTATAGCACAGTCAAGAAGAGTGCAGCTCTGAGCAGCGGAGAGGGAAGCTCATCTCAGTCATGATCAAAATGTCCAGATCCTACATTGTTATAAATCTACAGGAAGTGTGACTTACTGCTAAGTTGTTCTCCATGATTAAGGTACACCTGATTCAGGTTTTATTCACTGGTTAAGGCCATGGGCTGGACACTGGTCCTTATTTGAGGATATACCATAATTAAATTTCTTATGGGTATAGATTGACAAGTCGACAACTAACTGCTGTTACAGAGGAAAAATTGTAGTCAGCTCTGACAGGAAACAGAGTTAACTGGACACAGAAGCACACATGATCGTGGATCCTCCTGACACAGTGCTCATCAAAAAGAGCAAAATGTTCACGTTTAATTCAGCTAGGGCAAAGCTAAGAGCCCAGCAGAGGAGTATATGATGGAAACACAAAAGTCAATTATATGCCACTCCACCAGCCTGAATGGTTTCAATGGAAAGGTCATCATCATTACATTTACAGTTAATTTTCAGGGGACAGCAATTACCGTAACCGTATCCATAGAAGCTGCTGCAGCCCACAACACCAGAACCCTGAGATTAAACCTGAAATTAAAACATACATAAACATCCAGCTACCCATCCGACATGAGGAGCCGATGAGGGGAGTGCATTTGTTTTGAATTAGGACAGAGCAAAGAACAATGATCTAATGCACATATAGTTTGCTTATATATAGTTTGCTAATGCAACATATAGTTTGAGTCTCCAAGTGGGTCATGGAAAATAGGCACCCCAGATGGAAAAGATATATAACAGAGAGCACTGTATGAAACTACTGTGTCAACTATGCATGTGTGATACTCTGCACATTCAGCGTATTCAGCCTGTAACTGAATACAGTCTGTCTCGCATTAACTTTTGACACTGTAGCATTAGCCGGCGCATTAAAGCATCCTTGACACCAGCTTCGCTCCAGCAGGGCTCCGCATTGTTGCAGTCAGATACAGAAAGTGTGAGAGGTGTCCTCCTCGATCGTCCTGCAACTGCTCAATGTAATCTTAAAAGCTTTTTCTTCCCAAAGAGCTGCTCTGGACTCCATCAAGCTTTCCCTGCTGGTTAACAGCTGATGGAGTTGGAAGCATGTTCTGGTTGCAAACAGAGCAGAAAGAGGAAGAAATTTCTCATGAAGTGTGAGAAAAGTGGACGGACATTCCTGAGTGGACATGTAACTGCTTTGGGACTGCAGGACCTGGGAATTTTCCAAAACGTTGGACAGTAATACGCAGAGTCAACGCCACTGGCAAGAAACCTAATTGAGTCTGTATAAAGTCTGTATTTCTGAGTGATGTAATAAACTAAAAGCATCTGCGTTCATAAAATCAGTGGAGATGATAATCATTATAGACACTTTGACCTACAAACAAAATCCCATTAAACTGTGATCACTTGTTTTTTCTCAGTGTCTTTTTAAACAGACATCTGTGTAATCAGAGATAGCATGACTCACTTTGTGCAAGTCCAAGTCATGTCAAGACTATGAGGGCAAGTGTAAAGCCTGGTTCATGCTTCTGTGTTGGACCAATGCTGTGCCTTAATCAGTGCCAGTCAGCAGTGTCATGTCTATGCTCCTCATATTACCAGTTTCCGGTTTCTTGCGCACTGTTTGTGTGCACTCGGGATGCAGTTTACGAGTCAGTGTGAAAACTTGGTACCACTGGCAATCTTTCAAGCTTTAACATAAAGACAAGTGTGTTTAGTCTCATGCACAAGCTGCAGATAGACAGACAGTTTTTCCAGTCTGTTTTTGGCAAACAGGAAAATTCTGTATCTTTCCATATGAGCCAAAAAGACACAAATGTTAAGTGATGATGCTGATAATGACTCCTCTTCATCCTGTACATTGCAATATCTCATTTCAGCATGGATAGGAAAGACTGTACCTACTGTAACTTAATTGAACCCAAGTGCCCAAGCTGTTAGCAGCTCATTAATAAAAGTGTGATAATGACTGCAGTGTAAAAACACAGACTGAGCTGGTCAACACTCATGTAAAGGTCTGAGGGGCTGCACAAACACAGTCGAAGAATCTTGGCATACGTTTGACAGTAATTATCCTTATGTGCAGTTCATCTAAGGGACTATTTTCCACCAGGTCAACAGTTTTTTACGATTAAATATATTAACCTCTCTCTCAATGAGGTAGAAAAGAGCCATTAAAGCATCGTTCATAGGCGGTGCTGCTGATTTTAGACAGCCTAAGCCAACAGTAACTTCGTGCAACATTAATCCAAGAACTTAAGTTTGGAGCCAAGAAGGTTCCCCGTGATGACTTGTGTATGTTGGTGTTAAAGAAATGTCCCGTATCTTCTCTTATTTGATTATGAAACAGCTGGATTATTTGCATGTAATACCAAATGTTTCTTTATGATAGAACATGCAGCACTCTGCGGACAAAGCTCAGAGAATCAGACCAAGTCAAACAGGGAGGACATCTAAGTGTTTATGTTTCTGGTTTTAGAAGACATAAGGGACCTGTGCTGCCAAGCTGGATCAACAGAGTCGGACTACCTAACTGGACTTCTGGTTTATTTGCAGTTTGCAGCAAATGGCCATCAAAAATGTGAACAAATCTTTTGGCAGAGCATCATTCAATATAAATAAGAAGTTAAACACGTCATCTGTGCAGCTGCAAAATACATGAGGGACAGCAGGCAAAACCCCTTATGTAATACATGTAAACATAAAGCCCAAAGTACCACCAACCCTGCTTTAGTGGATTGTAACTTTTCCTGTGCACTTTATGAAATCTCTTTGCAGTTAAAGCATCTATTAGGTGGTTTTTAAGCATATTGAAAGAATCACTTAAGCCTCTTTGTTACCTGCAAAAGAAAACTACAGCATAAGCAGCAGCACAGGTAATGTACAAACTTTTGGCCATGAGGGCGTCAAAATCAACACCATCCAAGAGTTCCTCAGAGCAGCTTTAGGGGCATCACCATTGTCGTGATCAAAACTGTCTGTGTCCATCTGGGTGCTGCCTGAGGAAGAAGCAAGAAGTCATTATCTCTTATGTTATTGACTGTAAAGTCAATCTTTACGCAGATGACACTGTACTGTATTACTCTGCTGAACAGCTCCCTGCTGAAAAGTAATCCTGCAGAAGGCATCTATCAGTCCTTTACTGGTGTTTATCACAAGATAAACTTTAAGGCATGGTTGATGGTTAGAGAGATCGGTAATTATTATGAACCTCGCTTATATGGCAATCATGGTCCTATAGTGCGATCTCCACGAAGTGAAGAGAAAAAAGAATGGAAAAAATCAGTTCATCCTAGCAGGTGCAGGGCTGCAAAAAAATTGACCAATGGGAGCCATTTGTCTTGGACAGCTCCTATTGATAGATCTCCTGCTCCGCCTCCCTATCCAATCACCTCGCTGTCTTTGACACACCCCTCTCCCGTAGTTCCAACTCGTCCCCTCCCACTCTCCTCGGAGCTCTGAGCAGATAAAAGTAGGGTAGCAGCTTAGCTACAGGAGCTGTGATGGAAAAGGATGCAAAAAAAACCACTTCCGTTTGCCCCACCGCCAAAAGTGCCAGGAAAATGCAAGCCGACAGAAGAAAGAGCAGAAACGAGAGGAAATGTGACCAAGAGAGGAATCTAACTTGAATAAACATTGGGTCATCCTTCGAGCGGTGGAGAAAGCTCCACCAGGATTTGGGCCTGAAAACAAATGCCGAGACAGCAGAGTTTTTGTTGAACAGGTAATTTTTGCCTTTTATCATGGTACATGTTACACAAATAAGTCTTATTGGTCTCTGCAATGTCAACACAGCTGTCCAGGCAGCTGCAGAGGGTGCTCGCTAGCAGAGCTGGCGTTTACTGCCTGTAACGGGTATTGACTGGACCCAATTGCAGCACAAACAAGCAGGTTCACTTTAACGATAGTCTTTATTTAACACCAAATCCAATCACTGCCGCTAATCACTACAAATCCGACATGGTGAATTCTATTCACTAGAGTAGCTAGAGTAGGATCTTCTGCCGGCCGGCTTCTTACTCTTCCAGAGGGGGTGTGTCGAGGGGAGGGCAATACAGGTTCACAGAGGAGAGAGGTGTGTGTGTGGGGGGTGGGACGCTTTTTTTTCAAGTCTGCCTCAAGCTCTGTTTTTTTCAACTGCTTCTCAGATCGTCAACCATGCCTTTAAGTAATGCTTTCCTCTAGAGTAAGAGATATTTATTTTATATTACTACCATCCATACTAGATGGTAGTAATATTGAAAGAGTCCCAGTGTATCGATATTTTAGTATTTGGCTTTGTGAATCATTTACATTTAAAATTCATGTTGAAAACCTCATGGGCAAACTTTAAGAGAAACTCTGATTTCAGTTGTAGATGATGGGGATATAATTTATTGACATACTGTTGCCTCTACCCTAACATCTGTGCACTCAGTGTATCACCCAGCCTTCTGATTTATGGCCAGAAATCCCAACAATCAGTATTTTGATCAATATAACAAACTTGGTTGGCCCTATCTAGCACAGAAGCATGATGAGCTTGTATTTATTCTTATCCATAGATCCTTCATTTGATGTTTTCCTCCTCTTATATAATATCTATGCTAAACTGCACTACTGGACCTTAGTTAACTTGTTCTGCTAACTATCTGATATTTCAAGTACCACAAGGTTCAATATGTGGATATATTTACAAAAGACTCTGACCAAAGACACTCTAGTGTCTCTTGGATAATTCAAGTCAGTTATGGGGAATATCTTTATCCTAGCATGCAGTTATTTTCACTGAGGACTACTCTTAGGTTAATTTGTGTGTGTTTTTATTCTATCTCAATATCATTGTAAATGAGGGAACATTTAAAAGTTTAAATAAAGGTTTAAAAGGTGTTATGTCTTCTGCAAACTTGTCTGGTACTTGCCAAAAGAACTATGAATTATGACTTAAGACATGTTCAGGTATGTCTAGGGTGTGGTTTGCTTTACAGGTATCCAAAGAAAGACAATGATTGTCATTTTAGTATTTCCCCCCTCATATTGACATGTCTAAAATGACAAGTAAGCAATTTTTACAGCCTCAACAGCAAACTTTGAATGAACTCTGCTGTAAAAAATGCAGATATTTGATCAACTAGTTTTCAGTGTTGTTGAATCATTTAGTTGTTACATCAATGCAGCAGATGTCACACAGCCTCTAATCAACCAAGTTTGGTTGATGCTTTGGTTCAAGCTTAGGTAAGAAAAGTTGTGCATCTTTTGAAGCAGCAGTGTTTTTCTCCATCGTTTCGGGTTTGCAAATCTTAAAGATTAGGGAACCTGACAAATAGATTTTCTTTACCATTTGAGAAGTCCATGAATCAAAGATGTTTGGAGGCATTGGGCTATATAAGGTGGTAAAGATGATAATTCAGTAACACTTTTGTGACTGTTAAATACTCACATAAGAAATGCACCAGTTCTCAATAAAATGTGAATTATGAATTAAAACAATGTCCAAACATCCCTATTAATATTTGTTTTAATATATTATTACATTTTTTTGTTTATATTGTTATAATGATGATTATTATTATGATTATTGTTATTATTATTAACTGGAAGCAGGTAAATTAATTATTGATTATTTGTGCAAGGTGAAGGGGTGGGACTACATAAGTTTCAACTTCCACCCATTACATTTTAAACATGCAAATGACAAACTTATTTGACTCTCTGGTTCCTTTTTTTTCCATGTGTGTGTGTGTGTGTGTGTGTGTGTGTGTGTGTGTGTGTGTGTGTGTGTGTGTGTGTGTGTGTGTGTGTTTATGTCTTTAGTTTGTACTATGTTTAATTGTTGTTCATGTTTTTCAATGCTTGTAAAGGCTGTTGTCCGACAGTAGCTGTATTTTGTCATTTCTTGATATAGTTTTTAGCTCAACACATTCGCTCAAAACCAGCTCCAGTTTGTTGCTGCATCTACAAAGGCAGATTAAAACCAGATATATCCAGAAGTGCCGACAACTTCGCTAGGCCTAGTCCTGTTTAAAATTGACTTAAGTGAAGTTAGCTCTAATGTTCTGATGAGTCATGGGTTTGACAGTCTTTGTGGAAACCATGGATGCTATGACCTCTTAAGACAGACATGGTATAAATCCCATTATCTGTGATGATCTGAGGTGATCAAAAGTCTGTTTAGTTATAGTAGTTGATCAGATTCAAATAATAATCAGTCTGAAAATACAACTGGCTTATGAGGGTCTTACCTGGAATTGAAAAATGGACCTTGTGTGAATCTGTAAAGCAAAAAGCAGGATCAGGTGGACACCAGTACTCTGCTGAGGTGATGGTGTTTTACAAAACGAACACCTATGACACACAGACTAACAGCCATCCATCACACTGCTCCTCAAAGTTCTTTCAATGAATGAGTCCTCCCCTCACTGATTCAGACTGGACCCAGTTCAAACATGTGTTTGTTTTTTGATAGGCTCATGTTTCAGAGACCCTGTGTCCAATTACCTCCTCTCTGGCCTGATTACCACAGTGGGCAGCATTACACAAAAATGTTGAAGAGGATGAGGGAGCTGTGGTTTTCAGCGCAGACAGGAGCGCAGCCTCAATTTGATTAGTATCTGGCTCCTACTCCTGATGCCCGGCGGCTATGACCGAGCTTTTTATAACAGATGTATCATCACACTTTGGGCTCCAATTAACCAAAACAAAACAGAAAACGCTGAATAACTGCTGCTGCTGGCTGAGGAGTCTGTCTCAAAACCTGACCGGTTTGACTTGCAGCAACCCTACATTCCTGGAGCACCATACCTAATCCTGAAAGTTCACTGAGAATCAAGACAACGTTGTAAACTTAAGCCTGACACCATCTCTGAATCTCAGAGGGTCAAAGTCCAACTCAAAAAACTTGGGATGCTGTGTTTTATGTTAACTCCAAATCATTAAAACACTATGTTCAATTAAAAATATCACATTGAGACTTTTTTATAGTTTGTTTAAATTTGATGCCAGAAACATATTAAGATTGGGACCAAAAAAAAAAAAAAAAACAGAGAGAGACTGTGTAAGCCAATATCCAACAATTACAGAACAGCATTACTCAGCATGAACCTAGAAGGAATTTGGGTATTTCTTCATCCACAGTTAAAGATGAAAGTCCAACACAGGATGGTCCCTCCGGCAGTACTGCATTAAAAACAGACACAACTCTGGAGTGGAAATTTCTGCATGAGCATGTTGCTGCCACATCCACAAATGCAGGTTAAAACTGTACTAAAGAGCAAACCATAACATGCTACAGAACTACTCAGCCTCATTTAAGATGGACTGAGTTAAAGGAGAAAAGTCTCATGTAGTCTGATGGTTTTTCCATAATGATGGTCAATAATAATGATTCTGATTGTAAAAAATGTCATTAATTAGCCCAACAATCAATCAGTCTATCTCTAATCTGTAAAGCTATTTTCATACATTGTCTTTGTACTATTTTTTGTTAGAGACAGCCTTTAAGTGACAACCATCAAAATGTGTTTTTATAGACAACTTAGCCAGTCCCACTGCTTTCTTGGTACCAGGATTGTACATGCCATGACAACATTACAGGGCAGCCACTGAGTCAGCTGCCAGGAGGTGAAGACACTCCCTGCAGTTTGTAGGGGTAACATCCCAATTACAAGAACTACCACGTATATACTTTCCCATTTATATATTTATCAAAAAAGGCCATTGTAAATATCCATCGGCATGTTTACTCATATGAAGCACTGTCTATACTTGTAGCAGACAAGAAAACAAAAAACATTGCAAGTTTGCAATCCCTTTATGTTTGACATGTACAATACACAATGGCATTAAATGGGGCTGATGGTTCCTCATCTAAATTGAATCCATGTTTGTTTTAGTCTGAACAGTGTCTCTTTTGTTTAGACTGCAGGATTCTTGGCTCATGCTCTTTACTTTAGGATCCAGTAAGTATTGGAGGTTTAAAATTATCGGCTTTTCATCAGCAACAAATTACAGGTCTAAAATACTGTACTGTCTAATGTAGCTCTGTTGAAATGATTGCACTGGGGCACTTGAATGACCTCCCACAGGAAACTCCTAAATACATGCAATCCCTCTGATGACATTGTTTATAATGAGACAGAGCAGGGAGCCCTGGGACGAAACAAAACCCAGAATCAGAGATTTGTCATGCCCCACAGGCAGCCTGAACAGGCACAGTGAAAATCTGCATGACCACCAAGAGTTGCTGCATTCCTGAACAGAGACATAACCTGTCTGTGGGCAACTCCCAGCGCTTAAATCTTTACAAAGCCAACACTTCCTCCGGGTCAGAAAGCACAACGTCATCTTTAACTGAGTCATTGTTCAACTTCTACTGAGGTTCTCCTACTCCTAACTCCTAATTACCTAACTGCAGATTTTCAGGATTTGGTCAGTCACATGAGACCCAAAAAAGTACTGTACCTGTCTTTAGGTACTGAACAGCTTGTCCTCTGTGTCCTGCAGATTCAGCGTCTGTGTCTCCATCACTCGTCTGTGCCGTGGTGGACGAGCTCAGAGCACTCTGGGAGGCTGAGTCCTGGTTATTGGTGATGTTAATTAGCAGGGCAGCAGAATCTTGGGCTCTTTTCTTCTCTTTCTTTAACATCTTCACCAGGATACCTGTAAGCTTTTAGTTAAGGGTTATACATGGACTTCATTGTGAACAAGAACTAAAATAAAAGGAGATTTTAGTATGCAAACCAAAGCTCCTGGAGGGGAGTCTTTTTAAGTGACTCCAGATATGTCACCTGAGATATCCAAATACGTCCCATGATTTATCTGAAGATAAGTATCAACAAATTTGTGGCAAACCATCACTGTTCCCCTGCAGATGCTCACAGTGAGTAATACATTTGATGAATGAAGAAAAAATAAAATTAGATCAGTAAAGAGATGAAATGTGTCACTTTGTCCACAGGAGGCGCCAAACCTGGCACAAATAGAAGTTCCTCACAGAGGCTGACAAAAGTTTGCCTAAAGCTGATAACATCCAGCAGTCATGTGGTGTTCCTCTGGCAGCAGGCTTCACTGAGGACTTTTGGTAGCTGTAAAATGCTGACAAATGCTCATCCTCGGACCTTGAAGACTTTGGAAAACGTCTTTGTCTGGGTTGAATCAAAGAAGGGAGGAGAGCCAAGGAGGCTGCAGTGCTGAGCTGCAGGGCTCCAAATCCTCCTGCCTAATGAGGTTGTGTGTCTTTGAGTTTTTTAGTCAAATACAGATGTGCTGGTGAGTTTGGATATGAGTGTGACAGAGCCTGCTAGGGAGGTTCAATTTTGTTCACACTTTTATATGCAGTGTCTTTATGCAGAATGGCAGTTTGCTTTAATAGCTTCCTCTGTTTCTTACTTGGTAAAACTTTGTACTTGAGTACGTCTCCTGCTTAAAACCACTTTCCGCTGGACTTATTAATATTTATGCAAAAAGCAGATTCATTCAGCTCTTGTGACTTTTACTTTACAACAAAAGTACACTGCTTTCTGCACAACTGGCAAGAAAGAAGACGTCGCTACCAGGAGACTTTTTTTTTAAATCCAACACTGCTGAAAGAGGGAAAGTTGGAATATAATGAAGGAAAAATGCGTTGGGAAACAGTAAAGAGTAAAACACGATAAAGACATTTTAAAAAGAGTTGCCAAGATTGCTTTTAAGATGTCATCAGAGGGCACGAAATCAAATATTGTGTTGGGTTGCGAGGAGAGGCTTAACTTCAGTTATTCTATAAGAAGCAGGCTTGTGACAAAGAGCCCACTCAGCCTTTTTGATCTTTGTATATGTTACCTACATTAATAAAGCACTACAGTCTCATAAAATATTAATTCAGCCCCTGACCTGGGCCTGTTTTTCCACTATAAACAGATGTGTGTTTGATGGTCTAATCACAACCTGTAATTTGGAGGCAGCACATTAGTCTGTGTTTAAAGCATGTTCCTATCATGAGATTAGCAGACATCCAGTTGCGGCCGCACTCAAACTGTGGTGGTCAGCAGATAATTTGTGATGTTCAGAGAACAGAGTCAATGTGTCATATTTTGGATGATGAATGGAGGCAGGAGACGTTCGTTTATATTCCTGTCAGCCAACACAAAGGGGATGTCAGGGGGAACAATAACATGGAGTAACAGAGGCTCCACTTACACTTTCCAGTGAAATCAACCATGCAGGCATCTCAAAACTGCCAAAATCTAAAGCCGACCCCATTTCAAATGACCTAAAGAAGCCAAATCCTGCAGAGAAATATGACCCCTCCTCTGGTCTCCATGTCATTGTTTAATTCAAGCCCAAACTTCAAACTGATGTTCATGGTTTTTCCATTATTGAGATCTCTGGCATCTGATATCTTCATTTATGCTGAACACTACCAAACACTTCAAGTATGATGATGATGAAAACTTCTCGTGGGGGTTGCACGTCTGATCTGCGGGCTGCTTCACATGCCATGCATTCAAACTGCGGTCAAAATCAGCTCATAATGTGCACCCAGTCTATCCTCATAATTCTTATTGTTCTATGTTGTACTGTCTTCAAAAGCAGAGAAAATACCTTTAGATCTCAAACTGCTAGTGGAGGTGTGAAGCCAGCCTGCTGCAAGCTGATTAGTTTGAATTGAAGTGTGTGGGGTGAGCATCAAGCCTAATTAAGGTTTGATCTATAATGCATCATATACAGTATCCAAAAACATTATCTTTATAACTAGTTACTGCCAGTATTGGAGTTCTAATATGCCATAAAACCCAGAATTAGAAAGACACTGCTAGCTTTGGGTTAAGGTAGGGCAGAGAGGTGCACAGCTGTTTCAATGAACAAAATTGCAGAACTGGCTCTTTGTAGTCCCCAATCAGGATTGAACAAGCAGCCCGTAAACCCGTTCACTTGGTAAGTGTTTAAAAACAGTGAAAATCCGAAGAGAGGCTTTTTTTTGATAACATATCCCTATATATGGATGCTAAGGCCATACTCCTGTGCTCCATGGATGCATAATCGTCTCCTCTGGTAGCTGGAGTTTTTGCGGTTTCCCATCAGGGAGATCACGACAGACACTCTTCAGTAACCTGAGCAAAAAGCTGTTGCTGTTTCAGAGCTGTAGCATCACAAGCCCTTTTGCCTACAAATTCAAACTTCAAACTAATGACAATATAAATGTGAAGTTAATGCTGTCCTCTCTTGCCAAACTCAAGTACTAGTCGAATAAACTAGCTCTGCAAGCGCAGCTGTCATCCAGCTACTTGTCATTAGAAGTTGTGTTGAAACTGTAACAAGCCACAGTGGTCTCATTTTTCTCAGATTTTGAATTTGGAGTGCTTTGTGTGGTGGAAATAAACATCACAGGTGCCTGCAAAAAAATACTGTGTAGAGACAGAAACCAAAATGCTAGTATTTATCATATTGAAAGGGATATGACTAACCAGGTTTCTCTTTGTGCATCAAAAACAAGATGAGGCTCATAACTGGAACACCCAAGCCCATATTGCCACCCTTATTGTTGTCTATAAGGTCATTTATAAAGGGCATCTTTTTCTTTTGTCAAGGCACAAGACACAATAAAGCTTTAAAAAACCTGAAATCTGTGACATGATCACAGAGAATGCTGTCCAGAGCTGCAAAAATGCACAAACACTTGCTGCTGAAGAAAAACTAACCAAGGGTTGAAAAGCAATTGCTGTGAAATTTCAATGCTTTCAATTGTTTATACTAAAAAAAAAATAAACAAATAAAAAAAAAGATCAGCATAATTGTTTTTGATGCAAAACAGATAAGAGTTTTTGGTCTGTTATTTTGACAATACGCAGAGCACAGATCCGAGAAACACAGATCTGAGAAACACCAGGCTTCAGCCAGTTATTTAGAAGTCACCATAGACGGGCCAATTTAAAAACCGAGTCCTGCTGCTTCAAAACAGTTTTACCAGAAGAAGAAAAAGCTTCATAATAATCCAAAGCAAACAATCCCAAAGAACCAATTTGGGTAATTCTATTTCATCAGCACTGATTTGTACATTTCACAAACAGCTGGCAGCTGGAAACAAACCTAAATCATCTTAGATGAAAGTATGTTTGACAACTTAAAATTCTATATTTTGCTTCATGCAAAGTTCTCATAAATGTGCGACTCAGCTGACTCACAAAGTCATTACAGAGACGTAGAAACCGGCAAACACTACCATCATCTCCCTCAAATTCTGCATGGACAGTCACAGTGGAGGAATATTTGCATGAAGCCCAGACACTAAGAATAAGCAGAGACAAGAATTTCAGACTATTAAAAAGGCTTCAGTGATTAATATGTGACTGTGAATAATGTAGTATATAAAATCTATGACTGTAAATGTATGAGTTACAATATCCTTAAGATGTATTCTTCTACCCCAGATCCCATGCTGAATCAGCCATGCACAGGAGTTGTGGGTTAAGGTATATCCTCTTGTTTGACAGGAAGATCACTCTGTGTGGACTCAGTGTTGGTCTGGAAAAGTAAGTTTGAACTGCAGCTCCTGGAGTCAGGGGCCAAAGCAGTTGAACAGACTTTGAAAGCGATGTGATCAGCAGATACTGACTGAAGTCGTAGAAATGGTCTGAGTATAGATCGCTATTAGGGCTTTAGCTGAAAATGACATCACCCCTACCGGTAGGGTCAGCCCGCACTCTAATGTTACACACTGCAGATGGACCACCCCGTCTGAGGGACTGACAGTTTCAGCTTCTGCAACTTTATTTACAAACTTCTCAATGGAAGAACACTGAGGCAGTATGGTAAGCAGAGCGTGAGCATAACTGGCCTGAATATGAGCTTTGAGACACACACAAGCACAAGATTTGGCATTAGATTGACAACAAAAGAAAACCAGTGTATGACACTGGAGGAAAAAATCTGCAAAGAGAAGAGGATTTCATATTACAAAGACTTAGTCCAAGATACACTGAAGTGAAATATCTACATGATAATATTGGATTTATTTTGGAGAGCAGAGGTTTTTGTGGCTAAATAATCAAGCAGACGTCTCAATTTTCCAACTAATGTGCTGTGATGTAATGACAAGCTGCAGCGAGACAGGCCAAAGGAGGAATTATCCCATAAAGCCATTAGAAATATCAGATTCAAAAGCAAATACCATAATCATGATGAATAGAAATGATGATGAACGGCAGTCATTAGGTTAACATCTTTCTGAATGTAAACATTCAAACCACATCTTGTGTGTGTTCTGGGGCCGCTGGTGATGATTGAAAGGCTACTTATGTTTCATAATTTATTGCATGTCATCCTAGCATGAAGTAACCCAGAAAGGTTTACCTTAGGATAAATTCCTTTTTTTCTGAAGTGGAGAGCTGGATGCAGACACACATCAAAAATAGAGACAGAAACCTAACCTGCTCTGTTTATTTTTGATGATTTTGCCCATTGATTCCGATATCACATGCAAATTTACTACATGCACTGCAGTCAAGGAGAAGCAGACCATGCAGGGTTTTTTGGCCCGATTTGCAACAGACCTGCTCCTTCAATACTGCCCCTTTTGTCAACCTGTAAAAGGCAAAACTTTGATTAACTAGTTGATCAAGGTTTCAACCCTCGTCTTAGGCTCTGGGTGATGACTGACGTCCAATGGATGTCTAGGCTCAGCTTTAGGGACAGGCTTAGAATCTTGAGCCTTTGCTCCTTTATACTGATAGGATTCAGTCGAGGTGGTTTGGGCTTTTGATAAGGATGCCTCCTGAATGCCTTCACTTAGAGGTCTTTTGAGCAGGTGCAACTGGTAGGTGTTCTCAGGGTCGACCAAGAGCTCGCCAGAGTGTTCATATATACCCCCTGGATTGGGTACGCGTAAAGGCTTATTAATGCTCAACGTTACATACCAATCCAGATACGGCCGAGGTCTCCATCCGTGCTTCAATTCTTTCTGTCTGTGTTTCTCCACATATCCTTAAAGTTTACAGATACGGGCCAGACGGAGCAGTACCACAGAAACCGCGGGGCAGTGTTGCTGCTGTCACTACCCGATACGCATCTCTGCAGAGAAATGAAGATAATGGCAGGGCTTTTTGAGGATTATCATCAATTTTTCTCATTGGTACAACTAGAGAAAAGAATTCTCCGTCCCTCAGCCCTGAGGCATTTAGTGGCCTGACCGACCACCGCCTCCTCGAATGCTGCCTTCGTTTCTGTTTCCTATGCAAAATGTACTTTATCACTAGCTCCTCCACAGTCGCCATGTTTCTTTTTGTTTGTTGTTGTCCTTTGACTCTGGCCTGCCCCCTGGTGGATGTAATGGTTAACATCCACGCCAACGTAAAGGGCACTTGGAAGTATGTGGGCAGTGACGGAACCATCGTTTGAAACGGACGTGTATATTTTCATACGTATGGCGAGCATTAATCAGCCTCTAGGATCCTGCAGAAGGAAGTGGAGTATGTTGCTGGCTTATGGGGGGTCTGGGTCCACTTGCTCAGACTATTGCCTTTGGGACCCAATCCCAGATACCAGATAGAACATTGACCACCCCAACTTACTGAGTCCTTATTGAGTCCTGCCTTTCTTCATAGCTGGGCTAGAGATATCGGCCCTCATTTATCAAGCTGGCGTACGGCAGAAAACTTGCTTACACCCTGCGTACGACAATTTTGACTTGAGGATTGGCATTTATCAATCTGCACGTGAGCGTACGCTACGACCAAATCTCATGACAGGTCTGACATCGTGTACGCAAGTTTGAGTCAGTGTGGATCTGTGGTGCAGCAAATGTCTGTCTGAAAATAATTGATAAACAAACCTCAAACCTGTCATTAAGCACAATCAGACAGATTTCATTAAAGATAAAGACATAAATAAATTTGTTATGTCCTTAGTGAATAGGCCTATTTGATAACTATGCCCAGAAACACTGCCACAGAGCAGGAATGCCGTTTTAACATTACGCACACACGCACGCGCGGCACGGTGGAGCACTGCGTTTGACTCCTAAAAGGCAGGTGTCTCTGTCTTGGCCCAGCAGCGGGGATATTGTTGTACACTCCTGGAAGGGTGTGGGACATCATTTGGGCCAGTTCAGTTTTGCACAATGTTGCGCTGGCGAATGGAGTGCCGTTGGCTGTGCCGGTGCAACGTGAGGACCCGATGCCCGGAGAACAATAATGAGGAGAAGCTCCACAAAGGTGCTGTACAGAGGAGACAGGACCCTATCGATGGATTCTGACATGTTAAGTATAAGTTTAGAAAGTGCTCTTGCTATTTAATCAGTGATAAATATCCAAGAGAAATCCATAAAAATGTGCCTCAGGGCCAGCAACACACCGTTTGGTGACGTTAATAACTGTTTTTGTTCAGCCTCTGTCAGACTCTCCTGTCCGCTCTACATTACAAAGACGCAACAAATTAAAACTAAATACTTCCAATAACAGGAGCAACGTACCCTATGTCATGGCAATAAAAAAATATGAGGCATGTATGAGATATTAATTTATCATCATGAGCAACTTATTGACTAATAATTGATTCAAACTTCAGCCACTGTCCGCTATTCCGCAGCAGCGCTGTTCATCGCCACCATAATCCTGCTCCAGACAGGAGTTTTCTGGACTGCTTTTATACCAGTTTTTATGCTTCCAAAGAGAAAATCCTTGTTAGTTTCCACCACAGATGTGAGGATATCCACTTTCATCTTGGAAAAGTCTCGAATCTTTGTAATATTTCTCCTCTTTCATGTTTGACCTCAGTGGGCGAGGCTTCTGAACCACAAATATTTAAGGGCATAAACATGTTAATGATGATTGATTTAAGTCGCCGCATTTATCAAGACCTGATCATACGTACGCTGGGATTGGTCAGATATGAACCCTTTTATAAATCTTACGTGTGTCCTATCATAGGATGAGTCCTGTGCTCAGATCTGCGCTAAGATCTGCGCAAGATTGATAAATGAGGGCCATCATGTTCACAAATGAATGGATGAATAAATGTGAAACCAATAAAACAAAAGGAGCAGGGAGCCTCCTGCTAATACTGAATTATATTATGAAGGGATACTGATCTCATTTTCCCGTTGTGTCAGCATCTCCTTTAACTTGGTGACTTCTGCTGCTGCTGTGTGATTGCTGTCCTGAACCACTTCTCTCCTCATTGTTACCTCTGATGATTCTTTCACATCCCTGAGCATATTTCCTCCATCACTTCTATCCAGGATCATTTTCTGAATGGATGAAAAAAGTGAAAAATGAAAACTGTTGTCCTGAAAAGATTCGCGAAGCAGTTAGAATACACTCCAGCCAAGCCAAAAGACTTTACCGGACACACTTCACAGCCTCACTTCTCAATAAAAGTGTGCATTCGAAAGAGGTGTCAAGTATCGCTGTACTGCTAGCTAAAGACTCTAGAGTATTTTCTGTGGTTGACACAGAAAGATGAAGAAGGTTAGTAAACACTGTGGAGCTAAAGTATAGCCTCCCATCACACCCATATTTCAGTCCAACAACCTCTCACTCACCACATGGATGGGTAGACTTCACCAGACACTGAAGGCTACATTTACATTATTTTTCAGTTAGGTCATTAAAGTAGTAGTGAAAAGCCACATGTTTTTTGAACATAGCTCTGGAATGGGGACAAGCAGAGTGTAAAGCATGAAGGATTTAAGCAGCATTAAGAAAAGAGCAGAAGAAAGAAATCCAATTTAAACCAGATCCACGTTTCTGTAGAAATTCCAAGTATGGTGATGCTTGATGGAATGTAAACCAAACAGCAGATAGAGTTTGAGGATCATAACAAACTGACTGAGAGATAAACAGACATTGAAGAGGGATCTGGTTCTGCCTCTGATGTCATCTGAGATTTTAACCAAACCAGAGCCCGTCCTGAGTTCAGCAGTGTTTCCCTTACGCCTATTAAGCATCACTGGGCCATCAGCTGCTGTTTGACAAATTTCAAATTGAATCTATCAGCAATGAGACTTATTCCTAAACAGAGACCCTGAAAAGATAATGTCTTTATAAAAAAATACAGCCAAACACATGCAACCGTAAACTTTTTCCACACAAGTCTGCAGAACGAATTAAGAGATTTGAACATAAACCCAAAATAATGTCATAACTCCGCTAATGTAAGACGGTACACAGCACAGACACAGATGACTTTGATTCCAGGTGACTGCTTCAGTCTAAAAACAGGCTTAAAACAGCGCTCTTGTTTCTGGATTAGGGTTAGTTTTATCTCTGTAAAAAATTTTGAAATTTTTTAAGCTTTCATCTAAGTTCTCACTTTTTAACACACACCCATTATCAACAGCATGTTACATTACAGCCCTCCTCTAATTAGATGGCAAACAACTGCAAAGCACCAAACGTCTGGACGAGAGTCAGTCCATGGGAAAAATCAACAGTGCTGGATGGTGTAAGGCATCACTGATTTCTAAAGCTCTAAAGCTCTTTGATAAGTATAAAAAATATCCAGATAATAACAAGTGGGCTATGAGACAAGGAAATCAGCTTCATTCAAATGTTATACAAGTGCTTAAAGTGGACAGTAGAGGGGGCTATTCACAGGTTAGCTGGTCACAGCCATAGACCGCATGAACTATGGACAACCGCCTCCATCATTATGTGAATTTGAAGCCAAATTGCTCTCTGTATATCTGGGATTTTCTCCAGTTCCTGGAACCACCACTTGCACAGTAGTGTTGTACGTTTTTGGCGGGAGAGTCACTGTGATGACGCTCGGCTCAAACAGCGTATCCCTCGTGTGAGCTACACAATTTTCGAACGCCCATAGGCTGTATCAAGTGTCAATCAAAGAAAACATGAACCCCCCCAATAACTTTTAAAAACGGAGCTGCACAGAAAAAAAGAGGACTTGAGCACAAACCAGTCTTAAATTAACTACATGTCAGCATCACAACCAGGGGTGAAAAAAAATTATATTCTGTGAAAAAAATTTCTAGTTTGTCCACAGCTCCATGGGGATTGCTGGAGGAGGCTGGAATTATGACCTATACTGCAGCCCGGCACCAGAGGGTGCTGTTTGAGCCGAGCGTCATCACAGTGTGGAGGCAGACAGCGTCCATTCTATATACAGTCTATGGTCACAGCTGATCTAATGGGTGAAGGGTTGATGTGTCGAAGCTCTAACACCCTAACAATCAAATTAATTTATCTTGTTGCCTCAACAGAGAAGACATAACTGCACTGAACATGCTGAACATTTGGAGTCAGATTACCGATGGGCCACTCTCACCTTTTTTGTCATTTTGTGTCCAAGGTTATACCTAACCATGTTTATAAAATTGATTAAACATATACAACAAACAAGAAAAGTGGTGGAAAGATAAGATGAAACTGAGGGTTATACAGTATGTGTGGATTCATGCATGTTCACAATGGTGGACTGGTGTGAATACTGTACATTACCTTCAGCAGAGAGAAACAGAGGTGGATTTTTCTCATGTCTGCTCCCAATGGCAGTGTCACATCTGGGTCAGGGTCGTCCAGAAAGGCTTTGACTGACTCTTCCAGCCTAAACATATACGCACACACACACACACACACACACACACACACACACACACACACACACACACACACACACACACACACACACACACACACACACACACGGTTAGAGCCCAAACCAAGGCTACATTCCATGTGAGCATCCTTCTCCTCACACTCACACAGTGAAGATCTATTTCTGAGGAGTGCATCTGATGTTTAACATGAGAGTCTGGTCAAAGACAACTATTTACAGTAACCAGTGCTCCAGCCTGACGGAGCTGGCCTGTTGATAAACTATAACTGAATGCTAGTCCAAACATTGGTTCCTGCAGCTCTGGATCAGGCCCTGGAAAAGACCAGAAGGCAACAGTCCAGGCGGATCCAATGTAGACACGACAGCGTGCGGTTTGTATTTTCCACTGTAACGTGTTCACAGTAGATACACGCTAGGTTTACACGATGAAGGATTTTAAACAAACATATTGGTCTTGTTTCAGAGACCTGCGAGGCATCGGTGGCTTTTTGTGAATCAAAGTTTGATTTGTGAGACTGCCCCTCAGTGACAAATTTCCTCAGAGAAAACATGTCTTTCAAATCCCCAAATTTCATGGTTTCCAAATATTTTGTTCTCAAGGTGCAAGGTGATATGCTTTCTACCAAAAAAAAAAGCAAACTGACTTTATAACGTAAAAAGGAGAGTTCTATAAAACATGACATACTGCATGTTGTGTTTTAATGCAGATTTTCTGAGGGTGCACGAGAACAGCATCTGGATGCACTGTACTGTACCTGTGTGTGTGTGTGGCTTTAACTTCTCACATACAAACTGCGCTGTCGAGACTGTCCTGTATTAGCAATATGTCCCAAAAAGGCTACCATAGACTGCCCTACAGTGGTTGCTGTGGCTTTAATCTGGCTAATTGTGTAAAGTGAAGTTTGTGCCGAGGCTGGAGTGACTACAGCGTCACTTCATACAAGTTAGTTCTTTATTTTTCATGTGCTCCAGGAAAGCAGATCTTGCAGATCATCATGATCTCCAAATAAAATGCAAAAGATACGATCACTGGGGATGAGTCCCGACGCATCAACCAGAGAGGAAAACGGCAGCAAAAAGTCAGCGTGTCCACTGAGTTAGGTCAAAACAGGCATCATCAAAGATTCCCTGAGTGACTTTGACCACAGCCTGGAGGAAATCGAGGATAATCATCAGGGTAGGGAGGAAATAGAAAAAAAGAATAGGACTATGGGAGCAGTAAATACATCAGCCATTTGTGGTGATGTACCCAGTCCTCCAAGAATCAAACCCCTGGTCTGATCTTTGGATCTCTCTGCTAATTAAGTATGAAAACAGAAGTAGGACAGAGTGCTGGGAAACTCTGTTAGATTTGGTTAAGCCTCAGTGGACCAGGCTTCAGCTCTGTATCCATGCGTATCCAACAGCATAAGTCATGTAGGCACTTCAGGCAAACCTTGAGTACTTGTAAATCACAAAACATATCTGCTCAGAAAATCTTTGGCTTTTCAGAGTTACAGAACCTCAGAAATGTGGTCTGTTCTGTTTCCTGTGTCTGAGGTGCACCGTATTATCCTCAACAACAGACTGAACAATTACATGTCTGCACCGTCCTGAGATGACTGCCTCACCGAGGTCAAGTCATTACACACCCATACATACAGTCCAACCATTGTTAAGGACACCTGTGAGGTATTCAAGATTCTCTTGATTTAATGTAGGACTTGGAGGGAGCTTGCTGACTCCCCTCATCTGTCACCTGTAACTCCTCAAACAGGATCATTTGCCAATATATCCACTTTGTTTTCACTCTGCAGTAGAGAAGAAAACACAGTGTGGTGCATGTTGAAGTGCACACATTCAATGCTGGGTCAGCGATGTGTACTCAAAAGCAGCTTATAGTACAACTATAAAGAAAGCTGCATGTGTGTTTTTACTGCAGTATGTGCATGCACAGTGACCACACATTGCTAAAGCCAGCACTTACAACATGAATGTTTCATGTTCACAGAAGCATTTGAAAAATAATAAGGATAGGAATAATGAATGGTTTTGTGGAGTGTGTACAAGAGTGTGTGTGTGTTTTTGTGTGTATAAGAGAGAGCAGGAATCAGAGTGAGAGTGCGTGATAATAAGAGAAACAGACACGGTCCACATAACTAGAAGCTGATAACATACAACACAATACTGAGCTCATAACATGCCAAGATACCAATTACTACTAAATTTGGCTGAAAATGTAAGTTGGTACAACAAATATAGCAGCACCTAGGAAAGACATTCAGAATGCAAGCACGGCACAAATGAGATGGACCTGACACACAAGGTTTGCGAGATGTGCTACATAAAAATAAAATAATGTGTTATTAAGACTAACATAAAGGAACGACAAATGCTAAATTGGCTTAACAGTTAAAAAAAAATTAATAAATCGCGATATATTGTACCGCAATACTCACTGTATTGCAAAATGTTAAAAACCGCAATAATATCATACCCAAGTACCGTGATAATATTGTATTGTGGGGCCCCTGGTGATTCCCACCCCTACTGGTCACATTGGTTACACATTACTGCATGACAAATGTTTTTGTTTTAACCCGTATGTTAGTTTTAATGTTTACTGACTGTACCGCGGTGTGTCTGTGTCTGAAACTTCCTGTTGTCTTGGTCTCCAATGAAAATGAGATTTTTAATCTCAGTGGGATCAACCTGGTCAAAAAGGATAAATAAAATAGAAATAAATGGAGTAACTTTCTATCAGAAGAGTTGCAGTTTTCAGCAGCAGTAATGGTTGTTGAGATATTTCTCCTGTAGTGTGTTTTTGAGACTCTGTCTGAAAAATATGATAATAGATTATTTTAGGGACATGGAGCTGGGACCACACACAGACTTCATACTGAAAGTTGTTGAATTGAAAAGGCAGGTTTTGCTTGAACTGGATCATGGATCCTTCATAGCTGCCTTAAGTAAAGATGTTTTTTTTTTAGCAGTCTTGTCTTATTGTAACAAAAGCATCCACACTTTTAGCGACTGATTTTGGTAAACTAGGGCGTTGAAGAAGATGAAAAAAGACTATTCAGCTGACTAAGGTATCTGCACAGTGATAGGAGACTGACTGCAGCAGAGATGACATACTTGTGGATCTCCTCTGCCGTTAGCTGGTCTTCTCTCTGCTCTCCTGTCACCATAGAAAGCTCTTCCTTCAGAGACTGGACCTCTCTCTTTAGCCGGGCTATCAGCTGAAACACAAACACACACATAAGGCGGGGTCAGAGGTGAGCTATAGCTGTACACACCACGTCAGAGAGCAGACTTCAAAATACTTCACAGTCTTCAGTCCAAAACAAACACACACACACACACACACACACACACACACACACACACACACACACACACACACACACACACACACACACACACACACACACACAGACAGAGGCTATTTTCCTGCTGCCAACTGATGAGACAATCCCTCTGAAAATGATCTTGCGGCTTATCTTCCTGATGCATTTTGAGGACAAACCTAAGTGATTCCAGACGACTGGATGCTCCAGCGAGAAAACTCAGGAAGCCAAATATAAATTAGCATTAAACAGCCGCAGCGGCGAAAAAAAAGGAGAACACATAAAACCCTCTGCTGCTGTCTGTCCACACGTGTTTGGTTAAGGACTGGCACACTGAGCCAACAGGCTGGGTGCCGATAGTAACCACCATCCGTGTCTGGTTACGGTATTTATAAAAAAGCAAATTATATCACCAGGTCCAGACATAGCTTCTTGAAGACAGACTGAGATAGCGATCATTGTAAAAACAAAAAACACTTACAGCAGGCATGTCTGTGAAAAAAAAAAAAACCTCTCAGAGACAAGAAACAAAGTCTTACAAACAGCCTGCAGCATCGTCCCACAGCAGAATGATTTGTTATATGAGCTCCAGTCACAGAAGGTCACCTTCATTCAAGATGAAATATGATTAAAGAGTACGATGAGGAATAGAAAGGCTGCCCTCAAATGGTTAACCAAGCTGTCGACCTATACAAACTATCCAAGTTGACTAAAATTACAGCTGCTGTTTGTAGAAAACTAGAAAAAACAAACCTCTTTCTACATCTGGCAAAAAATGTACCCTATGACCCACCTTTGTATCATTGGCAAAGTTTCTCCCTTTTGGTCAGAACTGCTGTTATAACTCTACTTGTAATAATAAATTAAAGTTGTCTGACAGTGTCACGATAAGCTCAGGATTTCAGATAGTGGTCATGAGGGCTCTGTATGTTCCTATTTCATGCAACAGCATCTTAAACGTACAGTGTGAAGAAACAGGTTATTTAGCAGCATCTAAGATCAGATTCTAAGATCACCTCCTCTATCACCCTTCCTGTAGATAAAGAAACAGTGACTTTATTAGGACATTCAGCTCCTGTGATGCACGATAAGCATAATCCTCTATATTTCAAGTCTTTAACCATCAAATGTGTTTTTCATAATCTAAAGATGTATCCCCTACCATGTTTTGTTCAGTGTTTTTCATGCACCATCTCTGACTTTGTAGAACTCTTTGCTGCATTTTGCTGCATTGTTTTCACCTCTTTTCTTGATTTTTCCACTCTAAATGAACCAATATCTAATCAACTGTACATGAAACTGTTTTAAAAGCAGCATGCGGTCCTCTATTTTGACTCACTGAAAAGGTTCATGTCTAGAGAGGTGGTCTCATGTCAGTCTGGGTAAGGATTAGAAACCAGCACCTTAAAGATCAGTGAGTTCAGATTGAGGATGATGTAGCTGAAGATGTTGCAGAAAACAGCAGCTACTTAATTACAAAAGGAGCTGCTGAAAACATAACGCTGATGAGCTGAAGGATAGCAAACATTCGTTCTCTACAAACCTCACAGAGCTCTTTATGTTTGAATCTTTGTGTTGGAGTGACAGCACACTTTTTAAAGAGGGATTAAGTCCTAATCCTTTGAGCCACACCAGGAGCAGAAGGTTAGAGGTGAGACAACTTATCTGGTGCCCTTTTTTAAAAGTTGAGCAGATGCTGGGGTGTCAGAACTTGGACTTTGGTGCTGTGGTCAAAGATTTGAGGGGAGCATGTGTAAGAGACAAACAAGAGGGACAGATGAACTGAACAGATCTGTAAGTGGTAAATGGACTGTGCTCGTATACACATAAAAAAATCAGAGTCTCAATAACTTTGATAAATATTAAGATCATTATAATTTAATACAGTTACTTGTTGACTGACTCTGGGACTGACCCACAGCAAATAAAACTAAGGTCTTGATTTCTGTGCAGGACATTAAAGAAGATCTCTACTTTGCTTTTACTCATTTGCCTGAAATAGAAATGTAAGTTGAGGAAAGCAAAATGACATTTTCATTACTGCATCTGAGTAGAGACCTGTAATTACAGAGAATAATGGGGAAAATATGCCAACAGCAAAAACAATGGACAGGGTAGTTATTTAAAGGGAGCCAAAATAGCTTTAATAAAAACTCACCATGTAATATAAAATTCTCAACCACCTAAAGAAACAAACAGCAATTGTTCTTTTTCTTTAGTGGAAATCCCACTTCACTATCACCAAACTGCAAAGTCCTAAAGCAGCCTCTCAATGAGTGGAGCTGTCGCTGAGGGAAAGAGTAAACACAACAGAAAGTGGGGACTGTGTGCCACAGTCACTGTCACACCACATAGTAAGGGAGTGAGAGTTCAGTGAAACCTAAACAGGGGTCAAAGGTCAGACTGGCTTAACGAAGAGCCCCCACTTCAAGCAAACACAAGCTCTGGGAAGGAAAGTTAAAACTAGTCATCACGTCAGACGTGCTCAACTCGAGATGCTCTTGAGGAGAAACAGACCTGCCTTGTGGTTTGGGGTAGGTGCCACTCAGCTCAGTGAAAATTTCATCTCTAATCCGCCCTGTATCATATTTTTCAACTTTGAACATCAGAGCTGACCATCCCTCTCCAGAGACACTCCCTGTTTCTCTTATTTTGAAACTTTTGGTCTGATGTAATTCCTCCAGCTGCATCCTGAGACGCTGACCACCAGTTGTTGGTCAGCAGAATAATTTAGTCTATTTCAGAGTGTGGACGCACACGAGTGCCGCAGCACCACAGCACACTCTGAATTAGAAATGACTCAGGACACGTGACTGTTAATGCCAGTGAATCCTGGGGAACTGATGAAGAAAGAAAAATTGTCACAGAGATACACAAACACAGGTGTTGGTTTTCTATCTGCAAATTAAGGTTTTAGTTTTTACTTGAACCAGATTTAGTTGTGACTTTGGCACAGTAGGGTCTGTTAACTTGAAAAAATGGCCAAATCGTTACGCGGTGGATACAAGCATCAAATTTGGTACACACATTCTTTAGGGTGTATCTCATCATCTCAGAATCAGTGCCCAAAAATTCGGACCCATTAAATACCTTTTAAAGGGGAAAATCCAAAATGGCCGCCAGAAATGAACCATAATTCCTAAGATGTGGTCTAATTCTGAAATTTTGCCTAAATCTGCTAATTATAGATTTTCATTTATAGTAAATAGACCAATAATAAAGGATTTGGCCAAAGCCACCCAAGAAAAATGTGTAAAATATGTTTTAAAGGCCTTCAAACGAGAATAAATTGGCTTAAAATGTACTCTGAAAGACATGACTTCACACATTAATCCTTCTGTGAGTGATATATTGTTGATGCCAGATACAAAATTGTTTTTCAAAAAACTTCTAGTAGGCCCTATGAATGATTATATATAGGTAATATATTGTGACAACTTTATATGACCATAGATCCAGCACTCATATACTGTATAGGCACAACTTATTTTTAAGCCAAGACATAGCAGGTGACTAGTGGAATCAAAGACATTTGCATTACTGGAAAGATACACCTGTGTTCTGTACGACAAGACAACTGACATTGAAAATGTCAATTACCTAAGGAAGGACCTGCTAAGAAATCTCTGTCAATGGAAAACATTCCTCCGACACAGGCTATATTGCTACAGCATGCACATCGAGCAGTTTATCAGTCTAATTTGGATGGACCAAAGTCAATAATTTGTGGAGACCGCTATGGACACGATTGCCCGAGGCTGCAAAAGTTTGCAGAGAACTCCTTAAGTGTGGCTGCAAAGCTGAGCCCCTCTGTTCTCGGAAGTGTCGGTGCCGGGATGCTGGATTACCTTGTACAGCATTATGCCATTGTGCTGGTAAATATGAATGGGACATGTGAGTCACTTGGCAAAAAGATAAAGAATAAAAGACGAAAAGAGGGGAAAAAGACAAAACAACAGACAGACAGACAGACAGACATGAAGATGGATGGATGGATGGATGATGGATGGATGAATGAATGCAGCCTCAATGGGACACAAGCCAGTGTTCTACTTGTGCCGGTCGAAAGCCCGGGGAAATGCAGAGGGTTGTAATTCAAATAGTTTTGTATGCATTTATAGGGTTTTGAAAAATAATACCTGCACAGTGAGCGTCATCTCCCTTTCTTTTTGCCCCTTCATTTGCATCATCTATCAATTTTATCAATAACTCACTTCCTGTTTCAGATTATTTTGGGCACCCTTTCTAGGATGTTTAGGATAACCCAAGGTACACATTTGAGAAACGTTATAGTTTTATGAGATTCTTTAGATGACTTTTGAGTCAATCAACAACACTGTAGGCCATTTTCAATTTAGTCAATGACTCACTTCCTGTTTCAGATTATTTTGGGCACCCCTTCTAGGATGTATTAGGATGACCCTAGGGACATATGTGCCAAATAGTATGCTTCTCTGAGATTCAATAGGCTATTTGAATCAATCAGCAACGCTTTAGGCGGCCATTTTGAATTTCGTCAATAATCCACTTCCTGTTTTTGGCCACTATATCTAGGATGTCTCTGGATGACCCACGGGTCACCTGTGCCAAACTTAATGATTTTTGGACATTCTTTAGGTTTTTTTTGAGTAAACTGTCACCTGTTTAGGCAGCCATTTTCAATTTTGTCAATAACTCACTTCCTGTTTAACATTTTTTTGGGCATCCCTTCTAGGATGTTTTGGGGTGACCTAAGGGACATATGTGCCAAAATTTATGCTTGTATCCACCGTGTAACGATTTTTCACCTAACAGACCCTGCTAGACAGAGACAGGAAACATAGGAGGCATGTGGACATGACATGCAGTAAAAAGGCCAAAAGCTGGCACTGGACGTAGTGCTGCAGTGCAAAAGGGTTAGCCAACCTGACACCTCAAGCATGGTTCATAGACCTGTGCATTATGGGAAAGATATGTGATGAGTTATAATATTGTGCAATATTGTGATGATGGTTAAAGGGTGGTAAAATATGTAATGGACCTAATGATACCTTTAACTTACACTTTTGATGTCTGCCCTTGTTTTCTCAGACTCTGGCTTGGAGAAATGTAATGCCCTCAAATACAAAAGTGTAAATCAGACAAAAAAGAGGAGCTGTTATATTCATTGTATTTTACATTTTAAATGAGTTTGTATTGTAACATATCAATTAAACTCCAGATCCAAATAGTTTTCTCACGTGGATAGCTGACAGCTACTTCAGCTTCATTTGACAGCATCAAACCCCTGTGACAGCTTGGTCATTATAAAATTATAATACACAGTTTTTGTCCTCAGAATACATCTGGCAAAAGTACAAACACCAGGGCTTAATACATATATACAACGCAATATTAATATGTTTACAGTCACAGCTCTAAAAATAAAGAGGTGAAATGCACTGACTTTCTTTAAAATCCATTTGCCTTATGAGACCAGCAGCTTTGCAGGTAATGAACTGCGGATGCTTCTGTAAGTGGCTTTTCAATCCTCTAGTTTATCCATTATTGTTTGTTGAGCTTTAGTATTCAAATATTAAAGTAAATATTAATAATATCAATATTAATAATAAGTTTATATCAAAGGATTTGTCTTTTTACAAGTCCTAAAACATGTACTTTCAGTTCAGCATTACATTATTTATTATAGTATTCTTAAATTACACAGGTAAATATTAAATCTGCACCACACTTTTATGATAGTTGTCAAAAGAGTGAAGACAGAGGGGGTAAGTGCTGCTAATCTATGTATGTACACTTCACCTGGACACCCCTGTCTGTGTCTGCTCCAGTTGTGCCACCCCAGTCAAAAAGTCTAGATGCGCCCCTGAACAGCTGCCCAGTAGAAACTGTGTTATTTGTGCAAAACAAAACACACAGTGTAACTTTGATTTAAACAAAGGCTTGAGGTTCATATTTATTGATAATTCAGTTACTCCGTAGTCATATGAGTTGTCACTGTCACCTCTCAGTTCTGTGCTCTACGGGTCTTTGCTGCTGCTCTCCATGCCTTTGCTTTTAAAACATGAGCATGAAACTGAGGGGAAGTAGCTCTTCCCACCTCCAGCTCCTGCTGGGAAGGGCATGGTGCCCTTGACAAAAGTGTTCCTGACCTAAATGTTGGTAAAAAAATAAAAAAAAAAACTGTTGGAAAAACTGTTTAGCTATGTTGTATGTGAGCCCCGTCCAAAAGGATCTTTTTGGCCCGAAGAGGAAGAAAAACCCAAACAGAGCTCTTGTTCTGGTTGTTCTCAGGTACAGACTATCAATCTTTTTAAATCCAGGCAATCTGTCCTGTGCAGAAACCACCCGCATTAAACAGTAAGCACTACAGTATACCCACAGGTTACACCTTAAATGCATACATGTTATGTAGTTTGCCACTCACAGTCCTGCTGCTATTACAGGGCCTCTTTTAATGAAGGGAGAGGAGTCATAGTTTCCCATGACTAAACACGGGTAAGGCCTTTTTTCCTCCACAACAAAATGATAACAGATGGGCTCTGTTCCATGCATGGCACCATTTAGACAGAGAGCACTGAAGTGCACCACACTGCTACAATTAAAAACTCTCGTCTTCTTACAGTGAGCAGCAGCAGCAGCAGCAACAGCAGCAGCTTTCTCCAGAGCAGGGAGCCTGGGAGAGGAATTTTCACACCCGCTTCTCTTACATGTTTGCAAGCTTCTGTTTGATTCGCAGGTATGTGCTAATCAGAGCTGACTTCTCAAGCAAGATGTTGAGAAAAGGGGGAGTCAGGTTCAGGAGGGTCATCAAGCTGCTTATTTTCCTCCCCTGCTGCATTAGAACACCTTACAATTAACTTTTTTGACCCAAAAGAAGTCACAAAGTCAAATATGACGGCTATAAAACTAAACACAAAGCACCCTTCAATGCTCATGTTTCCACACTCTTGGAGGAATCATAAAAGATTCATACCTGTGGCTGTTTTCTTTAACAGCAGACCAGACTAACTGGGTCTAACAGGAGGATTAAGACTGACCTTTGTGCTGTTCAAGGAGCCAACAGATCCAACCTTATATGGTTCAGTCACTGAGGCCAGCTTCATTTTGATCACCGGTCACTTTCAGCACCTCATTCTTCTCCCGTCCATTAGAGATGTGTTAATGTTTGGTCTGGTCTGGCTGGTTTCCTGCTGCTAAGTCTTTAAAAAGGCATTTTGAAGCCTGTAGGCTACAGTGTTGGACCATAAAGGCAGAATGTGGTCTGAACAATGTCTTAAACAGTGATTTCCAAAAGCAAACTTCAGGATAGGAGAGACAGTGTAAGAAGGGGAACACCAACACTGAGAGTTTGACTGTCACCCCAAACCACAATAAATGACATCAGTCTCATTTGTAAACTGCACTGCTGGGTTTTTCTCAGCGAAGCAGGAAGACAGATAGAGAGAGAGAGGGGAGAGACAGGGAGACGGGAGCAACATACTAAAAAGTCATAAAGGGAGGAAAGACATTTGGGTTTGCCTGGAGCTGTAACAGAGCCGGACCCGATTGGGAGCAGCCAGACTCTGTCACAATTACTGCACTGACCGCAGACTCTCTTAAAAATACCTCTGCAGGGTTTGCAAATGGCCAGCCAAACCTAAGGAGCAGTAATACAGTAGCAGTTGATCCTGAGGCAGGTCATGGCAGGAGGGGAGGACAACCGCTGTACAGTATATCCCCCAAGAGGCCTTTTTACACAAACTACTGGGTCAGCTTCCTGCTGCACTACAACAGAGGTTTTACAACAAAGCAAAAGGCAGATATGGACGTGTGCATGAGATCTGTTTCTGTGACAGTGCGTGACATGTTGTAATCATTCCAGTGCCTATTCTGACAATATAAAGTGACAAAACAAAAGCAAAACAAAAATATAACTCATAAAGCAAAGATATAAAGCAAGGAGTTTCTGGACCACAAACAATATTTGTCAATCTATAGTGGCCACAAAGAGCCATGCTCATTAGGCCTCATGTCTCTGTGAAAGGTATCGAGCCTCGTGTGAGAGCAGAAAATTAAAAACTGTTCTGCCAGGCTTGCCAGTTTATTGGTGTTAATAAAAAAAAAACTGTTTGCAGAAAGACAGCTGATGTCTCGTACACTGGCTGGTATTATATGCATGCATCAGTAGCTGCGTTTACAGCACCTGATCAGAATAAAAAAGCGTCATGTAAACATGTTGATCGGAAGATTCTGAGCCAATTCGGCTCAATCGGAAAGAAACTGTATTTTGATTGAGGGGGGTGGTTTATGCCGATCATTATTCCGAAACTCGTCCATGTTAACACTTATTCCGATCGTGACTCTCTAACCTGACACCATCTTCACTCTTAAGCCTTTGGCTTATTTATTGAGGTCAGTACAGGAGGTTTCATTATTGACACTGGCAGAAAAAAAAAAAAAAAACACAATCGCAGGTGCCGTGTCTACTCCTCCGGTGACATAACATGGCATACAGCGTAATGACGTCACATCTGCACGCACAGTGCAACCTTTGACGGAAAAGTAAAATAAGTAAGCAAGGGCGCCATCTAGTGACAACATATAACAGGGTGAAAATCCTGAACTGGATGAAGCAAGCCACTACCATGTTTGTTGGTTTGTTGACAGCACAGGCGTAAATACAACTCTTCTTCTTCTGGGGTTGTTTTAGTGAAATTAGACTAAATGAAATAAGACATCCTCTCTGCGCACGTCATAATCAGATTTTTTTTATTTTGTGCCCATATAAACAGGAGATTCAGATTTTCCAATCCCTCAAATTTTTAATCAGATCAAGAAATTCTGCCCACGTAAACATGGCTATTGTAAAGTTACATCCATGTTGTGTTTGCATGTGTCACCCCAACCCTGCAAAGTTCTACCATGCAGACGGCAGAGGAGAGACAGGGCATGAATTCTAATCGAAGCAACATATGGGCAGGAGTCTGTATCTTCATGCATGCATGTGTGTGAAAACAGAAGTGACCAGTCTGCAGCTTGATTCTTGCTGAAGAGGCTCTAAGGTGTTGGGATATAATATGCCATAACAGAATCAGAGGCATGTAAACCAAAGAGGGAGGAATGCAAACAGGACCTGTGAGCAGTCTAAATATTACATGACAGACAAGCGTCCACGTGTAGAAGGTGGAAAACCACTTATATCAGAGCAACTGTCTGATGCTGGAAAACTCATTTGGTGTCAGAGACCTGAAGAGGATACTTGAGTGCCTGGTAGTTTACACTCTGATTTGGATGATTTGATTCTGCATGATTCTCACCGAAGGTAATTTGCTGAACCATTGAGGGGTCTCATAGTGACCATCCTGACAGACAAAATTAAGCCATATGTCTGAGGGTGGGGTTGTGTGGTAAAGGTGTTTTTTTCCTCACCAGAGCGGGATCCAGCTCTTCATTCAGCACAGCTTCATTCTTGATAAGAGCCACACGCTGAGCAAAGCGACATGTAGAGATGGATTCCTGCAGAAAACAGTTTAAAAACAGAGTTTTAGAGGAAGACTGTCACACCTTATTACTCAGATAATACTCTTATAATAGCTCATAAACCAGTATGAGAACAAGTATTTCAAGGTATTAGTACATGATTGATTGGTACTATTACCTAATGGCTCCTAAGTTTTTGTTAAAGCTGCCACAAGGAACTTTTGATTTGTGTTGTTTCTGGGGCCCCCTGTGGACAAAGTAATACCTCTTCTCTCTTGTTCTGTACATTTAAAATTTATGCCCAGACAAAAACCTCATCCTTTTGTCATTCAACAAATATATCATTCAAATAAATATTTGCTGTGTACAAAGCCAGTCTCTAAGTTTCAGGGTTCTTCTCCAAAACCTCCTCCTTCTCACTTCCTCCTGCCTAAACATGGCCCTAACATGTTGCACTTACATCCAGGTTCCCCTTGTCTACAGCCATCGTGGCAATCATGGTGGTCATGCAGTTCCCTCCAAGACTGTCTCTGAGTACAGAAGTCAACATGGAGTTCCTGTAGGGGATGTGGGCGCGCTTCTTCTCTGACAAAGCTACGATGACCTGCAAAAGAGAGTGGTTCAAAAAGCTGACAGGTTAATGAAGGGAACAAATGTGGAGGAAATGTGATTAGTCTTTAAACAGAGTGGGTCATTAATGTTCATACAGCAGCTGTGAAAGGGCTATTAGAGGAGCTTTTTGGTGTGATTAAATCAAATCAGTCTAATTAAAGAACATCCAGGACAAGCTGGACTCAGATGTTATTGTAGGTGCCTGATAACATCACAGAGATACACCTTATTTATTTCACATGGGAACAATGTTCTGTTAATGCCACCAGACTTGAGGACATGAGAGTTGCTGGTTTTTGGTTGCTTTTATCTGTTAGTTTGCTTTTGTGTAACTTGGTTGTTTTTGATGTCTAGTTTGTAACAAAAGAAAAAAAAAAACAAGTAACTCCTTTGTTTTGTGGTGTTAAAATCTTTTATTTGTTAATGGGATCTGGTGGTTTTGCTGTTTTTCAGTAAAAAACAGATGAGTCCTTAATTTTCAAATAAATTTCTACACTTCATCAGACAGATGTAAAGCCTGCATGGAGGTGCAGTGGTTTACACAGCTGTTCCACAGCGACAAGGTTCCTTGTTTGAATCATAGACTGTATAAAACAAAGAGACATAGCCCATGGGTTCATTATGTACCTGCTGTCAGTCTGCCTTCTGTCCAGACTCTGACTGAACTAGCGCCATCTCCAAAGTCTTTGCAACTGACATCATTCATGCTGCTCTTTGGAGTCAATCACCCTCAAAATGCACACCAACAAAACATGCAGTCTAATGAGATGTACATACATGCATTTTAGGGAGGCACTGATGTTGCTGGTGTGCAAAATTGTGACAACTTTTCAGTTTGTGAATTATCTCTGCATCTACTTTTAGCCAGTCTGTGGTTTTGTATTATTCCGTGGGGTAATATTGTGGTAAATAGTTTTCACTCTCCGTGTGTGCAGTGACAGTTGTTGTGATTTCTTCCCCAAAACCATCTCCCAAGACCATGCATGAACCTGCAGGCCCATAGGTGTGAGTGAGTCTGGCTGTCTGAATATGTTTGACCTCTGATGGGCTCTCCAGGGTTAACTCAACCCTCCTCCAATGACAGCTTTGATAAGCTCCTCTAATCAGTGGTGTTAATAGTGGATAGATGAACAGAGATAAAGGTAGACAGGAAAAAGAACACAAAGAGATGTCTTCTCAGACTGATTCACTATTGTGAAACAGAGGCTTTCATCAGAGGTGGATACCTGCTCTAAGTAGTGCAGGGAGAGGTTGATGTACTTGGCTTCAGTGAGGAGTTGTCCATTCAGGCCAGTCTTGCTGACTCTGTCTGATCCAGCCAGATCCACTAAGTGGAGCTTGGAACGTTGCAGGGTTGCTGAACCCGGCTCACGCCTGCACAGGTGAACGGTGAAAATGCAGTGAGATCGTGTAGACGCCTGGTTCATCGGAGTCTGCACAAGAGAGGGAGAGAGAGTAGAGAGACCATTTTGGAAAGCTCTAAAGTCTGTGTGGTGTTAGTCTGAGCCCTCTAGATTCAATGCAAATGTTTGTGTCACAAAAAAGGATGATTTTATTTTCCATCCTTTCTGCTGCCCATTTTCAAACAACAGAAAACATGTTTTCCTTTGACTGGTATTTTTTCTTGCTGCCGCTGCTCTGAAGATAAAAGCTGTGTGCCATGTGCAAGCAATAAGCAGTAAACACATGGAGGCGGCTCGACAAAAGCTGACGTTGGTTTTCAGATGGTCACTGGCCCAGCAGAACTCAGGTTGAGACCATGAGGAGACAGAAATAAAGCGTGAGTCACTCTGAACAAACAGACTTTATTAACTGGGGGAGGATGGGTTACTCATGAAGTCCTCCAGGAGGGGATAAACACAGGAAATGGAGATTCATTGACAGTGCTGATTATAGACTTCTTATTGTTGGATGTTGGCTTTAAATAAGGTCGCTAAGTTAGAACAGAGAAATTCTTTGGACTACATTAGCTGCGATCCAGATGAGGATTCCTCTCTGTCAGAGGGAAAGGACAATACATTAGATATGAACATGACTAACTTCTTCTCTTTGCTTGAAAAACATCCTCCCAGACATTCCAGGTCGCTCATTCTAAAGAGGAGCTCTGACCCTGACTTGTTTTTGGCGTAAATGTGCCAACACCTGCTTGTTAGGGTCATGACAGCTTGTGACAGATCCTTCACTATCTTAACCTGCAACCATCATCTCCTTCTTCACTCTAAATTCCTGCGCTCTGCACACGTCCATGTTGCTCCTCGGGGTGTCACCTAGAGTAATTTGAAGCAGACTTGAGATGTTGATGAAAATAGTGGGATTCAATCAGCATTACAGGGTGAGAACAGAGTGTTCGTGTTGGATAAAACGTTCTCTCCATTGACGGCTCTAATTAACACAGAGACGTGGCCAAACTTTGACAAGTGCTGCTTCTCAATTCATTGAGTCTGATTGGAAACAGGTCAGGTGGGTGTGATGGAAATTTTGCTAAACTTGAACTCCTTAGTTTCACAGCATAAGTGGTAGGAGACTTAAGGTTCTGGTGAAAAGCTGTATAATCTGTCAAACTCACAGTATGAGCACTCAGGAACCCCTTATTGGGAACACAAACTGCACCTGGAGTGATTTCTCCAATTAAGTCATTTGTTTTAGAGATATTGAGGTCAGAAGTTTTGCAGTGTTACGCCTGGTTCACACAAGACGTCACGTGCAGCTTGGCTGTTCACACATAAAGCATTTTCTGCTGCGCTCTGACGCGCAGGTCAGACATAGACTGAGCTCGGCTGTTTCCGCCTGCCCTCAGTTTTCCACACTTACGAGTGCTTTAAACACGGGTAAGTCGATATTTATTCATGTTTTTATTATGTCATACATAAATTAAATATTGGCAGCATCTTCAATTATTGTATTAAATTATTATTATTATTATTATTATATTGTTAATATATTATTATATAGGGGTAAACAATGAATGAATTGGGGAGTCTGTTGACTCCATTGTATGTGTAGCCTTGTTAGCTCAAGGCTATTGACTCTACCATAATAAAAAGTTAAAACATACTAAATTTTTGGTTTTGTAGGCTAATATTGTGTTTTTAAACTATAAACATTTTATTTTGTCATAATTATTCCCAGTTTGTGCTGTCGTGGAGAGTGCTGTCCTGGCCCTCTACTTGTTGCTGCACAGGCTCCCACGACAGAGATTTTGGGTCCCTTGTCTCAATAACATCACTGAATCTCTGCCACTCTCCCTCGGTGTGTGTGTGTGTGTGTGTGTGTGTGTGTGTGTGTGTGTGCGTGTGTGCGTGTGTGCGTGTGTGCGTGCATGAATGTGTGTTCATCGGGAAAAAATAGACCGACAAGCAACACCGTAAATCCTTTTTTTCTAATTTATTGAAATTTATTTTATTTCGAAAATTGGCCAGATTCTCTCGCATCTCCTGTTTCCGGTTTCCTGTCTGGTCAGATCTGCTCTGTCCAGCTTTACAGTTGGCACCTGCACAAGCGTCTTGCGCAAAAAAAAAAGAGAAGTCGAGCGGCTGCGCTCCAGAGCGTTAGCCGTTCCGTGTGCAGAGCTCTTGAGTGCTAGCCGTTCCACGTGCAGCTCTCCCCCGCGCGAGCTGTGTGAACAGTCACATAGGTTAACACAGGCGTCTCAGGAACCTGACGCTGTGTGAACCAGGCGTTAGAAGTGAGGCTAACTTGAATGACAGGTGACCATACTGTAACTGCAAACGAGGAGGTTAAAGGGATATTCCGGCGTAAATTTAAGTTATGGTCAAACAAACTGTAAAACCGAGTTGGACACCTTCTCTAGTTATACTAACTTCAGCAACGACGGCATGATAGCAATGCACAGCAGTCTACGTCTCCAGGCGCAAACCTCAACCAAAAAGCCACCCTATAGCCACAATAATGCTCAGAACAGCACCTGACCTCATCAACAGTACATATAGGGTCCCCGCCATAGCACTAGCCATCAAACATCTTTTGAGCTTTGCCTGGTTTCTTTAGCAAAGAGACTAAACACAACTCACCCACTCTCCTCCAGCAGCCACTTGTTTGTGGGGGAAGCCCTGATGAGTCGATCACCAAGAGCAGCGAAGTTTTGCAGCTCAAGGAAGAACATTTATGATCATTACTTTGTGGAAATGCAATCAGACTGAGACACTAAGGCAGAAGAACTACCACATCTGCAGTGCAAAATGATTACTATGATGATTATTCCTCATGATCCACTGCACTCGGGGAGGAAGCATTTCCAATACAGACACTGATATCAACATACTTCAAAACTGCTTCAGACACCAGTAGGTGGTGTGCTTTGCAACACTCAAATATTCTATTCAACTCTGAATTTGACCATATCATTTCATTGAGCATCACACAATTTGTAGAGAAGACAGGAAACTGGCAACTTGGACCTGAGCTTTTTGATAACTCTGACAATATATCATATAAAGAATGCAAGACCTCTCTTTTTCCAGTCCAGTTGCCCCCCTCCTGGTCATTTAAAAGAATGCATCACCCTTCCTCATATCCGAACACAATGTCCACTTCTTTCAAACAGTCCATGGGTAGAGTTCATTTGAGCACAACAAAATAACCTCTCTGGACTTACTTCCTTCATTCTCCTGTGTTCTTCCTACATCCTGTGTTGATCTCACATGGACCACAGGCTGACCACACACAGAGCTGCAGCGGGTCAGAACAAAGAGGCAATCTGGTTCCACAAACACCACTACACTTCAAGACTGCTGATTCACAAGATCAAGACAGAAGTTTTAGTTTGACCACTTGCAGTGAACCCTGATCACCCCTCAAGTTCAGGAGGGAGTTAGAATGTAAGTGAGGAAAGATCCTGAATCTGCATCCCCACATGTGCGGAGAAGTGAAACAGGGACGCAGGGGAAACACCAGATGGGGTAAATGTTTCCTCAAGAGGTTGAAAGAGAGATGGGGGTTGCTGAGTTGCTGAACTGCTGAGTCTCAAAGCCAGTGAGCTCATTGTCTGCTGAGTGTTGCTTGAATAAATTTGTCATCTTTTCTCTACAAGGCTGAGAGCAAGAGGAGGAAGAAAGCGTCACTGTTAACTTTATTGGAAGTCTTTGTGGAGTGAGTTCTTCTGAATTTCATCTGAGTTTAATTTGCTGACAGCACTTGGTTGGCACGAGGCCCAAGAAAAACCTTGTTGTGTGGATGGCCCAGAGAGAACAAGTTCACTGAAGTCTCTGTGTGGGTGGACCGGGCTGAGGGCTCCCCACCTTACCGTCACTGCAACGCTCTCTGTTTTCTGATCGACAGACTGAAAAGACTCCAATTCAAGGATGATACGGCTTCAAACATAGTTCCTGGGAAAGGGAGTGTGATGACCTCTGAAGAAGAAGAGTCTTTAAGATAATGCAAAGGCAACAAATCAAATCGTCAAACTGAAAATAAAACGTGAATTCTTATTCAAAGTTTGGTCCCAGTATATAAGATGAAGTGAGGCAACAAAACATACTGAAACAGTTTTATAATGCAAAAAAAAAGATGAAAAGTTCTTACACGCCAGGGCCGATGCAAATATAGAACGCGAAATTACGAAATATTCTGAGGAGAATTTTGACGCGCCTGACTATGCACATGAAGCCCGATGCGATTTTGCAACTTTCCGGGGGGGAAAAAGACACCCCCGGGTGGAAGCGAGAAAACTGACACAACAGCAGACTGACTGTTTTTCAGTTCTGATTAGACACTACTGTTGAGATGGCTGTCTGTCATGATAGCATGTACTGAGTTGGGGCCAGTACCAGATAAGCACATTAAACTATAATCCATAAACGTAAGGTAACAACCGAGACCTAACAGTGCTGTGACAGCAACGCGATTGAGTTTGAGACAGTGAAAATACATATGGTATGTTGTATCTGAACAGGTTAGCTTACAAGCTAAAGTTACTTAGCACAGATGACAGTTAAAACAAAGACGTTTAGCAAACTGTTAAAGCATACAAACTTTCGTCATATGAGAGATCTGACGCTATGACTCTCCACAAGTTGTCCTTCAGGTCGTTATCTTTGTAATGTTTGTGTCTTTTATCAAAAAGCACTCTGTTCTCTGATATGTAAACAATCAGCCAGTCGGCCATGTTGGCTATACCCGTGAATCAGACGTCGCAACAACACACAATCTGATTGGTCAGAAGTGGACACACAGTATGCGAAACTTTAGAAAAATCGACCATGATCTGAAAAAAATAGATGCCGCAATATTGAAGGACGGGAAAACGTCGCTGATGAGAATGCTTGTATTGACAGCATACGGGTTCGAAAAAAAATATTGACGTCCGAAATAATTGCACGAAAAAAACAGTCCCTGTGTGAAAGGACCTTTAAACTGGAAGAACAACTCTGAGCCATTAAAACTAACTTGCACCAGGTTAGGCTATAACTGTATATGAGTGGTATGCAACAGAGGTCAAGTCCCTCAGAAGAAGAGATGGAAAGAGTTTCACCACTCTGTAAGTGACTGTGTGAGGAAAATGATGTTCCTCGGTGTAAAAATGCAGAAAATCTGAGGATTTCATCATCACAGCACAAATCATCATGAAGAGATTCAGAGATTCACTGTGAGATGTCATTGCATTAAAAACAGACATGACTCTCAAGTGGAAATTGCGACATTTCCTCAAAATCCCTGCTAACACAGTTAGTTTCTGCATCTATAAAAAACTGGTTAAAATAAACTAATACAAAGAGGAAACCATTTATAAACACGTTGATCACTTTTCTGTAGTCTGATTTATCAAATTAGACACCATGCCCTCTGCTCTGAAGAGGAGAGGGACTACACAGTTTGTTATCAGTTATGGTTTAGATTTGGGCTACAGGTTTTGAGCAAAGTATGCTTCCAGCCAGACAAGTTTTTTTTTTTTTTTTTTTTCAGGGAAAATCTGAGATTTATTTCATTTTATCTTTATTTACCTAATGATTTGACAATATCTGAGTGGGTTAGGCTGTTAATAATTGTTCCTTTATCAACAAAACAGATGAAAAAAAAAACATTCTTGCATTAGGTTGTTTTTTTCTTGGTCTGAACTTGGGCAAACTAGAAATTCAGATGCTTTACAAAAGCTTTTAAAGATGTATTTTCTATTCAGTACTTTATGTCTCCTGTGACACCAACAACAAAAGAATCTCAACCACAGCAAAAACATGTTCATCTACATGGAAACCTGTTCACTGATTGAAGCTTTATAATAAAGTATATGTATAGCCTTTGTTATTCACTTACAAACCAGCAACATGGGAAAACAAGGTGAGATCAGCTCTTTGCTGCAAAGCAATGGTTGAACCACAATATGTCTCATCCGTGTGTGGAGTCTGGGTGTCTGAGTGTAGGAAAAAACACCACAGCATAAACAGAAATTACAGAGAGAATGCTGGAAAAACACAGTAAAAGAGACCAAAATAATATTTTAGAGGGGGCTTAAGGTAACTTTTGTGGTTCACATTTCATAAAAGGACAAAAAAAACTTTCTGCCACTTAAAGAGGAAGTGGTTATGGATTTTTTCCTGCTGCTGCTGTCTGCAGCCCTCACTTGAAAAAAAACTGAATGTATGTTAAGTCAGTTAACCTGAAGGACTGGGCAACAAAAAGATCTCATTAGGTTAGGGGACAGCAGTTAAATTAACTTTGATAAAAATGATCAACTTTGTTTCAAATGAAAAAAAGAGTGACTCACACAGCAGATACAGTGACTTTAAGCTTAAATGAACACCATCCTAACCCTGTAAAGCAGAGCTCAGGTTACTAATGAGAAAATTTCTGTTATCTTTTAATTGAAAGTTAGGGCTGGGTGATTCGGAGTGGGTTTTTAATACTAAGTACTTTCATGTGCAAATGTATCATCTCTTCATCAGCTATACTGTTTTTACTTCCTTACCTCAGCAATCATTCTATTGGTGTCACCCAGGAAGAGCAGGTTCAGAGCCTCCTCCTCATTGGCTGTCAGCTGCAGCGTCAGGTTCCTTAGATGGATGTTTTTCTCTGGATCCTCCATGATTGCCACTTTTCTGAAGGAAAGAGGAAAAATAGTGTTTAAAGGAAATACCGCTATCAAAATGTGACACAGAAGGACAAATTTAGTCAAAAACCAACTAAGCCAAGACTGAAGCAATTATGCAAAACTCATTATGTCAGATATGTCATTCATTTCCCTCCCATCAACCCGGCCTTGCCAATCCAAACAAACCACATCTGTAACCCACTGTGGGCTGCGACCCTGTTCGACATGTGCTTTATCTATCAGGGGGTTCACAGCATGATAACAGACAGGGCTGGCTTTTCAAAACAAACAGGTGATTGGTTCTTGCCCACATCAATAGCTCTGACACACAGCCTGTTGGGACAGACAGGGCTAAAATGGCTCCACTGATCCTACAGGGCTGTGACAGTGGAGCTACTGCCTGAGAGATGTCAAAGAGAGAGAGAGGGATGACTGTAGAACACATGGAGATAATTATGTTAACATGTGCAGATCGTTTGTTAAATGAAACTGTGTTAATCTTAATGTGATTAAAGGCTCTTTTTTGGCCTGGCTGTTTCTCCAATTAGCACCCAACAGTCCACAACAGGATTTGATTATTGTGCTTTTGTACAAATATAAAAAATGACATGCAAGAAAGAAAAAGCGAGGTAAGAAGTTTAGCTGTTGTGCAGCAGGTGCCGGAGGGGACTTACATAACATGGATGTCGGAGATGCTGAGATGGAATCAGACAACATTGGTGAAAATAACATAGAAGTGGACAAATCTACCAACCAAACAAATCATGTCTAGTGACAGGTGTCAGTCCTTCATTGGCGGTCTATGGTGACACATTGTGAAAATAAAGCAGAAACCTCCAGTCTTGAGAGATGAAGCCAAGGCTAGCTCCAAAAGCCCAGCAATGCCATCAATAAGCTTCTAATTTCACTTAAGTTGGGTGAAAATTCTTATTACAAGTGAGTGATATTGCAGAGACTTTGTCCACACATTAAACAGTCCATCATCCAAATAAAAAGTGACCAGGTTTTCAATTTTGGCAAGTAAGGTGGGGAAAACACTTTCCAGGAATGTGTAAGCTTTTCTCTAAGTGGAGGAATCAAGAGAGAAACAAAAACTAGAACCAAGATGAGATTGAGAGTTGTGAATACATGTTTCATATTTTTCTATTAAAGATGAATGAAGAAGAAAAATATGAGAATATGCTGAGTGATAATTAACTGAGATTTACAGTGAAAAGAGTGTACATGACTTAAACACCTGCACTCTTACTCTCTGTTTTCTTGCATTGTGATGTTATAATGTCAGCACAAACAGGGAAATGTTACCATTCACAGATATACAGAGGCCCATCTTTGTAGTATTATAATATTCTAAAACCCTATATGAAAAAATATAAAGAGGCCCTCTACAACATCTGGAGTTCATAAAATCTCTACTCCATTTTCCAGATTTAGTTTTAAAGGCATTGAGTGGATCTATAGAGAGGCAAGGAGTGACTGTGACCCCCTTGGCATCTGATAGGCTGTCCCAAAACCCCCAACTCTGATTGGCTTTTTAGCTTGTAAGAGGTGGGACTTCATCAATTTTCAGGACTGTGGAGAACTGTCTTTGTTGTTTGTATGGTATCAAAATCTTTATCTTTATTTGTTTTTGCTTGTGTTGATCTTTTGTAGAGCAGGTGTGGATTGGCTCTCTATAGATCAAATGTAAATATATGAACAACATATTTAAACAAAAGTAAGTAAAAAAGATTTAACTGACTTCTACTTGCTGACATTGTAATTCAGTGGAGCACATTTCCTTTTGATGGCAGACTAGATTATGACTCTGGAAAACACTGCTGTGGTATGTTGTAATATAAAAGTTTAAGCATTATAAACTAAGTTTGAACTTATTTTGGATACTTGACACTCCAGTGAGAAGTGTTTTGATATTTCTGGAATAGACTTCAGTTCATTTTGATGTCTTTTATGATATACCGAGCAAGGATCTCATTAGGTTAGGTTACTGTTTCCTCTGCGGCTTGGCCCATGCTGTCCAAAAAAGCCTCCTGCAGATAAGAGACTGAAGGACAAAAGTTTGGTTGTGACACATTTTTGTAGTTAAACATTTTTGATAAAAACCGACGTTGAGATGAAAATATTCTGTTATCCCAAAGCATCTGAAAATTTTTTTCCACTTAAGTCTCACAGTTCAAATTTTTTTTAGCTCACCTTAAATTCATTTTGGTTTGGGACAAGAGTGAACCCTCAAACAAAAGTTGTTTTATTCTAACGCACGCAGCACTTATTATCAGAGAGGACTATCCTCAACAACCTAAAAAAGCCTCAAACAAGAGAAAAAAGTTCTCCTGCTAGTCCCTTACAATCATGTTAGAGGCAGTGTGCAGTCAAGTCAGAAGCAGACCAACAGTTAAAGAAATCTGTCACTGCCACAGCTTCTCCTTGAATCAGCAAGTGTGGCTGCAGCATGGTTAACATCGGGCACTGTCTATTTTCAGAAGTCTGTGATTTGTGGGTATTGAAACCCTGAGCTGGAACCTCTGCGATGAGAGAACAACTTCAATGTTGCGCCTGAAGTGCAACCGCTACTTTGAAATGAATAAGTATCGCGCATGACAAAAAATGCGAAAAAAAAGGTGGGAGTGAGATTATGCACAGAAAAACATCCAGACCAATGAAATTTATGACTGAAAAGAGAGGGACAGAAAAAGAAGATGAAAAATGACAGCGGCAGCACAGAGGGAGGGAAGTAAGAATGAGTGAGATAAACGATGAAACCAAGACAAATAAAGAAATTCCCTCAGACCAGCTGCTGCTGCAGCCACCAACATTTTCTTCACATGACCCTCTTGCACTCCACTGAAGTGGCAGAGTTTGCCACCAGGCTGACCACATCCATTGCTGTTCCACAGTCTCATTATGTCAGCTGGCAGATCGTAGTGAGGTGGTAAATACTGGAGTCTCCATATTTCACCACACACTAACTCCAGGCCAGGCTGACAAATGACTGCTCAAGGAGTAAAACTCAGCTGAACCAGCAACTGCCTTCTCAGCATTAAACGAGTCTAAGAATTATTTGAGCATGTTTTTAAGGTAGTATAAAACTGTATGCATTTGCTGACAATTTAAACTGTAAGACAAGTGTAGAAAAATACAAAAGTATTCAAAAGGACTGACGGTAGGTCTTCAAGTCGAGATGCTCCATGTCGTGAATCCAACAGGTCATACCCCATTTCCTTGTAGATCTCCAGGTAGGAGATGTGTGTGGTATAAATCATGCTGCTGTCCTGTAGAGAGGAACACAATACACATATAGAAAGATATACAATTAGACCCAATATACAGTGTTTGTGAATGTCAATACAGAAATAAAGATATGCTGCTGTTCTGACCTGGCTGAAGCGCTCAAACAGGTAGGAGAGGGTGCGCGGGATGATGCCTCGATCCCTGTAGTGCTCAGCCCCTCCTGTGATGGTGAAGGTCTTTCCACTCCCAGTCTGGCCATAAGCAAATATGGTGCCATTATAGCCGGACAATACACTGCACAGACCCACAGAAAACACAAAGATATTTATTTATTGTTTATTAGTTAAAGTTAAACACAAAAGTAAGCACAAAGTAAGCAAGTATGTATTTGTGTCCATTGTGAACACAAACTGGAAGGCAGAAAAATATCTGCTGCAAAACAAGCTGTCTGCTGGAGGATCACGTGTGTGAGTAAAACAGAGGGACAGAGTGAGCCCATGATACACATTTTTAATTAAAAAAATAAACAATGAGGAACTGGTCTGGGAAAGCCATTGCTCCTTACTTCTTGCACTTCAAATAAACACACAGGTGACTTCAGGTGGCAGAGCAAACACACCTCCATGTGCATTGGAAGTTTCTGGAGCAGCAGATGTTAATGTAACTCCATCATAACATAAAAGGAGATGACAGCATACATAAGAACAGTTTATGACCACAACTAAATTTATGTAACCAGACAACAAAACAGGCTGTCATATAATTGATTGTTAACACTGGAAAAGTAAAGGTTTTTTTCCCCTTTGTTGGTCGACATGTGACCACACTGATCATCCCATTACAGCCTGTAATGACGTCAATGTTTTAATTTGAACAAGTCAGTATTCGTCAGCCACCAAAAGTCTGAGTAGAGTGAATGTGACACTTTTAATCCACTCAAAGAGACGGCAGTGAATGAAGAGCTGCTATGGCGACAGACATTGGGGGAAGGGGGGTGGGGGTGTCTTGGAGTATGAGTGACAGAAAAGGACCAAACCCACTCAGCCAGGCAGGGCTCTGTAAAATTTCGACTGGCACTGAGCTGCTCTACAGTATGGGTTGTGGAAAACCTTCTGTATCTGTTCTGTTTGAACGAAACAAACATACAATATGCTGGGACTCATGTGAAAGAGGGTAAATTGGCATGTTAAAAAAACACAGCTGAAAGAAAACCAGAATGAAATTGTAAAATGGCAGAGAGGCCTCTGACACATGAGCTCGCATCAAAGGTGAGGATAAACTCTTTCCTCTCGGGTCTGCCAGTTGAAACAAAAAGGATATCTTGATGGTGTATTTTTTCAGGATGAATAATAAACAAACTTAAGCCTCTCACTTATTTTAAAGGAACTGCCAACCCAGTATTTGAGCAGCGTGTGGGTTCCTTCCAAGTGTGCTGTACAATTCCACACCCTGCATGAGACGGCGAGGGGGAAAAAATCTGTATGTCAGTTTATATAAAACACTGCATCCACTCAGTAAAAGGCTAGATGATTATTCTGACTTGGACGGCCATTGGCAACTGTTGAATCCAGTGTGACTCATGGCATTGACGGACACCAGGGACATTTGAGACACTCTGTGTTTAGCGAAATCTTGGTGCTAATGATGCGGCTTGGGCCCCTCTTTTGAGGCTTTGGCACATCTCAGCGCTTGTTCCTGTTTACACCCCAGCCTTCCTGGAGATTGGAGACTTATCGTTTTGAGGATGCTTGTTATTTCCGTAGTCTAAGAAGGGCGGTATGTCCAAAAGTTTGTGGTGATGCGGGTTTATTATAAAACTGAACAGAACCCCTTTCTTCTCTGAGCTTAGTCTGCAGGTTTTATAGAAATGTAAAATGGGATTACTATCCAGATAAAAAGTTTGTCTTGCCAGCCCAGCATCATTACATTGGCTCTTCCTCTTCTGGAGCTGTTAATATGGGTTTGTTTTTAAACTACTGTGTGAGGTTGAAATGATTGGTTTTGGTTTTCACCGCAGCAAAGACTGAGACTGGTGTGCAAGTAAACCAGTTAAGGCTTTTGGCGGAAGATAAAGAGCACCAAGTACAATTGAGTACCAACTAAAATAACCAGCTGACAGTTATTGCTGGTTCAAAAGAGAGGCGTATATGTCTGCAAAACTGGGTTTTAGTGCAATGACAGCAAAACTGCTGCAACTCCAAGTGACTTCACATCTAACCCAAATAAATGTGTCTCAGCGGCAGGGACTTCAGGAAAAACAATCTGTCAGTCCACATTTATATCTACGCTTGGATGAGAGGGGCTTCTAAGACCATGACAGCTTTAACATAGGCTTCACAGGAAAGTAGGTTTTTTGTTTATCCTGCAACACTCCACACTGCAAGGATGTGCAGCCTTGGTCTCTGTGTGTTCCTGTGATTTTGCTCATAGGCAATAGAAGCCACACTGAAGGCGATGTTATAGGGGGTCCTTTGTGAAGACCAGGGGGCGGCACAGCAACAGCACCTCTAGTAGGTTGACTGAAAGTTAGGCATAGTCAGCGATACCAATAGGGCGACTGTTTCTACAGTCCATGTCCCTGACTCACCTTCTTCAGACTGAAGGCTCTTCAGCAGCCCTCACCTTTGTTGCCATGCCACAAAATCATTAGACTTTGTAGTTTTAGACTTAAAATCAGACCAGGTGAGTTTGGAAAAGAACCAACAAGGAAATCTGTGGCAACAAAACACAGAGCAGAATGTTGTTCTACTATACTTTACGCTTCTGAGAAGCCTCACTAATCAGTGACATCACAAATTGAGTAACTTATGTGCCCCTCAAGCTTAACAAGTTATTCAGAGCCTGCATGGGATTACTTCAAAACACATTTACCCTCCAGTCTACAACTTTGCCCATGGCTGGACAGAGGGACTGGTCTCTTCAGGCTGCAGAGGTTGCCATCATATCAAAGAAGAAAAGATGTCAAGTTGAAATTATTGCACAAAGACATTTCCTGATTGTGACAGAGGTTTTGAACCCCGATGTTTACCAGCTGCCACAACAAAGGATGGACTGGGAAAGGTATTTTAGAGGAGGGTAGCTGAGGGCAACTGAAAACCAGAGCCAGTGACATTTTGTGAGTCAGGTCCCGTCTAGACGTCTCACAATGTTGTTTAAATGTCTTCTTATGGCAAAAATAATGAAAAGCACTTGTGGAACTCCACAAATAGACACTCTTGTGACGAAGGAGACTGTTGGTTGATGGTTTGGAAGATGGTTGGGCTAAATTGAGCTGGGAGAACAACAGCACAACTGATGTTTGATCAGAGGAAATTCCAAGTTAATACCCCCTGCCTCATGGATGTTTTCCTTTTGGAAGCAAGACGTGATTTAAGCTGAGCCTAGGCAAGAGGTGAAGCTGATACAGATACCTACAGAAAGTCTCTCTGTAGAAATGGAGTGAAGAATGTGTTTACAGTTTACTCAAGGGTGAGAGGAAACTATCTGGCAAGGGGAGGTGGGATATTAAATTAGGGGCTATGCAAAATACAGTGTTTTACTGTGAATTTTTGTAGAATTTACAGTAACAACATCTTTTTCTTTAAAACCAAACTAAAGTTCATCTTTATCAATCTAGAAGGGGAGTATGAGATTGGCTCTGATGCTTGTAAATTTTGCTTATCTATTAACTTATTGACATTTGGTCAACCAAATCACTGTGGTCCGCCCACTTCTTTTTAAGGGCATTCACAATTTACCAAAATTTAATTGTTACCTTGAGCTTGAGGAGAAAAGTTCACATTTGAGGTAATGAATTGTTTAATTTGTAAAAAAAATTGAAAAATAAAAAATGCAGTATATCAACATATCAGGCCATATGATCCAGCAGAGGGCACTCTCATCGTAACCTCGCCATTGCATACTGTCTTGACCTCAGTAAATACAGGGATAATATAGGGATGCTTTTCTATATAAATGACGGATGTGTTCAATCAAAGCTGTCAGTAGAAAACAATCATGACACCAAACAGCTGAGAAGCCTCTTGTTATTATCATTATGTTACGTTCCTATTGCCTTAGACTTCATAGAACTATCAAGTGAAGTCTCGAAAATGTTTTGTGTCTGTGTGATGGGTAGGGGAAGTTTAAATGTATTCACAGCATCAACATGTGATCTTTTTAAACTGAGTTTTTATAAAAGGTGGAGATGGTTTGGGATGTGAATCCAGGACATATGGCCCCACCTTCCACTACCCTGTTGGACCCCTAGGAAACCAATGTGAAGTCTGTGGGGAAACCATCATAGTGCATTGATGTCAGGAGTCTCAGTGATGCTGTCACCATTTGCTACTTTGCTGCCACTGTTGAGGACAAAAAGATTACGTGTGTATCATCCACTCTAAAAGGAAGTTTACTGGATTCTATATCCGATCCCTCCATGACCTGTGCATCTCAAATATCCTGAGATGTGCAGGTAGGATCTTGGCCTACCCCCACTACCCCACCTCACACACTGTGACACTGAAGGGACCCCTGACCCCTGACCCCTCACCCTTCCCCTCCCCCCGACTAAACTCCTGTATAGTCTCAGTCACCTTATATTACAGTAACTGACTTTATTTACTTCACATCTTTTGGACTATTCTCTCGCTACGCTCCACATTCTCTGTATCTCACACAGTCAACTGCTGCAAACTGTTGAGATAATATCACACACAAACTATGCAGCCCTTTTCATTGAGCTTTCATTAAACACTCAATATATATTTTGCAAAAAGCAGCTGCAACTTAAAAACAAACAAGAACAAAAGGTCAGATATATTTGTAACTTCACAGGTTTAAATAAATCTAACACTCTACTTAAACACAGGCTGGGTGCGGACTGACAACTGAAACAACAGCTCAAAATAAGTGCATAGTTACAGTGCCCAGTGTAACTCTGTGTTGTGGTATAAAAATTGTTCTCACACTCACAGATGGCACACTGTGCCATCTTGCCTGCCAGCTTTGTCCACTTAGTGGTTTGAGGACCTAAAGCCCGCCAACAATCACAGACACTCTCCATTTCCATCCTAAAGAAAACTTCGCTTTACTAACTTCCTGTCAACATGGCCAGTTTACGTGTGTGTGGCCTGAACCCATGCTGTAGATGAACACTGCTGAGCTCAGGTGGACTGGGATAACCTCTGAGTGGATGCTTCATTAATGAGATGATTGGAGAATGTAGCTTTAAGGGTTGAGTTTTAGAGAAGTATCATCACATAACTAATGAGGGTTATATTCCAGTTTCAATCAGTTCTTCATTTTTGAGCAAGAGGAGATGTCTTTGAATCAAAAAACCCAACTAATGACAAACACTGAAGGCAGCTCAGCTCCCTGCCTCTATGATGTCCTGTGTGCCCACTGAAGATCTCCTAGGAAACTCTGAAGTCTTCAGCAGAAACTGCAGTTTTAGTGTTTTCATGGGACTTAATGAAAGATCTGTTTGTTCTAAAAAAAAAATGGAAGTCATCTGCAGATAATTCTGCCCCTGATAAAAAGTTTCTATTATTGGCATTACTCTGCTGATAATGGCAAAGGAAAAAAAAAAACTGTAAGTTGTTGGGCTGAAAATATGCATGATTGCTTAATGCTTGTTGAACTACATGAACTTGTATAAGCGCCAATATTTATTTCCTTGTATCATTTGAAAGAACAGAGTAGGGGAGGAGTTTATACCTGTCAGCAACTGGTTTGGCAATGTTTTCAAATATATCTTCTTGTCTGGCTGTTCGATCAAACACCTTCTGGAACCTGGACAAAAGTAAAAAAGAAGAAAGCATGACGTGGAATCAATCTTTGTATTCATTTACTACTATCATAACATCCAGTAAAACTGTCAAGCTGCTGCTTTATCTCATCTCAGACTCAGCCAGTTTCCCCACAGCAACGCTGAATAAGCCAAAAACAGTCTATATAATTGCTTGAGTGGATTAGGAGGAGTTTAGTCATTCTGTTTGCTAAAAGAGTCAAAAGCCACCATGTTTTATTCCACAGAAAGATGAGAGCGATGTGAGAGGAATCCGCCCAGGAAGATTGTTAAATGTGGAAATTTTATTTCTATAAGGGCACGAGGGAACCTCCGCAGGCTATTTTGGGGGGGCTGTGTGGTTTTTGAAGGCTCTCTGTGTCCACTGCTGTCTGACTCCCTGACTGTGAATTTAAGGCTTGGAAGCGTGGCATGTGCCCTGCCCGGAGGGTATATAAGGCTGCAGCTTTCACCACCAGCTTTAAACAGATGTTCTGGCTCTGCAACGACACAACTGCTAGATAAATTATTCATGGGGAAAAGTTCTTATGCAACCTTGGAAGCCTAAAATTGTAGCAAGCGACACACCTCTTTCTGCATGTACCGTATCTTTATTCGTTTCAAACTCGAGTCTTACACCATCCTTTTATATTCTTGTTTTCCCTCTGCAGCATTACTTGAGACATTTAAATAGTTTAATGTTTTGCACCCACATAGACCTTTTACTGATTATACTGACATTATTTAGACACACATTAAGCTCTCTGCAAATATGTTTATTTGTCAGTGTATGTATAGACGTGATTCCTGTCATTTTTTAATGGCCTGGCAGGCTGGCACAGGTTAAGCTCTTTGTAAAACATGCAGAGAAGAAATGCCACAAACTTTCTTTGATCTCATTTGACAGTCAGTCATGACTGAAAAAAACGTAAATAAATAAATCCAGGAATAAATACAACTTCTATTTGGAGGCTTTTTGGCTCAGCTGCACCTCTCTTAGTTCTCTTCTTGGAGACAGTCTACCTTTTGTTATTTTAAAAAAGTCTGACAAGCATAGATTTTTGAAAGCATGTATAACTTTCCCATGAGGCAGATTGAAGGAGGTCTGACTGAGCCTAGAAAAGAGAAAATCATCAAAATCACACACATCAGCCCTTCTAGAGCAGCCACCTGGCACCACCTCAGGCTGTAGTCTGGTAACGGCTACTGCCATGATACCATAATAATCTACGATGTAAATAATAGAATTGACAGATGGTGCAGTTTGGCTGTGTTTTGATTGATAAAACAGAGATAAAGTTGTGTGTAGTGGGTGTTAAACTGGCATGCAATAAATGCATAACCAACAGGCATGTCAGACAACAACCTGCAGGTGGAGCTGCAAAGCAAACGGCACATTAATCAATATCACAATGACAGCATATGCAATAAAACCATAGCAAAAACCATATTTATCACAAATTTCTTTCTGTCTATAATCAAGGTTAGCTCACTCAGCATGCACATTTTACTTCTTAGATAAAGACCTGGGTGTTATGGCCATGCTTTTACATCATTTTCATACTGAAGCTTGAGCCAGCTGTCCACTTATCTCACAATAACTGTGATAATATGAATGTAAAAAAATAAAATAAAAATAAAAAAAATAACATTTTTTGAAGTATCTTCAATTCTGAAAACACAGATGAGGTGTAAAACATGAAATAAAGCAAACTGACTGATAGAAACCACAAGTTTTCAAGCGATATGCACTTTTTCATATCTGTTTCTTTACCACACTTCCAACTGCACACTGCACTTTTTCTTATATTATGTAAGTCTTGTGCTGGTAAAGGGCTGAACCAAGTGTGGTAAAAATAAAAGGTAAGTTTTGCTTGGGTAAAAGAAAAAAAATCGTAAGTCACAAATCTTTGACGGTTGTAAATTTTAATCACAAACAGCAGAAATGATGTTCGGTAGATGATTTCTTTGTTGTAACAATGCTCCTTGGCAGTAAATCTTACACTGTCGGAGAGCCTGTTCATGTCCCTTGTAAATGGTGCCACATTTGTAAGGAACATGCATTTGTGGGATGAGCAGCAGAGCTGAGTATGTGGGTTACGCCCTTGAACAATTCACCAAATCTTCTCTGCCAGTGGAAATAAACAGGCCTTCCAACAGTTGAAGATTTGTTGCCAAGAAGCATCGTTACAACTAAGAAATAATCTAACAAACACAAATTTCCTTACTTTTTGTGCAGACTTTATGCACAAGTACATGAATAACAACCCTGCATTTATAGAGTTTAATTCTCTGAATCATATTCCAGTAAGTTTCACATGAAGACCAGCAATGTTTTCCAATATTGTGCAGACCTACTGAAGTCTGCAAGGCTGACTGAAGGCTGACAGTGATAGCTCTGCAGACATTAGCCACACATCTTCCTGCTTTACATAAAATTGTGCTAAGCTAGGAATTTTTCTGGGTGTTTTATTTGATTTTTTTTAGACATGGCTGGTTCGTCTTAATTCTAATCCCCATTTTAATAAATAGGGAATAAGATGCTTTATATACCCCTATTTTGACCTCTGTTACATCTGCTCACAAACAACTCCTGAGTTTGAATAAATCCATTCAGTGTTTTATTGTTTTCTATTTTGATGCTTCTGCAAAACTATTCCTGAAAACTGCTCTAAGTGGCAAAATAGGACCTGAATTGAATTGCCGTTTGTTGTCTTAGCATGATGAATCCTTTGTGTATCACAGTAGTGATTGCAATTGTTTTGCCCATTGTTTCAGGAGATGAGGAGAGCATTGATTTCCAGTGAAACAATTAGACTTTTTTCTTAGCTCATAAATCACAGAATTTGATTTGTCCATTGTCTCTTGTCTTTCCTAATACCTACAGCTGAATATGATTTGTTTTATCAATAATGGACACAGTGTTTGTGATAACTAAATCAATTTTTCAGATCAAATGATATCAATTATTAAGATAAGACCCCACCACTTGAAGTCACTCAGACTAAATTAATCAGCTGATTGGGCTGTGAAACAAAAAGAGGGTTTTGGAGATGTGGCAGACATCCTACCTGAACTTGTAGCTCTCTCTTTTGTTGTTAACAAAGCCGTCAGCCAGATCTCTGGGTACCACAAACTCCAGAGAAGCACCTGTCGGATCCTCATGGTCCACAGAGTACACCTGGGGGAGCCAGAGACAACAGCAGAGTTGGTCACTGCAGCCCAACAAGGCCTACGAGCTGACATTCAACATCATATGGACGTACGTATAGACAGAGCACTTCAGAGCAGCCATGTGGGCATTTATGTACTGTTCTGACAGACATGTCCACTTCTGTGTGTGTTCTGTGATTTGTATGTTGTTCTGGTGTGTGGTTCTATACATGTAGCTTACAATAAAAACAGTGACGATACATCATGCTAGGTTTAAAATACATGGTTGCCCACTTGTGGGTTTGGTCCTGCGAGTGCCAAAATTGAAAATGAACTTTATGTTGCAGAGATCCTGTGGAAAGCACAAGAAACAGAACAGAAATAATCAGTGCACACTGTGGGCAGGCTCTATAAAATCACCTCTGCTCACCAAGAGCCTCAGGGGAGACGAGGAAAAGTGCAGAACATTAAACCAATATAGACCAAGCTCTGGCAGCGAGGACATTTAAAGGGGGGGCTAGCTGGGTCAGTCTAAACATCCCCCTCCTCTAGAGCTGTATTTGAGCTTCAACATATGTTCTGGCATATGTTTCCAATGGACACTGATGCAATTACATGTCTCCAGGGTGTGGGGAATAAAAGATAAGACCTAAATGATTGGATTGGATTTCAGCTTCACTCAGCCTGCAGCATCACCTCCTGAACACCTCTGTGCCTGCGCTCCTCACAGGGTACATGTGCTGAGCCTGAAGCTGCTCCAAGGAGGTGGCTGTGCTCCTTTCATTACACTGGATGGTCTCTGCTTAAGTTCGAGTGACAGAGAAACCAGCAGAGTGATTTGATTATTTTTTCCATCAGCTGCTGCACTCAACCATTAGACTGCACTCTGGATCGGAGGCAGAGCAGTAAGAGGTGGTTTTATGGTTTTCTTATTTCTCAGTGAATCTGATAAAAAAAAGATTCCACTTATCAGACGGTAAGCTAATACCGGTAACTATATTTGCAGTTTATTGCAGTTGAAGTTCAAAAGTTCCCCTTAGTTGGAAGAAAGGTATAGAGGTACCTTCGGTATTTACTCATTTTGACCACAGATCTCAAGACGTAACCAACTGCTTTCAACCATATCTTTATCTCTAGTGTGGGTGCTTTAAGGTAGCTCTGCAGCTTCCCCACTCGCACCATTATAGATGTACATGATTGTATTAGTGTTTCCCCCTCATCCACTGGCCCAAAACTTAAATTTGGCTGTGGTTCTATGTCTAAGAGAAGTCTGAGATGAACTGCATAGAATTTAAAGATAACTTTGCAAAAGTTACAAGTGAAAACATCCAAACTAGAACAGTTTCTGACACAAAAATGTGATGCATTGTCGTACTATATAGTCTGTATTTTTGATATAAATAATGCTATTATTTGACCCTTTTACCTTTCCAGTAAGATACAAAATTGCTTTGCCAGAACAGTAGCATAAAAAGTTTTTCCACAAAGGAGATGACAAAAAACAAATGATAAGAACAAGCCTTTACATCAATGAATGGATTATCCGCTCTTTGCCTTAAAACATATGCAAACACAGTTTAGATTATCCTTAATCCTAGTTTTTAAACCCTACAAACTAACAGAGTGATTCAGACCTTTTAAATCAGACCTGGATGAGGAAGCAAAGACATGCACACAGTACTATTCAGGCACAAGGCATGTCAGAAGAATGACACAGAATTGGCAAATACAGAGGTCAGTCTGCATTGCAATATTGAAAATGGAGTTGCACATTGCACATTTCTGCAGACTGTGCAGGGCGACATTGTGATTGATTTCTTCATTTACCTGTGTGTAATGACAGCTGAAGAATGCATGTGAGCAGTAACATTTTTATTGTACCTGAGCAAAGACTTGGTGGCCTCTGCACTTTGGAGTAAAAATGTGCAAATATTCTTAAGAGCATTGGGCCAGAATGAGTGGAAAACATCGGCAAAGCGCATCCCTAAGTCACATGTAGCCACACTAAAACAACTACAACGACAAAAACAAAATAAAACTTGCAAGAATTTGCATTTTTAAATTCTTTGAAGACAGAAACAGAGAATTTCTGCTGGTTGCACAATGTTTGTTCTCTATAATTCACCAATAACAGGGCTCTGGTGCATCAATAACAGCCATTTATCACTGACACTGGTTTATTAGATTCTATCTGGAAGTGAGCCATCCTTTATTAACGCCATTAGTCACACCTGTGTTTTTCTCTGAAGTAATAAGACAAAATATTTGCTGTGAACAGATAATTGGCGTTTTGGGAATGTAGTCAAACCAATATACTTCGTGTTTTAGCGTCGTCATCATCAGCTAGCACAAATAAATATAGCCTACTATCCAGTTAGCGTAACATTGACGTAAACTTACCGCCGGAGTTTTCCTTGTTGGTTTAATGCGACCGAATATCTGTATTGTTTGTTTAACCATTTTTTATCGTTCTGTTAAGTTAACTCGTCAGTTATTTTCCTTGAAAACCTGCATAACAAGGTAGTTAGCTGGCTAACGGCAACATGAAGTAAGGGTTGTTGTAGTTGGTTGCCATGCAACGAACAATGCCGCTGACAAAGATCGTCTATACTCAAGAGGATGATTCATCGGAGTTGAGAAAACAACTCCTGCATCAATCCCTCTCTTTCTCTCTTTTCCCTAAATGCTGGATGGTATGAGTCAGAGCTTGTTCTAAGATGATCAGGGACTTGTGTGTGTATGTGTGTGTAGGAGGGGTCATGTTAGTAACACTGAAGACATTGTAAGATGTTAAAATAAAGCTGTGATTCAAAGCTGTACTATTTCCCTCTATGTTTATTAATCTCTCCTGAGCTCTAGTTTTGTGTGCCAAAAGGGTCACAGCAGGTTCAATGACTCATTCAGCAGGCATATTGACTAAATTGTATTGTCGGCTCCTTGACACAGGCTGTCAGAGAGGTGGCGGCGGAAATTTGGTCTATGCTCCGCTTTTTCTCTGACAAGATTGGTCCAGATGACCCCCTGCTTCACATTAAAAAAAACATTTCATTAACTTTGACGTGGGAAAAAATGTATTTAAAATGATCAACATTGAATAAAAAATCCACCAGCATTTACCTCAGCTGACCTATAACTAAGCCCGGCCAAGCTACGGCGGCTTCTTGCCAGCGGCCACCCCAGGCCCGTGGTCTGTGTAATGTGGTCACTTCCAACACAATTGACAGTTACTGATACAAACCTGTGCAGCTACAGCAGCAGATTTGACATGGAGGGGAGAGAGTGCAACACTTTTTGTTTCTATGTCCCTCAGTCAGTGGCTGTTTGAACAACACTAACCTTTTTTGTTTACATCAAATCTTAATCTATTCATGCCAGAACATCTCTGCATCAACAACAAACTATAAAATCTCAATTTCATGAAGCCAGGAAGTCAGATGTGCACGAGACCCAAACTATAGGCCAAATAAAGACCAAAGAACAAAACCAAGTGCACTGGTATCCTTTGAGGTATGAGGTTTTGAGCTCATGCATAACCTCACAGAAATGCACCAAAACACATCAAACGGAACCTATTGTCATTCTTCATTGGGAGCATTTCATTCAAAAGGTTAAAGTTGACTTTGTCACCTTATTTTACCTGCAGAGTTGGAGGCTCTGCAAAAACACAGATCAATCAGGAGGAAAAGAAACAACATGTTCTCTGTCACGGGAACTCATAATGTACACAAATTCACTTATCAGCTGATTTACACAGAGCCATATGTCTTGTGTTAAGAGGCTGGGGGTGGTGGCTTTGACCCTGTCTCTGGTTTCAGTGTGTGCATGTCATGCTGTTTCTGGTATTTCACCTGAACCCTGTATGCCCCCCACCCCCTTCCACCCCCAAATATAGCCTACCAGGAGGCCTCCCCTGAAGCAGCACACCAGCCAGTGTACCGGGAAGGCTGTGTGGTTTCATGGTGGCATTCAGCAGAATGTATCATGTTTGTTCCAGTGCATTTCTCTGTGCCACAGAAATTACTACTTGTGTGGTTCCTTGTTTTTAACAGAGCTGTGTTTGTGTGTGTGTCTGCATGCATGCATTTGTGTGTTTTTTTTTCTTGTTGTGCATAATAGCCACATACACACTGCAGAGTTCAGTGGGCAGTTGGGTTTAAATGTGTAGATAATAATATACTGAGTTTGCTAAAAAGAATATGTAGCAATATACAAGTGTAGTTACATCTGCAGTACCGCTCTCAGGCTGTTACGTGTGTTATGAACAAAGACCAAGAAACTGAAGAGAACTATACAAAATTAAAAACCCAACAAAGCTGCAAAAAATACCCCAGGGCACCCTCACAGAAGCTGAGCTGATTAAACTACAAAATAAAAGCACCTAGTTTATTCTGAAAGCTCTCTCGCACGTAGTGAAAGCTGTAACTTTATAAATCTGACAAGGACAACTTTTGTCCACTCAAGTAAACAAGAGCATGAATCAAAAGGCTGTGTTTGGACAGGATGTGCTTCACATGCTTTAACATGCAGGTTTGCACCTCTTGAATGAGACTGTGATTTGGTTGTTTGCTCTTATGCAATCCGCAGCAGCTTTGCAGGCTGTTGCTGACACGTTCACATGTTGTGTTGTGCCCTTTTCTATGTTACAGCAGCCGTCAGGCAGACACTCTTTGCCATGCCCGACTGAATAAATGCTTTTATATTGAAACCCTGAAGCAGTGACATGACTTCAAAGAACCAGCTTATTTTATATGAGGCTGGGTGTAACACACCCTTTGGCGGCCATGTTTGAAGTCCACAGCTCTTGGCTAAATTATTTCTGAAAACTGTCTAAAAACTATGTTAAAATAAATTTGAAGGGCGTGCTTGATCTTCTCAGGTGCATGTTTGGACAAATTTAATGCTGCTTAATTTTTGCTGTGTGAGCCCAGCAAGCTCAAACTGGCAACACCTCTTAGCCATCAGCAATATAGACTTTGACAAGTCTTCAATGCCACAAGACTTTGGTGTGATTAGTTTGTGTAAAGGTGCACTGCATAGAAATGGAAAGCTTTAGTAATATCAGATTCGAGTTTGAAATGCTCCCTTGCTGACCCCTCCTTCACTAAAGGTATGGTGGCCGCAGAGGACAAGGATGCATGGTGAGTATGAGTCTCTTTTGGTCAAGCTTTAACTATCAGAAACTGCGAAACACACACTTTTGCTTACAAAAAAACAGCTACTGACTTAATACAAAAAGTGCATGTGTTACTAGTTTGTCCTTTCTGTGCCACTGTAGAAACACTTGATAAGTGGAGACCCTTAACACTCATTTTTACCATTCATTTTTTCAGTGGGACATATTCAAAGCAGCTTTGCATGTTTTGCTTCTTTAATTTAAAACACTGTGGCTTTCTTTTACTGGCATCAATTGCAACTCTAATTCAGCCCTATTCAGATGCTCTGTTTCAAGTTAAACAAAGCTTTTGGGTGTTACTTTTTACACAGCAGTTTTTTTAAATTTCCAGTTATTAACATGTTAATTACAGCTCGTGGTTCTGAGCCTTCATGGATATTCTTATCAGGTAGAACAGTTTCAGTAACAGTTAAGACACAAATCCAGTTTGCACTGGCCTTTGTTTACAAAAGGGTCATACATGAAGTGCTGTCTATGTTGTAGCATCTCTGTAGGACAGCAGAGCCTAAGTTTAGGTTCAGGCCAAGTCTTGTTAAGTTTTCGAGACAAGAACTTAGCAAGACTGCATATCTCATATTTAAAAATTCTGCTGAGCTTTTGTGAAAATGAAAAATTTGTAAAATGAAGAACATGAAGTATCTTATTAAATTACATAGAACTTTAGATGCATAATTTTATGGTAGCTGCTCTTCCAGTAGCCCCTTCAAAAAAAAAAAAAACTAACATACCTGCTCATCATTGGCCAACAAAACAGTTTTTATTCTCGTAACCTATTGACTTCTCCATAATAACTGTATTCTCGTAATATTGACAAATGATTAAGATTTTACTTTTTTAAGTCTTTTGATCCTTTATGAGGCACCAATACTACATGGACTATATTTTGTAGAATTGACATAAATGCAAATACTCTCCTGTTGTATCATAACTTGACAATGACTCTAATCTAGACTTCATTATGACTTTAACCAGTCAAAACTATGACTTCTTTCTCACAACAGACCAATTTTAATTTCTTAGTACATTATTTTTATGATACATGATATGATATGATATGATACGATGCAATACATTTGATGCAATGCCATGCTGTGTGATACGATACAATATGATGCAATGTGATACAATACAATACAACATGATCAATATGATACGATACAATATGATCGATACAATATGATGTGATACAATACAATACAATACAATGCAAAATGAAGCTATACAATGTGATGCGATCAATGACATACGGTACAACATAATATGATGCGATACGATACCATATGGTGTGATACCATACCATTCTGTACATTACCATATGGTGCGATATGATGTGATGCAATACGATCAGTGCCATGCCAGAAATTATATGGTACAATAGGATCAATACGATACAGTGCAATATAATAAAAAACAATGCAATAGGATACCATGCATTACAATCAATGTGATGCAATTCAGTTGATACAATACAATACATAAGATCAATATGATATGATGCGATTTGATGGGATATGATGTGATGTGCTTCATGGGATGAGTTGCTATGAGGCATGAAATGGCACTGCATGGCATGACACAACCGGTTATGATCTGATCAAACTATAGATCCGATGATAGCCCTTTTTTCCCCTTAATGCAGCCTTCATACTAATTAACTTGATGAGTGTCTTGTAGGTTTTAGGGTCCAATCTTCTCATCAAAAGTTTTTTTTTTTAACTTGAACATGTTGCATTTCTCATTCTTGCATTTAAAGCAAAATATCTGGAATCAGACTCACAATTTGTTGTATGTCTTGAACAAGCTGAATATGTTACTGAATCCTGTGTAAAAAATTAACAAAACCAATAAAGCTGTATTTTTCGGGAAGTACAGTGAAGTCCTTTTCTCCACCAGCAGTGCTTGACTTAGTCCAAGACCAGACACGAGTCAGTGACTTGACCTCAGAGCTACAACAATTCTTGATGGTGTTATCAAAAAGAGCATTATATCCATATCCAATATTGCATGTATTTTCTTTCCTAAAGTGGCCCCTGAGGCTGATTTTGACCTTTTTCATTATTACTGATTGTGCATAAAACATGATGTGCAGTAATTGTTTGCAGAAAATCTGTCTGCATTCCTCTTTCTTGGTGATGAAAAGAAGACAAAACATTTTCCCATGACGGCCATGGTAACCAAATGGTTCATAAATCTTTGCCAAACATGCAGATTATATCACAGATATCAAGTTTGAGTCATCACACGCCAAGTGCAGCCTGCTCAAAAAGAAACAGAGAGTTTATAAAGGAAGTAGCCACGTCCACTTTTCTTCAAAACAATTATACAGTGCAGTTAAATCTGTTTCCTTGACAGAAAAGTGTATGCAGTA